AAATTTTGAATAATAATTTGTGAATAATTTGTAATAATCTAAAGTTTAATCTTTTATTAATTCATTTATTTAGTAAAGTTTTTTTAAATTTAATATTAAACAGATTTTTCCCCCCATCAAGCTCCTAGAAGGTTATTGCTCACCAATGTCAGTTAAAGAAATTTTTATGCTATTGCTTTGTGATTCTCTCTCTTTTATTCAATAACCAATTTTATTACCAATTTTATTGCCACTTTTATTCGAATCAATAACTGTTTGCGCACAATTATATAATTTGTTTGTTTAAAGAAATATCCATATTAAAAAATCATCTTTAATAAATATTATTTTCTAAAAAAATCGAAAGATTTTGGATTCGAACGGCATGTATAGTTTCATTATATTTATCAGTAAATTAATTTTAAATAACAAATTGAAAACAGTTTAACGAAATCACTCGAATATTTCTTGATAAATAAATGTTTAAAAATGAACCATTTTTGAAATTTTTACAACTCAAAAACTATTCGACCAAAAATTTTTTATTTTGTCAATTTTAACACTAGAAAGAATGAAACTTAGTATGTAGTACCTATATTGCCCAAAATGACTGAATTGTGGAAGAATAACTAATGTGTAACGAAATTTGTTTAATTAATTTTTAATATTTTTTATGTTGTTTACAGTTATATAACAAGTTATTAGTAAATATTAACAATTAAAAAATTTCCTTCACTTGGAAAGAAAATTTTAATTTATGTATTTTAATATGAACATTTTTTGAAAATGAAAACGCAGTTAAAAAGCAGCCAAAATGACTTTCTTTCGGCAACCTAGTGTTAATAGCATAGTTCAAAATGGGGACAAAATCTATTGATCCCTTTGATACCCAAATATGATGCTCAATATTAAAAATTTATTTTAACAGCAGAGAAAAATGTATAACTTAAAATACATGAAAAGTACCGAAAACGAAAGTGAAACAATGGTTTGAAAACGTGCTTTGCAATTTAAATAAGTACTTCCTTGTTGGAAAAAGGTTGCACAAAAGAAGATAAAATAATTCATACACAATTGGTTTCAGATAAGAAACTTACGAAGTTTCACTTTTTATGTGGAACATTTTTAAGCATTAGAGATTTTAATAATTTGATTTATATATTCGAAATCATACTACGATTGTCAATAACATGAATAATAAGAAAAAAAAACGGTTGCAAATAATACAAACTAGATTTAATAACATCAAGAACTAATTGTATATGGCCAAAGAATAAATAAATGCAACTAAAATTAAGAAATAAAAACTATCTCACGTACATCACCCTTAGTATATATATATGTAACATAAAAAGCTTCAATTAATCTTTTTATGTTAGTTTCTTTTATAAAACTTCATCCTAATTAATTATTCTAATCGAAATACTTTCTCACACTTTTAAAAGCCACATCCTGTTCTTAAATCTATTTTTGGCTCAAGTATGTATTTAATTAAAAGCAGGACATATTTCCCTTTGCTCTGTGTGGGAAACTTTCGATCTATTTCATAAACCAATAGCAACTACTAAGATTTCCCTCTTTCCCTAAATTAGGACGTTTTACGGATTTTACTTTGCAAGATTTTCCCTAACATATAACCAAGGAGCGCAACTTTTCATGTGCACTTTTACTCACTCTCATGACTGCTGTTGTCTAATAATTAATAAATAAATTTTGTACCCTGCTCCTTCCCGACCTATGACCTGTTTTATTCCTTCCACTCGGCAACGACGTTATAAGTCGCCAGGATTGAACGGTCGGAAAAGGGTACAGTTCGTACGGTACATTAAAGATATTAAATATCTCATTTGAAATTAAAAAAATCAACTGCGGAAGAGGGTACATCAAAAATATGGAATAACTTCAAATCATTTATTCAAATGGACATTTGGTAAATAAGCAGTCAAACTCTTCTTCAACTTATGGCAATAATTAATTCATCCAGTATCTTCATCAAAAAAATAAAACTCTTCAAAACTTTTTGTTTATTATAAATGATACCTACGCCCAGTGGAACTAAGCGATCATCGGTTTTCCATATGTCTATGCTGCATATTTTGTCTACGTTCCTGAGACTACTAGAAAGCTGAGCTTCAATTTTTTCCCTTGGACTAAAAAGAAAAACTGCATCGAACTCCTGATAATTAAAATGTTTTTATTGAAACCCTATCCCTTTGAGAAAGCGTTGATTTTGCCACTCTTAAGAGCTGAGCTGGATTTTATCGTCGATGAATTGTTTTCACACCCCGGAATGGTTTACGATGGTCTCCTTATGTTCGACATTCCCCTCCCACCTACTCAGAACTCAAAGAAAAATAAACTTCAATTTCTCCATTCAGTGTTAACTTACGATTCATCTTAACGAAGAAACAAATTTTTTCCCTAGCAGCTCTCGTCTGTGCTTTTGGAATTGTGTTCATGGAATTTCAACGCACTTTCATCTCTGATGTCGCGGTTTTCAAAATATCTTCTTGGACTAATTCGAACTTTTTCCCGTATCCTTTTGTGTTAATTTTCTTTTACAATTCTCATGAAACAATTTCTTAAATGATTATGATTTTAATTTTTTCCCCATACCTGATGTTTCAATTGAAATAATTATTTTTTATACATTAACCGTATTTACTGCTGAATTTTTTTTTGTTGAAATTTTTGTTTTCAATGAATTGATTATCATAAGAAATGTTTCGAGAAATTATTTTCAAATTTATTGTTTTATGTGTTACAGCTTCTATGATTTATTGATTAGTTGAATTTATATTTTTGTTTTACTTTAGGGTGTAGGGTTAAGATGAAAATGCTATTTAAATATTTTTCTCTTCGTNTTTGAATGATTGTTTTGAATTCTTAGAATTTTGTGTATTTGCAATGTATCTAAGTTAGTAGCGAGCGAAGCGAGCTTGGTTAGCGAAGCAAACCATATAAGATTGCGTAAAATACAGCGTCTATAGGTCTTTTAATTGTTACAAAAAGTATAGTTCGTTCACCAGGAGTTGGTACTTGGCTCCACCTTCTCGGACGCAGAGTTCATTTCAGCGCGGGAGTAAGAAGAGAAATTGAAATTGAGACAACACTTAGGCGCGCCAAACACAGACAGTGAATTCTTTTTCAGTCACTTACTTCGCTTTATCATCTGCTATTATACCTTTCGTTACTCTAGCTCATTAAATATATTTCACATTTAAAAACTGCTGTTTTCCTAGTAAACTGTCTCAAAAAGAACAAACTATTCACTCAAACCAAAGAAATATCATAAAAATGGCGTCAAATATCATCAAATTTATGAAAAAATAATGCAGATAAAGTTTGCGAAATAAATATTTTTGCCATATGATCGCCAAATAGCAGCCTTGTTCAGGATTGCTTACAACCTTCTCCCCAAAATAGCGAAATAGTATCGTCGCATGCCACGTGATGAAGGCGGAGCCAAGAGCCACCTCCTGGTGATATTTAATTCAGAGATATTTAGTTATAAACATTTTGACGATTTAGAGATACTTTTGATCATGAAGACATAATTACAAATCAAGTTTTAAGCGAAATCCATTTTAATTCTATGATGTCTATAAAATATGAAAACATGGATTTTTTTTTTAAATTTGCCTTAATTTCCTTAAAAAGCATTACTGAAAAAAATTAATAAACGTTTTTACTTTGCTTGTCTTGAACTCTTTTTATAACGATGGTTGAATGTGTCAAACATGTTTGAAATAATTTGTTAAAAATTCAAAAATAATTGTTTGAGCTTTGAAAAGCGAAAAAAAAAATTTAAATAAATAACCTCAAACTTCCAAGCGTTAAAATATATCGGTGAACCTAAAATTTTTTTCACTCTAAATTAGTGAAAAATCTTTTACTGAATTTGTTTTGTAACATATAGAAATTCGTACGCAAATAATTAGAAAATTATTAATTTTAAAGCGTCCTCGATGTTTAGTAAACATTTCTTCTGCAAGTAGTTACTGACTGTAGAAATTCGTAACTGCCCCTTAGAAGTCTTTTAAGAAAGAGGGTTTAACTCATGCTGGAACCCCATGGTCTATATCAGCGGCTCCCAATTTTTTAGATTATGGAACCCTAAATGATCGATCTACTTTTGGCGGAACCTCCAGACTTAATAAATAAATTAAATTTCACTAATGCATGTGAATATATTAATCAAAGAAATTCTTATAATTATTTTGAAAATATTTAATAAATGTATGAAGTAGGAAATTTTTTTATCATATCGTTTTATCAATACTAGCCTTAAATTTGGGTTTTATGTCAGAAATTTGAATTTACATATATGTAGCGGCATTTAATCTAGTTCGTAATTTGATTTTAATTTGTGCTTAAACTGATAATATAAATGAATTAAATGAACTAAATAACTAAGAATGAACTAAATAAATGAATTGAACTATAATTTTCGTTGAAACAAAGATGAAAAATGGCGTAAATTATTTGCCGAGAATAGTTATCAGCGAAGCAACTTCTTCATTTTTTTTTTTAATTGATGGAAAATAATGATTTAATTTTTCATAAATGCAGACACTATTCCTTATTCATTCAATATATTGTTATTATAAAATACATTTCTTAATTTTATTTTTCCTCCACAAGTGTTTTAATTAAATAATTTCATAAAAATAACGGGTAATGGATAATGGATAGTTAATTAATTGTAAATTTAATGACAGATTTCAAAACTCGTCACTGATGAAAAATATCCTAACTCTCGGAACCCTAGGGTTCCACGGAACACCAGATAGAAACCACTGCCTTAGTGCATACCGGTTGAATCTCAACACGGAAGATAATGACATAATATTAAAATGAGAGCCAATGATATAATTAGATCATAATTTGTAATTTGAATACAATAGATAATAACAGAATTTTTTCCATCGATTAGTTATCAAAAAGCTGAGAGATATCAAGTTCTTTTGTAATTGCTATTTACATAAATCATTATCAGAAATTTTGGCGAAAGAAAATATTGATAGGAGCCACCTGAAACTTGGATTGATTTTTAATAGCTGATAACTCAACAGTAGTTTCCCAATAGAGTTTTAAAAATAAAACATGAACTGCTTTCACTACAGTTTATAGATTGCGCGAAGTTGGAGGTTGAGTTCTCAGTTTTTTCCTGTTTTAAAATGTGATTGTTTTATTTTTTAAAATTTTTATTGTGTCTATCTGCAAAGTATTTCTGGCTGATTTAACATGTTTACGAAATATTCTACACGAGTAAAATAAGTAAGTAAAATGTTTTATTCATGAAAGTTCTTTGACAAGAGGCTTCATTGTAAAAGTGACATAAAAAATAGAAAAGGATAAAAAGACGGTTGAAGATGATGAGTCGACGCTTCCCAATTTTTTCAGGCTAAGGATCCCTGAATGATCGAATTTCTAATAGCTGATCCCCAGATTTTATAAATAAAGTTCATTAGCAGCAGGGAATATACCAGACCGAAAAAAAACGGGTGATTTGTTTTGATAAATGAAATATATTTATTGTTTTATCAATAATTCTCTAAAAATTAGGTTTTGTGATAGACAATTAAATTCACAATTTTGGATTAGCATCTCAATTTGTCCTTAAGAAAATTATGAGCTGAAACTGAATAAAATAAGATGAATTATGGTGGTCCAGAAAAAACTATTATTAAGAGAATAGTTATGAAAGAAATATAATTGTGTGTACTTGAATTCGGTTATTCTATTTTGAATTTTTTGATGAAAAATACGGATAGAATTTTTTTTTAAATGCTTATCCTTTTTAAAAATTTATCCAATTTATTTTTTAAAAAAAAACCTTTTAAACTTTGTTATTTCCTTTCTCATTGGAATTTAATTTAAATAATTTCATATAATTAAACGAAACAAATAAGTTGCGGATTATTGATTGGATCAGGTTTCAAAAATCGTCTCACTACTTAAAAACAAAAAAAAAAAAACTCTCGGAACCTTAGGGTTCCACCTTTAGGATTCGTTGGTTTCGATTATAGGTTCTCATTTTAGCTAACACATCAATCCTGACAAGTCATAAGTGATGCGCTTACAAATATTAGCAATAATCTTTTCGATACTAATATTTTGTTTCGACGGTTGAAATGCGCGTGCGTCATTCGTTACATTAAAACTGTATTTTTTTAAGTTAATAGTACGCTGAACATTAATTTTTAAATGCTAAGTCCTTAAAAGTAAAAATCGAAATTGCTTTTTAAAGTTTATTTTATATATGTACAGGGTGTTCTGTAAACACGACTCTTAATATATAATTTTAGAATATTAGTAAAAAATATTAAAAAAATTAGGACCCGAGGCAACCTGTCCCTATTCACCTGTATAGGTCGATCTTAACGATCGAGTACCAAGTTTGCAAAGCAATTTAATTGCCCTACTGGGAGTTAACATCTTATCTAAGAGGACCATCAAATTGCTGTTCTACAAGTGGTCAACTTAATCCTTAATTATGGATCCAAATGNTAATTAAAAAACTTTTATCATAACTTTAAATTCATATTTATTATCTATGTATTTTTTTATCCCCAAATACTACATAAAATTAGTTTAATTACTAGAATGAACTACTAGTTTTATACATAATTTATGGAGCTGATTGGTTTAAAAACAAAACAAATATGCCTATTATATATGCCAGGCATGAATAATTTCTTTAAATATCACTACACAAGAACATAAATGCGACTGAAAAGCATTATATCCTTTTCAATTATAAAATAAAAAGGCATAACTTGTTAAACGGTGTTAACTCATCTCATCTCTTAGTACTTATCTCATCTTTTAATGATGCATAGTTTTTGAAATGCATAATCTATCATAAACAGTTCATTGACGCATGATACGAAAGCTTTGCGATAATGATGAATTTACACCGCAAATTGCACCGCAATTTTAGAATTTTAATGATAAAGTATAATTCGTTAAAATGTAATAACATTTTGGATAACGACTTTGTCAATTTTGTTTGTTTTAATTGTTTTGATTGTTTTGATTTTCAATTTTGCATAACAGTTATTTAAGAACAAAGAATAAGAATAGAATTTAGAATATCCTAAACATAAAAATAGAATTTAGAATATCCTAATCAATCCCAAATCAAAATTTTTGATGGTTTTCCATTGATGAACCAACATAATCTTGATGGTAACCTTCAATAATTCTATTTTGAACTATTATAGTTTTGATGGTAGCCGACATAAGTAACCATCACCCAAATGTAAGAATTCGGACTGATTTATGATGATCCAACATAAGAATAGCAACTTGCTTCGATGGTTTGTTCATATTGAACTATCAGAAATTTTCATCATAGTTTATTGGATTTAAAAGAAGTCTATAATTAGCATCATAGTTTCCACAATGTAGGAATTCGGTCTGATTTATGATAGGCCAACATCAAAAAAAAATTGTTTTGATGGTATATTCCTGCTTAACCAACACTTATTATTAATTCATCATAGAAATGCATTGCTGTACTATTATGGACCATCACGAATTTCCATCGTAGTATCTTAAAAATCAAATGTTCTAACAATCATGAACAACCATCATCCCAATATAGGAATTTGGACTGATTTATGATATTCCAACATAAAAAAGAAACAAATTGTTTTGATGGTATATTCCAGAGAAACAACAAGAATTTCCATTAAACCATCATGGAAATGAATAGTTAGAGCCATCATGAACCACCACAGATCATCAAGGATTGTAGGTCCATGAGAACGAAACTTCTCATGATGGTTAACCATTATAGTATTAAAGTAGCATTTTCCATCATGGAATGATGGAAGTTTGTTGGTATATCTAAAATCATGAACGCATAATGGAAAATGTTGCATGATGGTGAACATCAAATAACGTTGGACCATCATGAATTGCACTGAAACCAACATAAACCATCAAATTATTTTAATGGGGCCATCAAGAATTTTGACTTGGGAATGAAAACGCCTGTCTTTCTTTTGGGTTTTTTCTTACTTTTTTAATTTTCCGATTTCTTGAATTTGTATTTTAATTTATGCAATAAATGCATTTTAATCTGTAAGACAAGGTTCCCAAGAGATTGTCGAAGTCATGTATCCCTGGCTATTACCAGTGACCGAATGGATGATCACTTTTATTAGACTGCGAAGGGACCAAGGTGCACGGTATTGGTCACCTGTAAATTATTCTACCGTAAAATGCTCAACTTCGTGCTCAGGTCGTCTGGCTTCCAAAGCAGGGTAAGCCAATACTTTCTTGAAAAGAGAAGGCCTCAGCACGGGTTATCATAAATAAGAAATTTGATTCTTTAGTAGCCCAAACGTAGTGACACCTTTCTTATTTTTCATCCACTGCGCAGTTTAAGTTCGTTATGTCGGACTACTAATAGGAGATCCCGATTAAAGGAGATCCGTGTTGAGGCCTTTTTTTGTTCTAGGAAGTGTTGGGTAAGCCATCCAGTGTGCAGAGGATCAAAAGTATGATGGCATGTTTTTGGATCATCCTTAGGAATGCTCTGTCGCCAATAGCTCATTGTGCAGCCCCAGTTTGACGTAAATAAAGTACTACTGCTACTACGTTTTAATATCATTTAGTGTATATTTGTCTGTAATTTGATAGTTATATGAACTTCTTAGTCATATTATGCAAGTGATTCAAAGCCAGTTTTTTATTTTTATAAAGTATCTATTGGACACTAGGTGGCTGTTAAATTTATTTTTGGAAATTCATCTTGATTTGCAGATTTCATCGGGCAAGTAACCTCTATCTCTTAAGATCTAGCCTCCATTATATTGGACAACATTTCGGGGAATTTTATCTCTTAAGAAATATTATTTTTAGGTTTTCTTATTATGTAAAATTATAATTGAATTTACTGTCGTAGGTTGTTGTATTTAATTGCAATGAAAAATCACAGCAAAATTAAGCAATTTGATTTAAGTAAACTTATAGGAATGGTGTATAACATATTCAGATCTTATTATTTGACAATAGTGCACTTTGACTCATGATCAAAATGTGGAGAAATACACTATAAAATGTACTACAATGTACAAAAATGACTAAAAATTAAAATTTACCATTTTTAGAAGTAATTAAAAACAAAAAGAAAGTTAATTAAAATTAGTTATTGACTTCTTTTAAAAAAATATTATATTGCGCATGCGAATTCACTTTCATTTAAACAACGTATTTCTAGGAAAAATATCTAATATTTTTCTGTCTTTATTTAAAGCATAGACCTCAGAATCTGGCATTATCATTTGCATTATTTACTAAAAAATGTGGTAAGCGTTTATTTGTTTTACCAGATGTTAGTCTATTACATAAATTCTCCTTCCCTTTATTTAAATTGTGACAGCTGTTAAATTTCACGAAAGTAATGTTTTTGAATTTCCAGTAAACAAAATACATGAATTTTTACAATAAAATATGAATTATTTTGTAAATAATACACTTAAATATATAAAGGCATCTAAAAACAAGGTATTTTCTGTCTGTCTATTACAATTGCATCTTTATAATCACAATTGTTTAAAAATATTAAATTATTAGAAATACATATTATGGTTTCATGAGTCGCTAACTATTTAATTATGCTTATGTATTTTCATTAATTGTTTTTTTGTTACAATGGAATGTGTATTTCTTGAATTAAAAATCGATCAAACAGCTAAAACCTTGTACTGCAATGCAATTGAAAAATCAACGTAATCAGAAAAAATTTATGATTATGAAAATTTTTAAATTTATTTTATGTCTGTGGCATCTTTGCTATATATCGTAAGCTATATATCGCAAAAATAAAATTTAAAAAATAAATTTTGTTTTATAGTTTTTTGAAATATTTTAGCGTTCACAGCATTAACAGTAGAAGGGAAATAGTTGTCAAGCCACTTTTCTTGGAATCAATCAATCGTAAAGCACTTTCGTTGCTTAGTCAATCGCACGGCAGTAAAGCCGTTACTGCCATTGCCATTTTTTTAAGGAATGATCTCTAAAATCAAATAGTGCACACAAAAACTCGTTTTTTTTAGCGATAAGTATAAACTTTTATTGACTTAGAGTTTTTTTTTTTCGAAAAGGAAAATTGATTGGATATTTTTTTAGGAATAATTTGTTTGGTAACGTACAGCAATTTTTCTTCAATATATATAAAAATTAAAGAAAAATACAAAATAGACACCACAACTGCGTTTAAAAAATTTGTTTCTCTCATAAGTATTTAAACTAAATCTCTTTTTAAATTACAGTAAATAGTATTATGAATGCAATGTGCTAAATTTCAGGTTTATTGAAAGAGTAGTTTTAGAATAAGTAGTTCATCTTGAAAATTTGCAAAATAATAATAAAAAATAAAAAAACGCCATAAGCAATGTAAACAAGCTAAGTAAAGGAATATATAGAATGTAAACATGTAGCCCAAGAAGTGTTGAAAAAAAGCATAAAAGTACTTAAATTGCAAGTAAAATAAAAATTGTTTAAAATGATCGTTAGAAATTCACTTCAAATGAAAATATTTTAAGGCGTGATCGTTTTACTTAATTTCATAAAATCCAACAATTGCTATGGTATTGCTATCTGTAATTCTAGCAAACACACTCAATGTGTTTTTTTGACACTATCACAAATCATAACTAAATCAAAAACTTCATTAGCTACAAAAAAATGCAAAGGAAAATAAAAGTTGACCAGTTTCAAGCGTATAAAAATAGGCGCCCATTCTCATGACTTTACAGACGTGAATGAGAAGAAACAAAAGTGATTTGCTGTATAAGAACGCAAAGTTGCCAACGAATAATCAAAAATAAAGATGAGAAACGTAACTAAGAAAACCGCAATAGCCGAGAGTGAAACAAAAATAAAAATGCGGTAGGTAGGTAGGTACTTTATTTACGTCGCACTAGAGCTGCACAATAGGCTATAGGCGACGATCTGGGAAACATCCCTGAGGATGATCCGAAAATATGACATCGCAATTTTGATCCTCTGCAGAGGGGATGATTCCCCTGTTTTGGTAGCCCGACGACATACGTGTGAAGTCAGGCAGTTTACAGTAGAACAGTTTAACGAGGACCGATACTGCGTACCCTCGGTCCCTACGCAGATTGATCAAAGTAGTTACCCACCCGCTAACTGACCTCAGCCAGTGATGGTTGACATCGATGTTCTTATGGGAACTGTATCTTTACGATCAGTCCACTGCGGGACAAAAAAATAAAGATGCAAAACCAGAACAAGAAAACCACTGTGACTGAGAGGGGCAAATAGCAGTAAAATGTATTTCCTTTCGCTATGGAGATATGGTAAGGAACTAATGTCATTAAAGAAGAAATCAGATTGCAGAGCATTAAGAGGAGCTGATGTGACTGGGGTGGAAAAAAGTTTGGCATTGTCGAAATTGAATTTAGAGCCAAATTACAACATTTTGCAACAATCGATGATTTATCGTACTCTTGATACCGGCTATATCTATTGTGCTTCCTATGTCAAAGTTGTAAGGCGCGTCTGGTTTGTTCAATGCTGTTAGCCAAGGTCGCTCCGGTTAAGTATGTGGTTAATGCCCCAGAGATTTTCAAAATTGTCAGGATCTTTAACCTTTTGCTTACGGTTAGTACAATGTGTGGACCAGAATGGCATAATCATGCTAAGCACCGTATTTTGATTACGGCTGGTACAATATGTGCACTAGAATAGCATAATCATGCTAAACGCCGTATGCAAAAGGTTAAGAGACTTAAATTTAATTTTTTAACATGCCTAAAAATGAATTTAACACCGAATCTGGACAGATTAATTTTATAATAATTTTATGTCAATCAGGAGAAAAAAAACTTGTTAAATACGATTTTCATTGTAAGGATTAGAAAAATGGGAGCGTATGGGTCTAAGGAGTTCCGAAAGAGCTGAATCAGCGGTAGAAGGGTTAAACCTACGTTTAGCTGCAAACGAGCTGAGGAAGTTAAGTGCGGAGTTTAACGAAGAAGAGTCAGATCAAAGTGCGCGAAAAACGAAAGTATGAAATAAAGAAATTTCCTGACAGTTAGGGTAATTAGAATTAACACGAGGAGGCAAAGAGACGGCAAAATGTTTATGATAAACAGAGGGNCGAGACAAATGTGCCGAAGCAGTGCTTTTGTTCTGTAGAACATATATACCATGGCCGAAAGGACATAATGCATTATGAAAATTTTTTTCAATGTCACTTTAAGAGCACTTGGGGATTGTCCCATTGGCCACAGAAATGCCAGAACTGCTACTCTCTTCTCGTTACCCAGTGGGCACCTGTGGCAAAGCCACGGCGGTGGAGCAGCGTCGCCCACGTCGCACAACCACAAACTCGTTTATAGCGTGGGTGAATGGCTCCGCAGTCAGCCATGTTAACCACTCGGCCACCTGGATATATATATATATGTATGCATTTTGATGATTTAAACTCATTTTTTTCTAATGGAGTGATATTTCCTAACCAAAAACCATTTTAACCATACTAAAATACTAAAATTATTAACAATTTTGGTGTGTTTATTCAAAAATACAAAATTTTGAGACAAATCTTTTCACAGAAGATATTATTGAATTTAGGAACAAAAATTTATTTTTGTTGTGTCTACGTAGCCGGATATTACGTTTTGCTCCCAAAAAAAGTTTAAAAATGAGGCATCCTAGTGTATGCTCAAATGCAAAAGCTGTCATAGTATAAAACATAGCTATTTTACTTTATATTACCAAAGCGATTGCTTGTTTTACATGTTTTTGCTTGATTGCTTGCTCTTCCTCTGATTTTCTACTGAATATCAGAACTGTAAAAGATATTAAAATTTATCAGATTTCTCATATGCTTCAATTCAATGCAATTCAATGAAGGTTCTTGTTTATAGAACTGAAACTATAGTATGTCCATTTATGCACTTTCATTTATGGTTTATAAAGCACAAATGAAAGTGCATAAATGGACATACTATAGTTTATACAACATATATATACGTTGTTTTTTGCTTTAGTCTACAAATCACAAAGTATACTTGACCCTTGGTTGGATTTAATTGCAATTATTATTAATTAAAAATCTATAATACCTATGAGAGCAATCTCTTCTGCAATGTTAGGACAGATTGCGATAAAAAGCTTTTTTGGTTTTATTGCAATTGCTATATTAAATTGAAGCAAAATAACAACCACCAACAAAAAAAAATAAAAAAACCATGGAAATGCTTTAAACTAAAATACTGATACTGTTATTTATAGATAGTTTTTTTTTCATTTTATTAAACTGTGAGCAGACTATCCGAGATTTATCTTATATTTATTCTAAATGTTGAGTTTTTATTTATTTCTCTTTCAGTTTGTGTGAGAATTACGAAGTCATTTTCAGTGGGAGAAAATGGCGGCACTTAGGCCGGAAGATGCTCTTAAAATTCAAGTCGAACCAACTACATCACGAAGTCAAATGGAATCTCCTTTTGAAAGAGAAGAGTGAGTTTGGCATTTGACTTTTCAATCAATCGAAGACAATCAATCAATTAATCGATCAATCTAATTATTAAATTCAGATTTGACAAAAGAGGAAAAAGAATCTCATTTGAAATTAGTTTTTGGGAGATATAAAGACGTTTAAAAGTTTTATAAGAACGCAACACTAGAATCGCTGCTATTGTCCACTCAGAAATTTAAAAGGGCGCTATACCACAGGCGAAACATCTCATTGCAAAATGCCGGTTAATTGCATCAAAAAGTTCAGGAGCTCCCTAGTCTTTTGAATTGGGTTTAAAATTACAAGGCTACATAGTTGATCATTAGTAGCGGTAAACCCTAAATTGGGTCAGCTGTTCAACGACTGTTATAAAATAATATAAAATAAAGCAATCATCTGGAACTGAGTCATAGATCACATATGTGGGTATATGTGATCTTCTTCTTATTCTTCTTGAAGTGCATGTACCCAATTATAGCAATGAAAAAGTATAAAAAAGAACTAGTACACAAAAAATTTTTAGCTTAACCACAACACTAAAAATCGTCTCAACTTTATACCAAAATTTTTTACAGTGATATCTTAATTTTTTGATAAATGCTAACAGTGAAAAAAAATATATCGCTGCAACTTTTTATTTTCCTGTTTGCATGGTAAAATGAAATACGAATAGCACCTTATTCTGAAATCTATTTGTCCCACAGTGAACTGATCGTTAAGACACGGTTCCCAGCAGATCACCGAAGTCAAGAATCACTGGTTGCATTAGTTTGCAGGTGGGTGACCACTTGGATCAGTTTGCGCAGGGGCCAAGGGTGTGCGGTATTGGTCCTCGTTAAACTGTTCTACCGTAAAGTGTTCGACTTCGCGTGCAGATCGTTGGGCTACCGAAGCGAGGGTGCCATCCCCTCAGCAGAGGATCAAAATCGTGATGGCATGTCTTCGGATCATCGCCAGGGATGCTTCCCAGATCGTCGCCAATAGCCCATTGTGCAGCTCTAGTGTGACGTAAATGAACTACAACAATAACATTTGAAATCTATTTAAACGACAATTCGTCTGTTTCAGAGAGCGTTTGGTGGAAGAGAATAAAGAAAAGTGGGACGTCTATGACGAAAATGCTGTGGATTTCGACGACAGTTCCGAGGACAATTCCATCTTTCCGAAGCTTGTCAAGGTACTTAAGGTCCTCGTGTACCTCTCCACGTTTTGTGTTGTCCTGTTCAGCGCTGTCATCTCGAAAGGATCTCTACTACTCATGACATCGGCCATCAGAAGGAAAAGACTCTTTCCTATTTGCAAAAATCTTTCAAATGATATCTTTCCAGGTAAAAAAAAACGTTTAAACTTTAGACGCAGAATTTTTATAAAACATACTTTTCACACTTTTTGTCATTATTTTGCATTGATTTAGGTCAAAATAAGTGAAAAATATTATATTTTACATTTAAATAATTAATGGTTAAGAAATGCAACATGAAATACCGGTGGCTTTTACTGCGTTAAAATTGAAAATCTTCCGAACAAGGCTTACTTCCAAACAATGATTCTTCAAATTTGTACTTATTAGAGATCTAAGAGAAACAGTTATTCAATTTACAAAATCAATTATTGATAGTTTTTGAATTCGAATGAAAAAAAACTTCAAACTAATTTTTTTTTGTATTTTATACTTTAGTACAAGTATAATTCCGATAATCTAACAGATTTTAAGTGACTATTAGACTGTTTTTTATAATTAAAATATACCGAAATATATATATTTTTTAAAATTAAAAGTGACAGAAAAAAAACATAATAGGGACACCGGTTTTCCATCTGTGTGAAAGGGTTATGAGAAACCAAATCTAAATCTCAATTCAAATTTAAATATTACATGTAGGGTAATTCAGTACCTCGGTTGCAAACTGTAATTCACAATATTAAGATTGAGAATTGCATAGCTACTCATGGCCATAAACATAATAGTACCACAATTAACAGATTATTCACATTTGAAACGGTACTTTTATTAAAATTATCTTAATTAATTTTACGCTTTTCAGTAATTCCTGTCCAAAATTGTATACAAATAATTCAAGATTAACTGCTTTCTTGTAATAAAATTATTAGGCTTTTAACTTGTACAGTAAGTCAATTTGGTTGCCAGCTGAGTAAACAATGACGAAGCCGCTGTTTTTGGGCCAATTTGAACACTCCAATCTGGAAGTAAGATAATAATTAAGATCGAACCTTCTCAGCCGATAGAAAAACTAAAACTCTATAAGACACTCATACTTCTTGTACTGTTTCATGGAAGCAAAACTTGGACCCTAAATTCAGATATACAGCGGTCACTGGACACCTTCGAAAGAAAGACCCTCAGTGTCATCTTTGGCGCAATTCAAGAAAGGGGATGCTGGTGAACCAGGTGTAACTTCGAGCTTTACCGACTCTATAAGCAGCCCCAAATTACACAAATAATCTGTATTAATAGGCTGANGTTCAGCGCTGTCATCTCGAAAGGATCTCTACTACTCATGACATCGGCCATCAGAAGGAAAAGACTCTTTCCTATTTGCAAAAATCTTTCAAATGATATCTTTCCAGGTAAAAAAAAACGTTTAAACTTTAGACGCAGAATTTTTATAAAACATACTTTTCACACTTTTTGTCATTATTTTGCATTGATTTAGGTCAAAATAAGTGAAAAATATTATATTTTACATTTAAATAATTAATGGTTAAGAAATGCAACATGAAATACCGGTGGCTTTTACTGCGTTAAAATTGAAAATCTTCCGAACAAGGCTTACTTCCAAACAATGATTCTTCAAATTTGTACTTATTAGAGATCTAAGAGAAACAGTTATTCAATTTACAAAATCAATTATTGATAGTTTTTGAATTCGAATGAAAAAAAAATTTGAAACTACTTTTTTTTGTATTTTATACTTTAGTACAAGTATATTTCCGATAATCTAACAGATTTTAAGTGACTATTAGACTGTTTTTTATAATTAAAATATATCGAAATATATTTCATTTTTAAATTAAAAGTGACAGAAAAAAAACATAATAGGGACACCGATTTTCCATCTGTCTGAAATGGTTATGAGAAACCAAATCTAAATCTCTATTCAAATTTAAATATTACATGCAGGGTAATTCATTATTTCGGTTACAAACTGCAATTCACAATATTAAGATTGAGAATTGCATAGCTACCCATGGCCAGAAATATAATAGTACCACAATGAACAGATTATTCGCATTTGAAACGGTACTTTATTAAAATAATTGTAATTAATTTAACGCTTTTCAGTAATTTCTGTCCAAAATTGTATACAAATAATTCAAGATTAGCTGTTCTCTTGTTATAAAATTACTAGGCTTTTAGCTTGTACAGTACGCCAATTTGGTTGCCAGCTAAGTAAACAGCGACGAAGCCGCTGTTTTTGGGCCAATTTGAACACTCCAGTCCGGAAGTAAGATAGTAAACAAGATCGAACCTTCTCAGCCGAAAGAAAAGTTAAAACTCTATAAGACACTCATACTTCCTGTACTGTTTTATGGAAGCAAAACTTGGACCCTAATTTCAGATATACAGTGGTCACTGGACACATTCGAAAGAAAGACCCTCAGAGTAATCTTTGGCGCAATTCAAGAAAGGGGATGCTGGCAAACCAGGTATAACTTCGAGCTCTACCGACTCTATAAGCAGCCCCAAATTACACAAATCATCCGCAGTAATAGGCTGAGATGGCTGCGTCATCTATGGAGAAACCCTGAAAATAGGGCCATAAAAATCGTCACCATTAGGAGTCACGCCCCAGAGGTAGATCCCCTACTAGATGGCTCAATGACATCGAAAATGACCTAAAAACCCTAAAGATTAGAAATTGGAAGGGAGTTGCCATGGATAGGAGACGCTGGTATTTGTCAGCTGTTAAGGTGGCCGAGGCCTGCAAGGGGCTGTTGCGCTGACGAAGAAGAAGAGAAGTCCAGAAAAAACACGGGCACAAGAAACAGAGGGCGAAACTGTCATTTTGACGGGAGCGAGAAGGAAGGAGTCAGAGTATAACTCTGATTCAACAAAGTATTTCCAGCCAACTTCTCAAACATTATTTAACTGAAACTTCCAAATTCATTCCAAGAGTATTCGATTATTTAATGAGGGTTTGATTTTCGCGGTGCCTACTTTTGTTTTATAAAGGGGTTCAATTGTACTTCGGAACCTCGTAGGTTGTGCTGTCTTACACTTCAAAAAATTTCCCGATTGAAAGTTATTGTATATTGCATTTTATACATCTTAAAATGGCGGCGTTGGTCTTGCTTTCTCTATATGACACTAAGTTTTTATCCATTTTAACTGCACTTTTATAAATCAAATGTAGAGGCATTTAGATTTAATACATTTACTAAAACCTTGAAATAATTGTACACATTTATTCATAATTTTCATTCATATTCCAAATGTGTTTTATTCTAACTCTCGATCAAAGCATTTCTTATTCTATGGTCTAAAAATATAATTCTAAGCATTCATATTTTTGAGAAATGCTAAAACTTTATGCTATTGTAATTTTTTGAAATGATTCTAAAAATTAATTTTTCAATAAGTTTCTGATAACTAAATGCAGTTTTCAAATCTCGCACTACTTATTTTATAGTGAAGTTTTAGTAATTTTTTTTCTCTCCATGTGACATAGATAGTGATGACAAGTACGTAGTCAAGATGTCAGAGCATGAAAGATACAGTTGGATATGGTGCTTGATTTTTTCACTTTTTGTGCCGGAAATCTTAACGTTTATCCGAAGCTGCAGAATTTGCATATTCAAAAACTACCACAAGCCTCGTATATCATCGTTCTTAATGGTAAATATCGTTTTTTATTAGTTTATAATGAGAATAATTAATTAAAAAATAAAACAGTTAGAAATAACTTATATCATTTTTTTCTGCTTATGTATTTATATCATGTATTTAGATAATCGGTTTTTGCACGTTATATTATTAAGTTTTAATACCGTCGTTGAACAGCCGACCGACTTCTCAGTTTACGACTACTAACGTTCAACTCCGTAGCCCTGTAATTTCGAACTCAATTCAGAAGACAAGGGAACTCTTGGATCAAGTATTGGGAGAAACTTACCATCGTGGTTGACTTTTATGGAACTAACCCGCATTTGTGCTACATGGAGAGGGAAACCACGAAACCTTCCATGGTTACCCTGACGGCAAAGGGAATCTAACCCATGATCCGTCTACCACTGAGGATATTTTACGTCAGCACAGTGACTGGTGCGAGCCGAGAGCGAAATTTGAATCAACCAGACATCGACGGGATTCGAACCCGGTTCACCTGGTTGGGGGGCGACCACTCTGTCCCCTGAGCCACCACCGCTCGAAAGATGTCAGGTAGGTTTGTTAATTGAACCTCAATGGCTCAGTAGTTAAGGCAATGAGCTGCCCCTGTGAAGGCTATCTCAAGTGGCAGCATGAAGCACTACAACCAGATTCAAATTGATGAGTACCAGTTTATATGGGAAGTAAGGGCTTCACGATGCGTAGAGCTGACATCACCATTCATCGTCGCCATCATACCATTGATCACTCCCCATACAACTCCCACAACACGCTGTTGTGGAAATGCTTTACTTTACATTGTTATTTATGAATAACGCGTCACTAAAGCTACCGTTACACTTTCAGAATTTTTTTTCAGAACTGAACCATAATATTGGCATCCTAAAGTATATAACAACGATTTTCGTGAGAACGTTAATAAGATGTCAAATTGAACCTTTTTTTTTCAGATTGGAACCATAACATAGTATAAGGGAAGTTTCCAAAACATGAGAACCGAACTGTCAGCTAACTTGACTAGCTATCAACAAAACATCTAGGGGTCAAGCTGTGGCAAGAATTAAGTTTAAATTTAATACACAACAAAATTTTAAAAGTAATTTTTCACAGAGTTTCTAAGAGTGAAAGGAATTAACGTAAATTAATACTTTTGTAATAATTTGTTTCATAAATTCCTTAAAAATATTTTTTTTCCTAACGAAAATGGTCGATTTTGAACATCAATGTTGTTAACTGAGTTAATGTAACTCAGTTAACAACAACAAAAAGATAAAGATGAAAAAAAGAAAGGTTTCTCTTTTTTTTGTCGTGTGCCTGTTTCGGCAGTGGGGGTGCGATTGTTCCTGTTTTTCAGTGGCGCCATCTATGGCCAGGAATTCGACTTCTGCCACGCCATTCACACAACCCGTTTATAGGGTGGGTCACACTCACACTCAAAGGAGAAAGGACATAGAATACACAGAGAGAGAGAGAAACATCCATGCCTTGCCCGGGATTCGAACCCAGGACCTTTCAGATGCAAGGACAGTTCCCTGCCTCCTATACAGGCCGGTCAGCAGGTTTCTCTTTGAAATATTCATAAGCAACTAATAATTTACTTGTTTTTTTTAATGTTAATATGAATTCCAAAAACATGTTTCAAGGGCGGTGATTTTGAAATATACTGGATATTAATTTCATGTTACAAGTGGTAATATTTTTTTTCTAGGTGTTCATGGTGGAGTCCTTTCATGTTATAGGACTAGTCTCATTTGTATTTGTAGTGCTACCAGAGATGCATGTCATGAAGGCTCTCTTGTTTTCAAACGTCGTGTGTTTCTTCCCGTCAATTTTAAACTTCTGGCAGTCTAGCAAAGCGGAATGTGAAGTCAAATCACAAAAAAGAAATGTTCTAAATTTAATCGCCATGGTATTCCAAGGAAGCATTTTGGTTTGGCTAGGCCTTACTGTACACGAAAAACTGAACCACACTGGCGCAAAAGCCATCGTGTTTGGCGATCCTGACGTTTGGGCTGTTATCAGTGTGATTTTAATTTCACTAACTTGGTGGGAAAATTACGTGGATGAAGAGTCACCCTCATTCTTAGCCAAAGTTAAAGACGACATCGAAAAAAGCAGACATTTCATTTACGTTTTTGTTTCTTTGTGGAAAATAGCACTAATTCTTGGCTGCTGCCTAGTTTATTTATTTCTAACGCTTGAAAATATACCGAATTTTTTCATGCTAAAAGATATTTTTGTGAACCACAACATTACCATCACTTGGAAAGTGGATGATATTCCAATCCCTGATAATACAAACTTGAAACCACAAATGATACTCCAAACATTGTCGGACATGAAGTCCAACCGATTACTTCCCATTCTGGTCAGCAGCATCCACGTGATTTGCGCGTACGTGTGCTATTCTTGCTGCAAATTCGTGTGTAAAGTTTGTATGCAGCAGTTTAGTTTCTCCCTGCCACTGTGCTTAACGATTCCTTTAACTATAATGCATCTAAGTTTTATGTGCCATCGTAAATCTCAAGATCCTTGCATGTACTCAAGGATGTCGCCTTATTTATATTGGGACTGTCCAAAAGATGGCTGGCAGCTCTTTGTGGTTGAAGAACTGGGTTATTTTTGGATTCTCTGGTTTTTGTCTCAAGTGATTGTAACATATCATATATGGTATCCGAAATGTGAAAGAATGGCATCCACGAACAAGTAAGAATGTTTAAAATCCTATGATTACTTCCTTAACGCCTTATTATTCGTATTATTATTATGTTTATTACCATTATTATTATAGCAATTAATATTATCATTATTATTATTATTATTATATTAATTACCATTATTATTCCAACTATTCATATTATCATTATTATTATTATTATTATATTAATTACCATTATTATTCTAACCATTCATATTATCATTATTATTATATTAATTACCATTATTATTCTAACTATTCATATTATCATTATTATTATGGAAACTACTCCTTATACCGAGCATTTGTATACATTGCTCTTTTTTCTTCTTCTGAAAGATCAAATAACAAGCTTAGAGAATAAAGGTTCTAAGTTATGGTAGGAGGGCAGGTATTCTTTGAGCAGAACTCCTCCAGACTAAAAGTCTGGGGCTGTCGGCTGCTAAGGTTACAAGTGAGAGCACATTTCTAATAGGGGTGTAATGGAGGAATGAAGGCATTGATTGATTTACTCACACTGACCTATGCAAAGATCAAGACAAAACTATTCACCCCACACCTCTATTAGAAGTATTTTTCCTCCTAACCATGGTACCCGCCAAGACTGATGTCTGGAGGAATTCTCCTGAAAGCCGCACTATAGGGAGATAATTTATTTACGTCACACTAGAGCTACACAATGGGCTATTGGCGACAGTCTGGCAAACATCTCTGAGGATGATCCAAAGACATGCCATCTCAATTTTGATCCTCTGCAGAGGAGATAGCTCCTCTGCTTTGGTAGCCCGATGACCTGCACGTAAAGTCGAGCACTTTACGGTTGGACAGTTTAATGAGGACAAATAACGTGCACCCTCCGTCCGTACGCAGGTTGGTCAAAGTGTTCACCCACCCGTTTACTGACAGCAGAAAATGATGCTTAACTTCGGTGTTCTACTGGAAACCGTACCTTTACGATCACTCCACTGTTGGACGGTTCTAAGTTAAGTTTTAGTAGTAAATAATAATGATAAAGTTAAAATCATTCTTATTATTACCATTATTATTATTATTATAGGAATTCTTCCTTATATCGAACATTTGTATACATTGCTCTTTTTTTCTTCCGAAATATCAAATGACAAGCTTAGTGGAAAAGTCATATTATTTTAGTGGTAAATAATAATGATGAAGTTAAAATAATTCTTATTAGTATTATCATTATTATTATTATAATTATTATCGGTACTCCTCGTTATATCGAGCGTTCATATGAATCGTTCTTTTTTTTTTAATTTCTTCCAAAAGATCAAATGAAAGCTCTATGGATTTCTAAGTGATATTTTAGTGAAGTTCAAAAAAAAAAATAAACCTTCAGTTTCTCGATTGTATGTGTGAAAAAGAATGAAAAAAAAAGTTCTGCATTTAGATCTTCCAACTGACGAAATCAATAAATTTCCACCAACGGTCATTTGAACTGTTTGCATCATAGCGTTCACGTTCTTAGTGTCTTAATATGCTGCCAAAAGAAAGTCTTTCTAAAATTGTCATCTACCATTATTTGTCAAATCCTCTACTTGCAAAACACCCAAAGACCAACACATAATTTCTTCATGCATTGAGATTCCAAATTTTGAAACTTGGTTAAATAAATCAATACTAAATACAATAATACAATTGAAAAATACTAAAATAAGATCTTTTACCAAGAAGTTTTAAAATTCGCGTTTTTCTTTCCTCGTCCCCCAAAAGCGCAAGGAGGTGTTATATTATTAAGTGTCCCCTTCTTGCAGAAATGTGATTCAATTACCTACATTACCTTAACCTATGTGGTAATATATATGCTGAACTTCCTTATTCATTAAGCAACTATAGTTTATATATGTGAAAATATTTTGTTTCATTTTATTTATTAAATATGTTCTACTGAAATTTGGTTTCGAATTTTATAGCTGGGTTTTTAAATAATTGTCAAAGCTCATAGTTTTATGTTTATTTGACTAATAAATTTCATTGGATGCATAGAGCGCATTGTTAATTAGCTCAATTTTCCTGTTATCGCTAATATATGAATTGTTTAATTACTGAATAGCTAGTTAAAACAAAAATAGATAAATTATCATTTTTTTGCAGATTATTTGTAAATCCCATGTACAGCACAATTCTCGTCGACCAATCTTTGGTATTAAATAGGAGAAAATTTGAAAAGGTATTTAATTTTACACATTTTTATTGTGTTTTTTTTATTTGCATACAAAGAAATCGTTTTGCCATGAATCAGGCTAAATGTATACATTACCGGCAATGTAGAAAATGTGAATGTGTTGTATACAATGACTGGCAGTTTTAGGAAAAGTATGAAGTATGAGAATTATGATATACGACACCTGAGGTCTGAAATTATTAACGCTTTTTAGGCAAAGTATTATAGTATGGTTCGGTGAATGTAAAGCACGAAGGAAGGACTTAACTTTATTTTTACGACGCTTTCTTTTTATAAAAATTATTACTGACAGCAGAAAAATAACTTATCTCTATTGAATAGATAATTTTTTCTTTTATGAAACACAAAATTTACTTTAACCCTTTGCTTAGGGTCTTTGAGTAGGTCTTGCTATGTTGTACCATCACATGCGGTCCACATGTTGTACCAGCAGTAAGCAGAAGGTTAAATAGCTTATTTGGTTCTTACTCCGGTAGCAAAATTTACTGAGTCATTCAGGAGTATTAGTCAATCTACAGTTGCCCGTGACCTCAATGTAATTGGATAGAGATTATTATTCTGAAAATTCAGCTTAATTTAACATACATAAATTTAATTTTTATTTTATAATCGTTGTTGTTAAGTCGAACCAATTTTTGAGTTTACGACTACTAATGTTCAACTCCGTAGCCTTGTAATTTTGAACCCAATCCAGAAGACAAGGAAACTCCAGGATCAAGGATTGAGAAAATTTTGCCTTCGTGGAGGACTTTTTGATGGAACTAACCCGCATTTGCTTTGGAAGAAGGAGAGGAAGACCACAAGAACCTCCCGCGGTTAGCCTGACGGCATAGGGACTCTAACCCATGATCCGTCTACCACTGAGGATATTTCACGTCAGCACTCTGATCGGTGCAAGCCGGATGCGGAATTCGTATCTACCAGCCATCACCGGTATCGAACCTGGGTCACCTCATTGGAAGGCGAAAGCTCTATCCCCTCAGCCCTCGTGACTCTAACATACATAAGGCAAAATTTGAAAATATGAGGTCCCTAAAAATTACACATGAAAGCTTTATGTTGCTTGAATTTAAGGTTAAGAATTTAAAATTTGCACTTGATTTGAAAAATATTATATAAATTTTTAAATGCTACTTTAAATTTATAATTTTAGGATCCCTGATTACCAAATATAAAGTTAAAATTTTAATTTAACCTTTTTTTTTCTTTTTAAAAATTGTAATTGGAAGCAGTCGGATACTTCAAGTAATATTAAAAAGCTCATGATTTTGAAATTTTTTTTATAATATATCGGCTCCATAAAATATCAATATCAATACATCAGTTATCAATAAATCAATTATCAATATATCAATTATTAATATAGTAATTATTAATAGATCAATATCATTTAGTAATTTATTTTTATTGTTAAATGGTTGGAAGGGAAAATAAACTTATCGCCCTGAATCAACATAATGAAAAAGACTAAATTCTCCTTACCTTATGACACTAACTTTTGTTAGCTAAAATATGAATTTTTTTGCATATAAAAACCAGTATATAAAAATATATAATTCTATTTCTTTTAAATTTTGTCTTGTTTCCCCCACTTTCTTTAGAAAGAGGCAATGAAAATAATTGATAGGGAGGAAGAGATTAACGAAGTACCAGAAAATATCACAACAATATTTGCATGTGCCACCATGTGGCACGAAACGCCTGACGAAATGGAACAACTTTTGAAATCTATTATGCGGTAAGCCTGGCATTTTATAATAATTATTTTCAAGAAAAATGTCTTAATTATTATCTGTTTGATTTACATCAGCCAACAACATTTCAGTAAAAAACTTTACGTATTTATCTTTTTTCATAGCAAACCTAGAGGTAAATCAATTAAACTAGATAAAATTTTAAAAGGCTAAATATGCAGGATATTCCATCACGGCCATCATTAATAATAGTTTATAAAATCCCCGGGAAAGAGAAATTAAGTAAAAGAAATGAAGTGAAATAAATGAAAGATTATTCAAAGTCGTAAACTAATATTTAAGTTTAAAAAAAACTCTGACTCAACTGAAAAAAACAAATTAATATTTTGGTCATTAACAGTAAATGAAAGATTAGAATTAGAGAGATTCATTTGGAAAAGAGGCTTAAAGCAAAAGGCGAATTATGTCCAGTCGCAGTAGACAAATAAACAGTGTTTCAATCATTTTAATTTCTCTTTTCCATTCCTAGTACTCAATAGTTGTTGGTAAGATATTGAAAATAGTTTTGTATCTATTCACTTAAATGTTAATTTGTGACTAAAGTGCTACTTTTGTTACTCCTTTTCTGTTACAAAGAGTCTAAATTGCATATTAAAGGTGGTCATTGTATAATACCCCTTTTAAAGAAATTCATATTAAGGTTCTGAAAAAATAAAATTTAATCGAAATTTGTTAAGTATTGTTTGCTAAATATTCCCGAATCTATACTTTTACAAATAAAAATATCTGACCATTTTTAAAGAACATTTCATAAATGTATCTCTCTGAGTTTTTAGGTTGTTGCGCTTTTATAAGTATTCATATCTTTCTTTTAAAAAAAGAAATGCACACTGTACTGTAAATAACTGTACATTTCTGCCAAAAATTAAAAACTATTTCATACTATATAACACTCTATAACAAGATATCTTGCACAGAGAGCTCGCTTGCATCTTATTCAAATTTAAGTGCTAAAAACAAATAGTTAAAAATTAGAACTACCTTTTGCAATTATTTTCATTCAAAGTAATTTTTAAAGGGAACATTACGCTTTAAAATTGTTATTGCCACGTTACCGTTATGTTAACATTTACTACAAATCTCTAGAAATTATGGAATAACTGAAAAAATGGAATGACTGAATTCCATTGTAAGTAATTAGAAACTTCATCAATTTAACGAATTGTTTCGAAATATTGTTAGATACAATTCGTCTCAAAAACTAAAATTTTAAAGTTTTTCTTAAACTTTAGCTTTAACATCGACATTGTTTCATAGCACTATGGACCGTTAACAAACACGCAAAATAATTACTTATTACGAGTTTAGCAAACTACTGGAATTAATTTACTACGTTACATGAAAGTTCGTCACTATTTAAGAACTCTTTGTTACATTAGTTTATTTTTTAATCAAATCAATTTTAATAATAAATAAACTTTTAAAACAATTAGCCAATAAATAAACTTTTTTTTACGAACATGTGAAATGATCACGTATTTTAATTATTACATTGAATTTATGGCATTAAATTTTTCCAAATTATGGTGCTTGTTATAATGTGGTAATTTTATTACTCTTGTTAGATTTGTAATTTTTTCTTTAAATTTATTTTAAAGAAGAAAACGAAAGCATCGATATTGTTTTTATAGCCCTCTTAAACTATTGAAAGTTACCAAACATGTTACATTATTACATGCACTGGAAACCCGAATAAATATGAGGTAGTGAATTACTTCAAAATATAATATTGCTTCAAAATATTGTTAGATACAATTCGTCTCAAAAACTAAAGTTTTAAAGTTTTTCTTAAACTTTAGTTTTGACATCGACATTGTTTATTAGCACTACGGACCTTTGAGAAACACGTAAAATAATTATAATTATTTATTACGAGTTTAGTAAACTACTGAAATGACATTACATTACATGAACTACATGAAGAGCATTACATGAAAGTTCGTTACTATTTAAGAACTTTTGTTATATTAGTTTATTTTTTTTATCAAATTAATTTTAATAATAAATAAACTTTTAAAGCAATTAACCAGTAAGTAAACTATAAGTTTTATTCATGTGAACTTCGATATTTTTTTTGATAGCCCAAACGGCGCTTTTTACAAACATGTGAAATGATCACGTATTTTAATTAATCCACCTAATTATTACATTGAATTTATGGTATTAAATTTTTCCAAATTATGGTGCGTGTTATAATGTGGTAATAATTTTATCACTTTTTTCTTNTCCCCCCTCTGCCCTGTGCGTCTCCAAACACGTCTTCGATGATCGTCAGGACACAGTTGGAAGCGGGATTCGTCGCTAAAGACTATACGTCCCCAGTCGGCATCAAAATCGACGCTCGATCAGGCTGGAAAGCCTGATCGAGCGTCGATTTTGCGCGTCTTAGTGCGTTCTTGGTGCGTCGATTTTTTTGTTATAGAGTGTATTTTAAAGAATAAAACGAAAGCATCGATATTGTTTTTATAGTCCTCTTAAACTATTGATAGTTACCAAACATGTGACATTATTACACGCACTGGAATCCGGATAAATATGAGGTAGTGAATTTAATACCGTAATTTTGTAAAAATGATGTAACTGATAGCGAAAATTTGTTATATTTTCAGAATGGATGCTCACCAGTGTTCTCAGGCAATGATACAACATGGATTTCTTATTAGAAACCCTGATTACTATGAATTAGAAGGTACTATGAATTACATTTGAAATTAATTCATTTTAAGTTAATGTACTTTAAATTAATAATGACTTATATGAATTTCAATTTAAATTAATACATTTATGTATTCTTATTAATTTTTGCTCTTTTTTCTCAACGTTTCCCCCAGTGGTGGTAAAATAATTAAAGTAATAAATTACTTTATGTGATCAGCACTTCTATACAATGATGCTTGACTATAAAAGTTTGTTTGCATTGTTTATTATAATTTTATATCGAATTTCTTAAATCAAGAATCAAGTACTTAATTATAAGTTTTGCTATCACTCGAAAATTCTTCTGAAATAAACCGTGAGTATAATGTATCATTCCATGAGCTATGCATGGCATAAATTCAGTTGTTTTTTAAATCGAAATTTGTTATTATATGGTGCATTAGCATAATAAATATAAAAATACTTACATCCCTTAAGACTTTCACGTTTTCTCTCTCATAAATTTTGGTTCAGTATTGAACAAAATATCGATTCCTTGAACCATAATATCGTGCAAATTTGTTGTAATCTATAGATGGCATTGAATTGAACGAAGTTTCCATTCAAGGTGAACCATATATCATAAGATAGTTTAATTTGTACGCTAATGTGGTTCATTTTGGCACCATATAGAGGTTATAGCAAATTTGCTCAATTGTACGGTTCGACGCACCTGAAAATTTTAACAGTGCACTGTTGTTTTTAATCAACATTACTTTGGTGGATTCACCTAATTTCCTTTTCTCGTTTAATTCAATTAATGTAGCTGCTCAGCCTTTCATTTCATCATCTCATGCTCAGCTCATGTTTATTTTCTATCAGACCAATATTATTTGAGATCATTTTTGGAAAGTAAGTCTTTTTTTCCCCTACTTCGTTCAGGTGGCATAGTTAGATTTTCTTTTTTTTTTCAATTATTTTACTATTTTTTCTCCTTACATTTTGAATGTACAATTTTAAATGATAATTTTACTATCCATTTCTTTAAGTGATTGTTTTAAGTCAGCTGCCAAAAAATAGTTTTTCTGAATCTATTATAAAAATAATTCTCAAAAATGTGTTTTTAATTTCTCCTTTTTTTTTCACAATCATCGTTAAAAAAAGTTTTTTTACCTCATTCCTCTAGCGCATATTTTCTTCGATGATGCGTTTGTTGTGAGTGACGAAGATGATGAAAAACGCACTATTAATTCTTTTGTCAAAGATTTTATAGCCGCCGTGGACACTGCTGCCAGGTAAATATAACAATAACAAACACTTAATAAATAAGTTGCTTAGCAGGTAAAAGTGCATTTTTTCAAAGCTAATGTCGTCTAATGCTTCTTAAGTTGTCATTAAAACAAACGATACATTAAATCGCGTTATTGTATATATTGTTACGTTGTTAAGTAATTATGCTTAACAACATAACAAACGATATATTAAACCTCGTTATTTTATATATTGTTATGTTGTTAAGTAATTATGCTTAACAACATAACAAACGATATATTAAATTACGTTATTGTATATATTGTTATTTTAAGTAATTATGGTTAACAACATAACAAACGATATATTAGATCAAGACATAAACAGATTATATATTAACTTGCAAAATAAACAAAGGATAAAGTTATGATATAAACACGACAGACAATCAAATGATAAAATAAGGCGACATATAAACGAACGATATACAAAATCTCAATATAATGAGAAGATATATTAATTAGCAAAAGATATATTAACTTTTGGCTTCTCTGTGGAGTGGCGTAAGCATATGCAAGTCTAAAACCAAGAATAAACTTAACGTCTCTGATTAGCTTTGTACTTACTTTTCAGAATTAGTTTCAATTGGATACTTGCAAGTGACGTCACGAGTGGGGTCAATCGAGTTTAACACACACGCGTTGTTCAACATCACAAAGTTTGACGTCGCTTGTACCCAATCGGGTACTTAAGAAGCAGATTACTGATTAACATTGATTAACATGATTGGGCATTTTAAGAAGAAGATCACTGATTAACAGACACCTTACCCGTGACAAGAGCTCCAGATGGTTGTTTATAAACAAGATGGCGTGTTAATATTCTGGATATTGCTGGCTAAGATCGAACTATGCTTCTTTACTAAAGTTGGAATGTTAATTAAATACAACGCCGTATGACATATTGAATTTGTTAAACTATGATTATTTCTTGGATATGTCTTTTATTTTATCGAGATTTGTTCATGTATTTTATTATCACCATGGTTCTTTTTGCTTCGTGTGTCTTGCAACTTGCTGCATAATTAGTTCGTTTATTTTCTACATGGTTTCGTACTTGCCTGCTTGTTAGGTAAGAAATAAGCCAAATCTTTATTTGTGAAAGAACATAGAATGTGTCACATAAGAGAAAAGTCATATTTGACTGACTATGCTTACTCGAAATGTAATGGAAAGAAAAGTTTCTAACGCATACAAATGTCACGTTTCAACAGCAATTCAACACGTGCTGACGACACTTGCAGATATCTAATCAAATCTGATCCAAAAATCGAATCAGCATGATATTAAGCCCAAGCCTTAAAGATGATACGTTAACACGCCATGCTCCACCACGTGATTATACACCACCATAAGATCAGTTGCAAATACCCAATTTCATCATGGCGCTTCATAAACACTGTCCTACTAATTGATAAAGTTATGATTAAGGAAGTGATATAGTTACTACTTTCTTACTATTTTTCTTGATCAAATACCATATCTGTAGCACAGCAGATTAAACAAAAGTTTGTGATGATGCACTAGGAGTAAAAAAATTGGTAAAACCTAATGGGCAAGTTACGCTAAACAACATAATCGTATCATACTATTTTATTATAAGGAAAATATGAGCACTCAGAGCTAAAAGGAGAGAGGTTTAGTATTTGTTAATGGTGTACATTTTCCGAGCCATAGCGAACCAATTCCCTGAAATCAAGTGAACCAAGACTTTGAACTATGTTGTCTTAAATGACTAGATTACTGCCATGCGAATCAAGGTAAAATCTCCTATCAGAAGACTGTCTTCTTTTAGGCTTAGTTAGCAAATTTTAAAATTGATTATTTCAAAACTCTAATTTTTTTAACTTGATCTACTTCAGCTCTGAGTACCTCTGGTGTATTCTTAATTTCCAATCTCTACTAAATAGTATTTCCTCAACTGCCGTTTAAAATAAAATTATTTTCAGCAAAGTGTATAAGAAATGTTCTAGACCAGATCCACCTTTTAAAGTGCCAACGCCATATGGTGGACAGTTAATTTGGAGATTGTTGGGTGATAGTTTTCTCGTTGTACATTTAAAAGACAAAGAACTGATTCGACACAAAAAACGATGGAGTCAGGTTAGTATAGTTCTTGTGGTTTCATAGCTTTTTTCTATGCAATCTCATTCAGTTTCTGTATTTCTCTACAATACATTATAAATGCAGATTTATCCGACTAACTTTCCATTTGTTAAAAAAATATGGATTGTTATAACTGTAAAGCAAAGTCTAGGTGGTAATTTTTTTACACAAAATTTTGTCATCAAGATATCGTATGTTATTATTAATTTATAATTTTAATTGCCATGCAAAATTGCCGTGTGACGATAAACATTTTACATATCCGTTTTGCAATTATAAAATAGCCGAAAATTGTTTTACTAATGGCTTATTTAGCTGTATTTGCTATATAGGTACGTGGTACGTAGATTAAGGGCGGAACCAATAGAAATAGAATTGGTATTTTAAATTGCAAACCAATTTTGGGGGATAATTTTTGGGCTATTCTTAAATAATCTTATTGATAAAAAAAACAGCATTACACCCATTTTTCATATGAGCAATTTTTTTGGTCGCTGAACATCCGACCCAATTTTCGGGTTTACGACTACTGATGTTCAACTCCTTAGCCTTGTACTTTTGAACCAATCCAGAAGGCAAGGAAACTCCTGAATCAGTACCCCCAGAGATATTGATTTGTTATGGAAACTGGAGGACTTTTCAACTCGACAGATTTAACGTGCTTCAGTCACCATTTACTATACTGGGAATCTTCGGCCGGTGGGGATCGAACCCACGAACTCTTGGATATGGGCCTAGTGCCCTACCAAGCAGGATATCCCGGTCTTATATATATATGAGCAATTTATTTACATTTTGATTTATCTTTTTTATTGTAAATTATTACATGAGAATTTAAAGTGGAAGAGGACTAAAAGTGATTGTTGCATAAAGCACTAAATTTTATATCTCAGAAAAAGGAAAAAACTCTTTACGAAATGCAAAAACATTTCAATTAAAAAATAGATTTGGAAAAAAAAGCCTTTTATTACATTACGAAATGCTTACACAAGTATCTACACTAGTTATTGCTTATGTAAACATTAGCAATGATGTTGACAATGTACATTAGCAATGCTTACGTAAGTTTTGCACAAGTATCTTACGTAACCCAAGCCAAAATTCGTGATTTTCCCATCAAAACATATTAATGGTTTATGTTGGTTTCAGTGCCATTCATGATGGGCCAACATCATTTGATGGTGACCATCGTTCAATATTTTCCAATATGCGTTCATGGTTTTTGATATGCCTACAAACTTCCATCATGGAAAATGATACTTTAATACTATGATGGTTAACCATCAAGAGAAGTTTGATTCTCATGGACCAACAATCCATGATGGTTACAACTATACATTTCCCATCAAAACATATATATGGTTTATGTTGGTTTTAGTTCTTTTCATGATGGGCCAACATCATTTGATGGTGACCATCATTGAACATTTTCCTATATGCGTTCATGGTTTTTGATATGCCTACAAACTTCCATCATTCCATGATGGAAAATGATACTTTAATACTATGATGGTTAACCATCAAGAGAAGTTTGATTCTCATGACATGAATAAACCATCAAAACAAGTAGCTATTCTTTTGTTGAACCATCATAAATCATGCCGAATTCCTTCATTGGGGTGATGGTTACGTATGTTGGTTACCATCAAAAAATATAACTGCTTGATGGAATTATTGATCGTTACCATCAAGATTATGTTGGTCCATCAATGAAAAAAACCATCAAAAATTTTGACTTGGGTAGTGACTGTTTACATGTGAATCTCTATTTTCGCTGAAAAAGTCATTAGGAATCCAAAAAAAAAAACCAAAATATATCCTAATATAATTTTTGAACTATAGATGCATTCTTTTGAGTTGATTTCAATGTTTTCATTTATTTTATTTTTGTTTAGGTTATGTACATGTATTATCTTCTGGGATATCGACTAGAGTATAAAATGTGCCAAAATCGGAACCCTGATTTTTCCGTAGAAAATCTACGAAAAAATACTTTTATTCTTGCTTTGGATGGTGATATTGACTTTAGACCTAGTGCTGTAATGTTATTAGTTGACCTTATGAAAAGAAACAGAAATCTCGGAGCAGCATGTGGCAGAATCCATCCCGTTGGTACAGGTACAGTTAAAGTTAAACATATTTTCATCACAATAGGCATGTCTAAGATCATTAAAAATTATAATTTTGGATTATGACATTTTTCTCGGAGTCGGTTGGAAAAAAATTGCAAATTAGTTAAGCAACTTTAGTTTTTTAATCCATTACAGATAAATTGTTAAAAATTCTTCAGAAATTAGTTTTTTTAATCCATTACAAATGAATTGTTAATTCTTTTGAAAGATCAAAGTATCTGAAAATCAAAAGGGGTGAACGGCTTATGTCCATTTTTCACAAAAATGGCGATTGGATCAAAATCTATTGCATTTTGAGGATTACTAAGTTTTGACAAATAAATCACAATGAAAAATAAGTTCTCCCCGAGAGTTGCTACACAGTGCTACTTAAAAACATATACTGACCGCGCACTTTCGTCGTTTTTCACTCACAATCAGCTCTTATGGACATAAACAGTTCTTCCCTCTTCATCTTTATTTGTAATAACCATTCATTGCCATAAAAATTAACGCCCCTTGAAAAAGCTGTCAGAATGAAACGAAATTTTATATACATACATAAGAACAACGTTGTTATAAATAAGTGATAAAAAAATCAAAACAAAATGATCATTTATTGAAGAAAAAATATATAAATGAATGTATGTTATAGTACTTTCTAGGGCCACCTCTCGCGTGAATGTAGGATACATTCTAGCATTAAGGGAAGCAAATCCCTCATAATGTTCAACATCATCTTGTTCCACGGTTACTGTAAAAACACGACTAAATTGACTTCAACTCGGAGGCTGCCCAACCTACCTTCTCAAGTGGTGACAAATCTGGGGATTGAGAAGTCCTGGGGAAGGGTGGAAACGCGGCGGAGGCATTCCTAAGAGGCCCTTTCTGTGTGTGGAAGCATTGTCTTTTTGTTGCTTGTCCCGGGAAAACTGGATCATAATTTAAATAAAACTTTTATTTAATATTTGTAGAGCTCGAGATATAATATTATATTTTATTCAGAATAAGACTTTCTAAGTTAAATAAATTTGGCATAATAATATTAATAAGGACAGGCCATGGGAGACAAATCTCTCATGACCTGACTAATCAAAAGCCAAATTAAAAAGTGATTGAATTTTTCCCAACAGACAATTAGGAGCATGGGAAGAGATCCATGTTTGGTGATTGATCGAAAGACAACATAATCAAAAATAAAGCCAATCCCCATAACCAAGATTAAGTTTGAAAATGTTTGGGGTAGTTTCGCTCTTGACGTAATTGGACTGCATCCGAATGGATACCTCCGATGATGAATCCTGAATGATGATGAATACAGATGATGAAGGTATAATTTGCTCGATAGCAATAGGTCTCAACTTTTTAGTCCTCATTTCACAAAAACTTTTGAGCAGTAAATATTTTACCTATAAAGGCTTTCGACCAGTGTGGCAGGTACTTCATCATACTAAATATTTTATCCAATTACACAGAAATTAAAGCTATGGAGGAGAATGGTATTTTCAGTTTTTAAAATCTAAGTTTAATCTGAACAAACTTTCCAAAGATACCTTTGAAATTTCAACTTTATTATGTATACTTTACAAAATGAAAGAAATGCTGCTCTCCAGATGACCATGAAATCAAAAAATAATTTGCTCCCAAGTTTTAGTGAACTTCTTTCATACTGTGCTAGCTCCTGAAAAATGTTTTTGCAACACGAAAGCTTTTAATCTATTTCTATTCATAGCGAATTGAAAGATTTCCCTATTATTTCTATAAATAATCTACTTCAATATATTTCAGGTTTGATGGTATATTACCAAAAGTTTGAGTACGCCATAGGACATTGGCTACAAAAGTCAACTGAACATATGATTGGGTGCGTGTTATGTAGCCCTGGATGTTTTTCCCTTTTTCGAGCTGAAGCATTATTAAAAAAGAATACGATGAGAACTTATGCGAACATAGCAAAGGAAGCCATTGAATATGTACAATTTGATCAAGGTAAGAACGAGTTTATTTAAACCTTCAACGTGCAGATTTCTCAAAAATTTAAAGGATGAGAAATTCGTTTAAATAATGTATATTATTAAACCCAAAATTCCATTAACCAATTAGAAATAATTCTGAATAATAGAATCGATTGCAACTAGCGCTTTAGTAAATACCCCAGGAAGACGCTGTTCCTCTTAACTTTTAATTAACTTCGTATTATATCTTCTAGAAACTGTTTAACAAAATTTTACCGCTAAAGTTTAGTTCAGTTCTGTTATTCAAATTTCATAGATACGTTAAAGCAGAAATATAAAGTAGATTAATCTCTTTACATTTGTTAGTTTAATTGCTTTACATCGAAAGGGTTAAAGTTCATAGCGATAAAGTATTAAAGTAGTTAGTACTCTGAAAAACATCCGTTTAACATTTAACCATAATATACTTTGAACAACAATATGGTGAAAATTTTCTGGAACCTGTAAATCTACGGGAACTCTATTAAATTGAACCATGTTTCTGATCAAGTTGAACCATAGTATCGTGCTATCAAGTCTAAGAACTACGATATTATGATTCAACATAGCACCACATTAAGGTTACTAAGCCCCTTATTATGGTTTAATACTTTCCAAAATTTCAAACAGGGTAAAGCGGAATAATTTTGACTTAACTATCGATTGCACTACCCTATCGCTAACGACACCCTAAAGCGTGGCAAGCAAGAATTCCCAGGCGTTTGCTTAAGCATACGGTAGCGCAGAAGCGTCGCACTCGTACTAATGCAGACATATGGGATTTCGCCTAAGTTAGTTTAAAAAGTGCTCAAGATATGTGACGTAATTGACCTCATCTGTTGGCACACCAAAAAGTTGACTATATGCAACCAATGTGGGTAAACAAATGTTCTCGATTATATTCTTGTAGGAGAAGATCGGTGGCTTTGCACGTTGCTGTTGCAGAGGGGATATAAAGTTGAATACAGTGCTGCGTCAGATGCCTACACCCATTGCCCTGAAACCTTCGGTGAGTTCTACACTCAGAGGAGACGATGGGCTCCTTCAACTATGGCCAACATCATGGACCTCCTGATTAATTACAGAAAAACCGTTGAATGCAATGACAACATCTCCAGACCTTACATTGCATACCAAGTAAGCTCATTTTTAAATTCTCATATCAGAGTGTCAAAGCGTATCAGTGTATACATATTAAAATACAGGTTTTATTTTAATGTTCTCTCACAAGATATATGACCTATACATATTAAATCTGTGAACCCGCTAAAGCAGCATAAGCAAAAAATTTGTCTTCAAATAGATTTATTAAAAAACAGAAAACAATATTAAATGGATTAAAAAATTGTTTTTAAATTTCTATTTCTATGAGTGATTTTCACAATTTCCATATCTAGAATTGATGCTTTAATGCAATCTTGTTTAAAAGCAATTTTTTAATCAATTTATTATAATTAGGTAGCTGCACTTCAAGAAGAAGACCACAGATACCCACACATGTGACCTATGACGTCAGCGTCAGCTGATCGCTTATAAGCAAAATGGCGTATTGAAGTTGAGCTAAGTTTCTCCACATAATGTTAGATATTTAATTAACGTAAAGTTAATTAAATATCTAAAGTAAAGTTATTTAACGTAATTAACGTAACGTTAATTAACGTAAAGTTAATTAAATACAGAGCAGTATCGCAAATTAATTGAAATATAATTCCTTCTCGTCTGCTTCTTTTACTTAACTTAAATTTATTATTTGTTTATGCATTTTATTGTAAACGAGATATATTTTTGTTTTTCGACTTCGATGCGTAATTAATTTATACTCTACATGGCTTCGTGCCTGTCTTTGCGTTAAGTATGTTATATATAGTGAAAGAATTGAAATACGTGTAAAAGAATATAGAATGCGTCATTTAAGAGATTTGATACTTGACGAACTTGGCCCACTCGAAATAGAATGAAAAGAGCAGTTGCTAACGTAAACAAATGCCGCTTTTCAACAACCAATCAGGTTCGTTTTTTTAAATAATAAATGTACTTATAGCAATTAAGATTAGCTTATTTTTACTCTGAATCAATTTTCAGATCATATTTAATTGAATACATGTAAGCGACGTCGCCCGTGTGCGTCGAGCTTGATTGGCTACTGAATCATGGCAAAAAAAAAGAATGCCAAGATTTACCCACAATAACGTCGAATGCGGATATCCAATCTAATATTATTGTTTTCATTACAAAAGCCTGCTCTATTGTATTAAGCATTAATGCTTGTCACCTTCAAAAGAATACCAATAATTCAAGTTTTGAGAGGACTGATATTAGGCATGCGCTACTCTGTTTGTCGATACTTTATAATTAGATGATTAGCAATGTAATACGGATTATTTTAAAATGTATCTGCTGTTAACTTTATATGCGAAGAGAGCAGAAGTGGCTCAGGGAATGCAGCGTTCGCCTTCCAATGAGGTGAACGGGTTTCGAATCTCATTGATGGCTGATCGATTCTAATTCTGCAACATGCTCGCACCGACCACGGTGCTGAAGTAAAATATCCTCAGTGGTAGACGGATCCTTGGTTGGAGTCCCCTTGCCGTCAAGATAATCGTGGGAGGTCTTCGTAGTTTCTCTCACTATGTAACACAAATGCGGGTTAGTTCCATTAAAAAGTCCTCCACGAAGGCAAATTTCTCCCGATGCTTGATCCAGGAGTTCCGTTGTCTTCTGGATTGTGTTCAAAATTACAAGGCTACAGAGTTGAATATTAGTAGTCGTAAACCCAAAATTTGGATCGGCTGTTCAATGAGGGTTTTAAAATAAAATAAAATTATATGCGAAGAATTTTTGACACATATGTTTCTGCAGCAACTGCTTTTTATGAAAATATTTTGCTGTACGTAAGGTTCTATAGGTAAAGTTTATATTATTTAAAAAAGAGAGGGGATGTGGATTAATTTAGCAACTAAAATAGTTTCGTTTAAAAGCAACGATCATTGCGTGATTTTTTCATTCATTTAATTATTTTCGCGATTATTTAAATATTTTCGTTGATACTTAGCTCAAAGTCTCGTCCACCAACTTCCGCAAGAAAAAAAAATGGCTGTAAAAAATGGAATTTTCGCCAAAATAGAAAACAATATGCCAAAAGCGTGATTTTTTTTTCCTTAAAGTTCTTCATTGAAGTAGTTTTTTTCTGTAAAAATATAATAAACGTAAAAAACTTTTATGTTTAATTGTTTTTGCGAATAAACTATTCCACAAATGTTTTTAATCGCATGTTCTAAAACATTAATTTCAGCATTTAAAAAGAAAAAAAAAGCAATTAACGCTTTGTTTAAATTCTTTTTAGTCATGCTTTTGGTGCAATGTGAAATAATTTCGTGCCATTTAGGCGAAATTTGCTCCAACTGTCGAAGTCGATGGGATTTTACACAAACACCCTTTCGTTAATATGACGCTTTTTTTTATTTATTTAGTTTGAAACCACATTATCGCGTCCCTCTAGTAACAGTTAATATGAAAGTATCTTGATGTAGCTAGTGAATAAACGAAGATAAGAGACGGCAAGCCATTAAAATATTGGTTTGGAGCATCAGTCAATAAATAAATCTTCGAATCAATGAATATCATTGGGAGAAAAAAGTTTCTAAACCTATCATTTGTGTTCTACAACTACAATAGTTGATTTCTCACGCATTTTGTTTTTCGTTCCAAACTAGGTTCTCCTAATGGTCGGAACAATATTAGGTCCCGGAACTATTTTTCTGATGCTCGTAGGAGCAATGGTTTCGGCGTTCAATATCTCCAACTGGCAAGCATTAACTGCAAACATGGTGCCGATTGTTTTCTTCATATTGATTTGTTTCCATGCTAAAAACGACACCCAGGTGAGCTAAAAAAACATTTTTTTTTGGTAATTCCTCATGCAATGGAGTTTATATAGTTTGTCTATAGAAAGATCTCCCCTCGCCAGGTAGTCTACAGATTCGTCGATTAAACCCGCGGGTTGTCCTCGGATGTTGGTTGGAAAATAACGTTTCGTGTTTAACCAATACCTCCTGGAATAGAGAAGGTCTCAGCAAAAAATTTAATCCTTTAGCAGTCCAAATGTAATGACATCTATCGTATCGCCACCACTGCACATCTTAGTATCCCGAACGTGATGACATCTTTCTTATGTTTTATCCACTGTGCAGTTTATGTTCGTTACGTCGGACTACAAAACTGATCCATGCTGAGGCCTTCTTTCTTCTAGGAGGTGCTGGTTTAACCCTTGGATTAACTCGTACCTATGGATTACCTAGGGATAATTCGTGCTGGTGGATACGGTTGTTAATTATTAGAATTTTTTTAAAAATATTACATTGCCTTCGTTATCTGCATCTTAGTTATTAAACAAAAATTTTACTGCTGTAAATTAGAAAATAATTTTTGGAAAAATAAAAACATTTTCAATAAGTAGTTTTAAATTTGAATGATATTTCAGATATTTGTAGCAGCTTATTTGCAGTTTCAGATAATTGCAAAATATCTAGCCGTTTTCAGATATTTGCTGTACAAATTTTGCAGTTTCAGACAATTACGCATCTTTAGCTATTTCAAATATTTGTTGTACAAATTTTGAATTTTCAGATAAGGACACATTTTTTAAACTAAACTAAATTAAACTCAGTGGCGAGACAGCCCTAGAGGGCCAAGGCCTACTGTGCCCATCTCAGTTTTCTTAACCTTGGGCTCTGGGGTGCAGGAGCAGATGTTCCGGTCAGGTGGTCAGCCGAACGCGGAACCCCCAGTGTTTAGTTCCCAAGTATGCTTGGTACATTTCAGGACACATCTTCAGCTGTTTAAGATATTTGTTATACAGATTTTTCAGTTTCGGATAATTGCACATCTTTAACTGTATCAGATATTTTTTGTACAGATTTTTAAGTTTCAGCTAATTGCACATCTTTAGTTGATTCAGATAATTTCGTAGTGGCCATCTTAAGTGTTTAAGGTTTCAGAATGGGGAGAAGACTTTCCAACCTTGTTCCTGCTCACAACCTGCTAGTCCTGATCACCTTTTTTACCTTGGCGCTTCTTACAAGCAGCTGCTGGGTGATCGGGACTTTCTGCAGATATATGGGGAACTGACGCGACGGGGCCTTCTGGACCTGGTCTAGGCTTTCCTTCTACAGGGGGATGTGTACAGATAATTGTGGTACAAATTTTGCAGTTTCAGACAATTGCATATCTTCAGCTGTTTAAGATATTTGTTGTACATATGTTGCTCTTACAGAAATTCATCGCTCCTTCAACTANAAACTAAAAAGCAACTAGCGGAAGAGCAACTTCAAGCTCAGGTTACCGTTCAGGTAAGAGTGCAATCAACCAAAAATTAATTGATAATTTTGCGAAAAAAGACTCACTTTTTTTTCAGTTAAATGTTAATAAATCATTTAAAAAAATTAAATGGCAAATAATTTGATTGGTTTTAAATTTCAATGAATTTGTGAGCAATAAAATTTGTAGCATATCGTTTATTAAAGAGAAAGAAGAATTCAAGAATCGTGGTAATCCAGTGGTTAGAGAATCGGACTCCGATCCGGTGGGCCTGGAGTTCGATCCTCGCCTCCACTAACTCACTGAGTACAGGCGATATACATACTCGTCATGTGAGCGATCACTGAGCAGTACCATAGGCGCAGGGATATGGAGAAAATTTCCTTCCCCTATAAATCTATTATAAATTGAGGAAAAGACCTTCCGAATGAGTGGTGCTGCCATCTATCTGGGAGGGATTCTGAAGTAAGACGTACTTTCAATCTTGCGTTGCTCTCTAATCAAGCTAAAGGCGCACTCTTCTGGCTCAATTCCCAGAAGGACAGCTTGGCTTGATCAAGTGCCATTAGAAACAACAAAAATATGAAGAATTCCTATATAACAAAATTCGAAGATGAATTTCAGTTTTGATAAGTTAGCAATGACTAGTCTTATTTTTATTCATTTATTTTGTAAAAGGATCCGACTAATTAAATAGAGGATAAACGCTACTGGGTTTATAAAGAAAAATCTACTCTTTTTAGCTATGTTTGAACCTTAACAGCAGTTTTGTAGTGTGCTTTACAAAAGCCGCATTCTTACGATTCATAAAAAGTATAAAACAAAAATGTAATCGCAAACATTATAAGTGTTTAATTAAAAATTAAAAGTTTTAACCATTATAATACTTAATTATTTCTAAATTAACCCAAAGTAAATGTATCTGGTCATGAAATAATTTCCATAAATTCATTTTTTTTCTTCAAAAATTGGCATTACATCAATCATTAATTCTAATAACCGTATGCACATGAAGATTTGCTAAAAGTTTCTGGCATTTTCCATAAATAACAGCGCAATAAACTGAAACATCTTATTATGCTTACATGGAATTCGTTTTTTTTCCCATTACGAAGTCATTTTTGAAAATTTTGAAAGTGTGATTTAGAGTTATATAGTGCCAAACTCTTCAAACTTAGAATTTTGAGTACTTTTTTAAAATAAAAGCTAATAAAATGAAAATTAAGACTATTTCATCAAAATATTGACACCACTGCACCGTTTAAAGACCTTAAGTTTCTTAAAAAAAAAAATAAACACATCTTGATACAAACATTTTTCTCTTTTAGACCAAAACAAAAAGTGGCGGCATGTTTGATTGGATAAACGCTCTTGGTAACAGAGGTCATCAAGAAGAAGAAGAAGAAGGTAGCATATCGTTCAGCTTTGCAAACTTATTCCGATGCATGTGTTGCACTTACCCAAAGCCAGACACTGCCAACTTACAAATGGTGAAATTAGAAATGGCCCTCAATAAAATAGATAGTGAGATTAAAGTGATCCAGAATCAAATGGAATCAACTATTATGCAAAAGCGTGGCATGCGCAGAAGGTAAGACAATCTGGGGTGGAGATCCTAGAATAGCCCACCCCGTAGCGATTTTTTGAATTCTCGCCAAGCAAGTTTTGAAATCTCGCTAAACTAGGTTTCTAGAAGAAGGTTTCGTGGAATTTTAATAAATAAATTGTTTAAATTAATTGAATAAATAAATTGTTAACGTTGTTTGAATAAATAAATTGTTAACGTTGTTTGAATAAATTGTTTTTTTGTTTTTAATAATCAAAAATCAACGTTGATCACAGTAATCACCAACTTGGCAAGATTTTAATAAGTGGCCTAGAGGTGCGCTATTCTAGGACATTACTGACAATCTGATTTAGTTGAAAATGAAACATCATAAATGATGTCACATATTTTGTCAATATTATCTATTCTCTCTTTCCTTTTATTTAATTGGAATTTTGTGGCATTATTTGTGCTTCATTCGTATTGTTTAACTTTGTTCAATGCTTGTTAGCTACGAAAATTGTTATTTAAAACTTGCTTTATTTCTCGAAATAGATCTTCTGTGCATAACATAAAAAAAGAATTGAAACTGGATACTCTACCAGAAGAAGCTGAAGAGGAAAGTGAAGATGGAGATGATTCATCAGAGGCAGAAATAAGTAAATTATTTTTAAGCTTTCTTTTCTTAATTAAAATGGCGATGCGCAGAAATGAAAATATTACATCATTTGGGAAATTTCTAATAACATTTAATAAAATATAATGTATCAAAAATAATAAATGCAACAAATCCTATGAATGGACATTTCTGATTTTTAGATTCATTTATAGTTCCGTGTATGTTTGTTAAATTAAGGTATTATTCACCTTATTCTCGACCACGTTTCATGCTCCCACGTTTCATGTAGGAGGTAGTATTTGTAGAGGTTGTTTTAACTTCCGGNTGGTATAAGATTCAGGTAAAAGAATTTCTGCTGTTGTAAACCAAATTGCGTAAATCTGCATCTTAAATGATCATGTATTTGCATATCAATTCAGGATAATTTCTCAAAGTACCTTTTTTTATATCTTTATATGATATTTTAAAATTTCACAAAAAACATGGCACAAAAATTAAATCAAGAAAAACTAAGTATTCAGAGTATATACAAACAAATCCGGAGCGTCTAAAAAAGAAATAGTCTTTTTAATGCTATGACGTCAGAAGAGGACCTCAAGACTTCGGGTAGCTTTTGTTTGTTTTTTTAGGATAGATGGTGAATACGTGCTAATAATTCGTTTAGTTTTTTAATGCTAAAACGCACCTAAAATCATGATTTATATCCAAGTGATGAAACTTACTTATTTCCAATATCATATATTGATCCAATATAATACATTGAACCATTTATTTATTGTAAGGAATTGGACTATTTATTCCTTATTAAATCGTGGGTATAGTACTAAAACAACAAACACATTCCAAAATTAAGAAATAGATACTTTTCGCGGAAAATTCAAATAGTATGCTAAAAAATGTGAAAATGTCTTTCAATATATACGAAATCACCCAAATACGGCGAAGTACCTACCCCCATTATTCAAGGCTTAATCTCTTCACGGACATGGAAAGAATACCTCTTATTTTTGACTCAGTCAGGTGACGTGGACAGCGTTTGGGCTAATACCCCTTTCTCAAAACTTTCACACCCCAATCAATATGAGGACTTTTACTAGCGGAAGATTTAACGTGCACCCTGGGACCGGGCTAGCCTGGTTGGTAGGACATTGAGTTCGTGAAAACAAGAGTTCGAAACTCGCCGGCAGAAGAATCCCGGTGTATTAAATGATGACTGGTATACGTTAAATCAATCGGGATCACAAAGTCCTTCAAGTTCCCATAACAAATCAACACCTCAAAGGATACTGAATTGGAGATTGATCTTTGTCTGGTTCAGGTCAAAATTACTATCTGTGGATAATTGAATAGAGTATGATTAGGTCTTCACGGTTAAACGAGCTGTGACCAGTGTGTGGCTGAAGTTCTATTCTTAGATATAGATGGAGCCACTGAAAAACAAGAAGCGCACACTTAAAAATTAGCTTGATTTCCCAAGCAGGCTTGCTGGCATTGGCAAAAGTAACAACATCAACTACAACGTGCACCTCGCTACATAAACACTTCTATTGTTTAGTTGGCTGCCAGGATTGAACCCTTAGCTCTCCACCAGCGTTGTGAATGACGTGTTAACTGACTGCGTCACCGGAGGGCTATATCAAAATAAGACGAAAACGATGATAACAAAAAAGGCATAGCACGAGCGTAAGATCATGAATTGGAGATCACTGGTGTAACCTATAATAAATAGATGTAGCCTATAATAACCTATAAAATTCGTCGCGAGAGCTAAATTGCTGTCCAGGAGGATTATATTCCTATTATAAACAATCCACAAGTGTCATTTTGCTGTAATGCCTTCTTATAAATAATATCGAATTCATGCCATCAACTTTTTGGTACCACATTATTTTTGCGTATTTTGATATATTTGCATATAGAGTTCAACTTTTTTTTTTATTTGAGTTCTCCTTAAAAAAGTGTTGCATAATTTTAGGATATAAGTACAGACAGCTCAGTATTTGTTGATTTCAAGTTCTAGATATATTTTTATTAATTAATCTAGTTTTTTTTTTAAATACTGCAACTTAATAACACTGCAAGTATCCGTATAACTAAGGGATATCGAAGGGATATCCGAGGACAGCAATCGAAAATATCCTCCGAATCAGATGCCACAACGTAACCATGGCATTTCGTCCGGAGGATGGGCGGCCTTTATCAGAATTGACCGAAGTTCAACAAGTTGCCACAAAACAAAAACAAGTATTGAATTATGAATCAAATAAGAACTGTAGATTATAACATCGTTAATTTCGTATCAGAATAATTCCAGACGAAAATAATTTCATTTTGATCGCAGTTTAAAATTTACAAAAAAACAAACAAAAAAAAAAGAATTTACATTAAGAAAAAAAATTCACAAAATGTTCTGTGAGAGAACTGAAGAACGGATGACCACCAATAGAACTAAAGAACGAATGTCCAACACTGCCCGAGAACAAAAAGGAGGAAATGTTGAGTAGAATTTGCTTCCATTAATGGTTCTTGTTAAATTTCAATGGAAAATATTACATATTTTTTAACAAGTACTCGAGAGCATTAATGTTAATTTCCGGCCAAAATCTCTCAGATTCGGAAATCTTTTTTTTCTTCATTTTGTTAATGATATTTTTTTCTTCATTTTTTTAACATTAATTAAAAAAAATAACCCTTTTTCACCTTTTGGAGCAGAATATTTTTAGAAACATATTTTTAATTCCTTTTCCTTACTTTGTATTATTTAAAGTCAAATTAAGTGAAAAATATTACATTTAGCATATTAATAATTTATGGTTATGAATTACAACATGAGACACCACTGTCTTTTTCTGCTTTTAAAGTAAAATCTTTCAAAAACGGCTAACTTCCAAACAATAATCTCTCCAATTTGCAGTTATTTATACGTAAGTGAAAAAGTTACTAATCTTTGAAATTTCTTTAATCTACAAATTCAATTGTTAATAAATTTTTGAATATAAATAGAAAAAAAAATCAAACTATTTTATTTTATTTTTTTTGCATTTTCAATTTTAGTACAAATGTAAGTGCGATAATGTAACAGTTTACTGTAATATAACTGTAAGTAATATAACTGTAACAGTAAGATAACTGTTTTTTATAACCAAAAAATATTTTTGTTTGTAATTAGGGCTTTAGAAAAAAATATATATAAAAGGACACCGGTGTCCCATCAGCATCAAAGGGTTAAGAATTATAGAAATTTTTTTTCTAAGGTTACCGTTCTAAGGATAACCAATGAACCTAGCAGTAGGTGTTTGATTAATTTACACAATTTAATTAATTAAAACAAATTTATAACCGAGAACAAAACATTAATCAGAAGCATTATTTTTAGACATATCTAATTTTAGTACTTTACTCATTAAATATGCAGACATTTAGATTTTATACCATCATGCAAAATTGTATAATTTCATTTCTTTCAGGTGAACAAGAGGAACATACGTATAATCAAGTGGACAGTAATATAGAGTACTGGCTAACTGATAAAGCAGTTGGACAAAGTACTGTACTACGACTAACAAACTTAGAAAAACAGTTTTGGCAAGACCTTATAGGCAAATACTTATATCCTTTGACTGAAAATCCAGATGAAAAAGCAAAAGTTTCTCGCCAACTTATCGATTTACGAAACAAAGTAGTTTTTGGGGTTCTCATGCTGAATGCACTGTTCATTCTAATCGTATTCCTATTGCAAATGAAGAAAGATGTTCTTCATATTGAATGGCCGATGAACGGAAAGAACAAGAACATTACCTACATTCAGTCGCTGGACGAAATCAGAATTGATATGGAATACCTACAACTAGAACCTATAAATTTAGTTCTAGTGTTCTTTTTCACTTTGATCTTAGTGATTCAGTTTGTCGGAATGATTTTTCACCGTTCGGAAACTATTTCCCATATTTTAGCTTCTACTACTTTGTTTACGTACAGCTCCAAAGATACGCAAGAAATCAATTTCTCAAAGTTGACAGATTTGTTGCGAAAGCAGGGTTTGGAAGATGACAACGAAACACCGTTGGCTGAAGTAAAAGAAGAGTTAACGATGCCTGATCATCCAAATGTTGCTCCTTCGAATCTAAATATAGAAGAAAACAACCGACCAAGGAAGTTTCGGTCGCTTAGCTTGGCAATGGAAGATGATATTGTTAAAATTCTAAAAAAAGGTATTTAATTTTTAATTTTCTTCTACCATGAAATTACATCTATGGTGTAACCAAAAAGAGTCATTCGCCCTCTTTTCTAAAAGATTTTCAAATTAAGTTTAATTTGGTTTTTTTTTCAAACATGCATCTGACGTAAAATATCCTCAGTGGTAGACGTGGGTTAGAATCCCCTTGCTGTCGGACTAACCATGACTTCGTGATTTTCTTCTATGTGTAACACAAATTCGGGTTAGTTCCATCAAAAAGTGTTCCACAAAAGCTAGTTTGTCCCAATGTTTAGTATAGGAGTTTGCTTGTCTTTTGGACTGGGTTCAAAATAACAAGGCTACGGAGTTGAACATTGATAGTCGTAAACTCTTAATCGGTTCGGCTGTTCAATATCGGATAGAAAATTTATTGAAAAAAAATATTTAACATGCATTTTAATTAGCGAATCAATGAATGAGCAAAACAGAGCATCAATGAATCATAAAATGAATTATTTAATAAATTATTAAATCAATAAGTGAACGAATATAAATAGAAGATATAGCGAACAATTATGCTATTAATCTTGTATATACCTCTTATATTAAAATTGCAAATTTCATTATGCCCCACCATTTTTCTATTTTGATATAAATTACTGTAATGTATTTATAACCCAATATTCGTAGTTGATTGACTTTCTGCTCCCAATAGAGTTTTAATTGTTTCCGAACTCGTTCTTTGATTTTTTTAATTCCTCGAGTTTTTCCTTTTTTTTTTTTTTAATTTTCTATTAAAAATTACTTGCAAAACATTTACAGGTAATATCATGCCTACAAAAATTTTATAAGTAAGTTTTAATAAAATATTTAGTATAGTATTTAACTAGTATTTAACAAGCAAATATTCATATTGAGATATAAATAAATCTAAGTAGACAAAAATAATACACATAAATAAATAAACAAACATAGACTTGTAAGGTTTAACTACTTTACTATACCTAGACACCACTATTGTCATAATAGATACAGCTAAGCGGGTGAATACAGACTTTAAACGGCATTTTGTATAAATACGAAAATACGGTATACGGAAATAAGCTTTCAATAGAAAATTTTATTTCAAAGAATTGAAAAGTAGTTTTCACTAATTACTTTCAGTGAATTCAAATTTTATCATGTAAAGTAACATAGTCAAATGACAACAGACAACTGTCAGAAAAGAATTGTTAAGTTCTTTTTAATTAAATTAGAATGTATGATAAAATACTATTTCAGCAAAATATAACATTTTGTGCAAGCAAAAACGCCATAAAACAGTTGATTTGATCTTAATTTTTTACAGATCTCTATGATCGCAAAAAAAAAAAAAAAATTCTTAAGATTAAGTTTCCTTATCAAAATTGCTTAAGACAAAAAACTAACGCATACGATCTTTATCAAATACATAATAGATTTAACTGATATTTAATCCTTTTTTGCATTCAATAAAAATATTAAATCAATGTTACTTACATACTTTCAGGCTGAAACAAAGTTAATTTCCTTTTGAAATGTAACTTTATCCAGTACAGAAAAAGTTTCTCAGTAAAGTTCAATTGGGGAAAAAAATGTTCTCAGGTCAAGAATATTTTTAAGTCTGATTTTCCTATATCATTGTTTATAACCGTTCTCCAAGAAAGCGCTAACATGCTTTTTTGAATCGAATTTTTCTTTCGTTCATTTTTATTTATTTTGTCGGTTAGAACTTAACTACTTTTTTAGTGCTTGAACAAAAAGTTTTGAATTTCAATTTTATAAAAAATATACTAAATTTAGACTATAAAGTGAGACATTGAAAAAATAAGACATATTTTTATTGACACCAACACAATAGTTTACAAATAAGTAGTTTAATCAAACAACGAAGTTTGAATTTATCGTTTTCTTTTAGCGTTTTATCGCTTTCTTTTGACTAAGCACAACAAATGAAAACAGAATCGTCTGCTTTATTTCGAAAACCAAATTTTATTAACTTTTATTTAAATGAGGAAATGTTATTTTTTTCATTTAATGTGAAGGAATTTTCTTCCAGTTTATAATAATCGAAAGAATATCGTTTTAGAAAAAATAAAAATATCAATCAAAGAAGTCTATAAAAATGCTAAGTTTCTAAGAACCAGTAAAAATCCTTAGTATCAAGCATGTAATGATATAGGAATCGGGAAGCAAATTTTTTCTGTAATGTTAAATTTTACAAAAGTATTGGATGCCAACTACGATTTTTTTGGTTCCTTGGCAACCTAGCACCCGAAATTAGACTCCTACATATCAATATTATTTGCTTTCTATTGCTAAAATATCTCATTGTCTATTTTGTCTTGTTAAATTTACCACAAAAGGAAACTACATAATTTATGGTCATTATTGATTTATACACTTTCATCACTGCTTTTAAACCAAATTACGCTCAAATTCTAGACCAACAAAATGGAACAATCTATTTACACACACTGGCCAATGAATTAGAAACCTGTGAGAATTTCTAGTAAATGCTCTCTTGTGTCTAAATACCCAAGTCAAAATTCTTGATGATCAAATCAAAAACAATTTGATGGTTTATGTTGGTTTCAGTGCTATTCACAATGGTCCAAAATCATTTGATGGTTACCATCTACCAACATTTTCCATTATGCATTCATGGTTATTGATATGCCCACAAACTTCCATCATTCGATGATGGAAAATGATACTTTAATACCATGATGGTTAACCTTCAAGAGAAAATCGATTCTCATGGTTCAACAATCCAGGATGGTACCATCTATACATTTCCATGATGATTTAATGGAAATTCATGTTGGTTCTCAAGAATATACCATCAAAACAATTTAGATTTTTTTAATGTTAGACCGTCATAAATCAGTCCGAATTCCTACATTAGAATGATGGTTGTTCATAATCGTTCAAACATTTGATTTCTAAGAACCCATGATGGAAATTTGTGATAGTCCATAATGGTACAACAATGTCTTTTCATTTGTTAATAATTATTCTTGTTGATGGCTCAGCAGAAATATACCATCAAAACAAAGTTGGTCCATCATTCCTATATATATATCAGTCCGAATTCCTACATTGAGGTGATGGTGGCCCATGATTATTCCAACGTGAGATTTCTAGGAAACAATGATGGAAATTTTTGATGGTTTAACATGAACAAACAAGTTGTTATTCTTATATTGGACCATCATAAATCAGTTCGAATTCCTACACAGGGGTGATGATTAGTTATGTTGCTTACCATCGAAAAGTATAGTGGTTCATGATGGAATTATTGACGGTTACCATCAAGATTATGTTGGTCCATTAATGGAAAGTCATCAAAAATTTTGACTTGGGTATACAAAATCTATTTATGACTTGAGTGAAAACCTCATCAGAATGCCAGTATTAATACAGGTTGCACTTCAAGATAAATATCAGTATATTGGGAAACATGACCAATCTTTCAGTTGAAAGTTCCTATATATTTGTCTAATATACTGGACGTTGGTTCTGAGCAGATAAAGTGAGGAAACTGCAAAATGGTTGTTGAAATTTAATGAATCACTACTGAGGAAGGTAGGACTAATAACACTGAAACCTCTTTGATTACCAGAGGAAATATCGAAGACTTGAAAGGCGATTACACACCTTCTAGATTTATCTAGCAACGAAACTGGTTACTGGTTTCAGTAATTTTCATCCCTTCTTTTTCGCTGCGATTTGCCAGATTTCTTTTCAAGTTTAAATCCACAAGACTCAGCGTCTGTTACATTTGACAATATATAGTATAGTTTTGCTGCTTAGAAAATAATATTTTATATTTTTTCTGTTTGTATGGCTGCACAAGGCGATTGTCTATGTAGAATAATGATTTGTTTTACACACGCTGGACGGTGCTTTTAACTGCAAATAAATAAACAAAATTAAGAAAGGTAAGAAACTTGATTCAAGTAAATTTTTGGACGGTTTTATAATAAATATCATACAATTTGAGTTAAATTGGTTTTGTTTCCTGACTAAAATGTGAAGAAACTAAAAAATATCCTACAACATGCAAAAAATGGTAAAAATTAATTTTTTAAGTAAATTAAAAAAAAATTTAAAAATGATTAAGTTTAATAAGTGAATTTTTTTTAATTAAATGCTTCATTATATTTATGAGCCTACTTTCTGCAAAGCTACATATTTCTAAATGAAAATCATATTTTCCGACATTTCTTTAAGCTAAGAACTCAGTAGGTCAAATATTAATTTGTGAACTCTACTATATGTAGAATTTGTCCCCATTTTCGAGAAACATTCTAAAAATATACAATACGGGTGGTTTTTATGAACACCCAGTATACTTTTCTGGCTAACGAGTTAATAATATTTAGGCTTCTTTTGACTATTGTAACATGTTTTGAATATTTTCTTACAGACAAGAAATTTGCTAATGCTATAAGAAGAAAGAGTAAATATCCAGATGCGGTTGATGCAATGAGAAGGAGATCTGAACAACGTATGTTAGGAGTTACTACACCCCAGTCCCTCACAAGACCCCCTACACCACTCATTAACGGCAATGTAGTGGACTTCCAGTGGTCAAACCAAGGAAGTTTTAGATCCCAAAGACGATCCAGGATTATCGAACATATGATAGATGCGTCCGATTCTGAAAGTGTAAATAGTTTTCAAATGTCGAATCCACCGCCAACTTCATCGAGTCCGACGCCAAGCAGTCGTTCAAACAGAGCATCATCGTCCAGAAGAACCCAAGAGAATTCTTAAATTATTTGTAAATGTTTTTGCGCATCTGCTTTCATGTCTGTGATCATATATTTTAATTTATAAAAATCACTACACATAAAATTTGCAACTTTCAGCATCATCAATTTAGTTTCAAGAAAAATTTGTCAATTCTTTTACTTTGTTCTACTCTTTACAATTCTGTACATAATTCTACAATCGTTGCCGCATTTTTCTAAACATATAGTACAGAAAACTCGCATCATGTATAATGCAAACTTTATAAAACTAGGAATTATTGGAAGACTTGTGTATCTTGTAAATGTATCATTTATAAACAGAAAACAAATGAGATTTTTAGAAATTATACTTGTAGCAAAATATTAAATATAAAAGAGGCACTTCTTAATATTTTAAAGGTCCACTAAGAATGCACAAGGTACAGAATAGTGTGCGGCATCATTTACTGCAACACGATATACACCGAAGAGCCATTACATTATGACCACCCTCCATCTATAACAATGGGCTCGCTCAGGTTTTCATGGTTTCTCGACCAGGAACAATGTTTTCATGGGGCACATTAGGGCCCACAATCCCTGACGTCTGTAAGCTACTTGAACATAGTTGCAGACCAGATTCACCCATTCATGGCAACAGTTTTTGTCTGCGGGGGATGGTGTTTACCAACAGCATAATGCACCATGTCATAAGGGTCGAAAGGAACATTCCAGTGACTTTCAAGTCATGTCTTAGCCCCCAAAATCACCTGACCTTAATTCAATAGAGCATTTGTGATCCTACTTGGAAAACCAAATTCGTGCTGCCACGCTACCCACTCGCAATGGGAGGGAATTACAGGACCATTTGGTGAGCGCTTGGTACCAGATACCTCAGACTACCTATCAGCACCTTGTGGGATCAATGTCACGGCGGTTGCTAGCAGTTTTGAGGGCTAAAGGTGGTCCTAATGTAATGGCTCTTCGGTGTATAAGTCATTCAAATAGAGTTTAACGTAATTGATTTCATTCCAGTTGTCCGGCCATTGTAAGAGGACGATTGAAGGTCAAATAATGGTACACCCTTTTGTACGGAGTCCATCGTTTAAAATAGGGGTTACCAAAAACTAAAACCGAAGGAAAATAAAAGAAACGAACCAATTTTGCGATTCTTCAGCACAATGACATCCCTCACCAAAATGAACTCGCCAAAGGACAATCGTCTTCTTACCTGGACCAAACAACACTTGGCGCTCTGAGTTGCTTACAAACACAATAAAAATGTGAAATTAAAAAAGAAACAGTGTTTATTTCGTTCTTTTATAGAGCTCAAGAAATAACCCGCACGTTCATACGTCTTCCGAACATTCCACCGAGAGCTAGAAAAATGGAGCAAATAATTGCGCATATGATCAATACAACGAGGATAACTATAATCACACCAACAATCAATAATATGACAGACACCAACCAAAACGCGAACAAGTAGACTGTCTTGTCACAAAAAGTCTCACTGCAGTGATCAACACTGTCCCATCTTGCGTGAACAGTGTATATCCAATAGCAACCTAAATCAGAAAAATAAAATGCAAGAAGTTGAATGAAAAATAAAGCAATAAACTATATAGTGAAAGTAACCGGACAACCAGTAGTATGAACTCAAAAAAGATGGTCCCCCTTTTGCACTCAGGACAACCTGGACTCACATGAAAGACACCACTAGTTTCTGAAAGCTGGCCATACCCAGATAGCATTGATTTTAATGTCGACAACAACTTTTATCACAAAGTCCAACAAGGTTTATTAATGATTAGCAAATAAAGCTTACGTTAAATTTAACTAGTGTAGCTTACTTGCTGTAAGGTTCGCACTATAAACTCGCTTGAACAATCCTTTTACATCGAAATTAAATCTGCCTTTACAAAATAAGGTTAGAAAATCCTCTGGTATAGAGGCTGCATCGTCGTTCGCAAGTCAAAAGTTGACAGCTTTCTCAAACCTAGGAGGATTTCACCTTCTCAAGTTTTATTTTAGGTTTTATGACCATCACTGAAACAAGATTTATTTGAGCAGGCTTTACTTACTTTTTATATACTATTTATATATTTTTTACATACTTTCTTAAACACTTTAAAAGTGAATCATTATGATTTCAACACAAATGAAATATTACATTTGAGAGCCTAGACAAAGCTAGAATGAAAAAAGACAAAAACAAAATTTACAGTAAAAGCTAAAAAAATGATGTTTTTTGCTAAGTTTTGCATGCATTTGTTTAATAGTTAAAGAAACAAGCTCGGTATAATAAAATTTCTACTAAATTTGAAAAATGATTAATTAACCAATCTTTTTACACCAAACAAATGAAGATACGATGTTTGCCGTAAAAGGTTGCCTGCGATCTGGGTACGAATTTACTTCCAGGCGTTCATTATTAGAACTGAAGTGGGTGCATGACAGTGAGATGGACGATTTGGCTAGCTACATATCTTACGTTCTAATTCATTATAAAGGCGCTCTATGGGGTTAGATAAGGGCCCTGAGAAGGCCAGTTTTTAAGCACAAATTTCGCCAAACCCTGACTGCGCAAGTCTTGATGTGTAAATTGAGAAATACTCCTGCTGGGAGGTAGGTACTTTATTTACGTCTCATTGTAGCTGCACAATGGGCTACTGGCGTCTATGTTTCCAGTCACGTGCTAAATTTACGGAACCCAGCCATACCACCATAACATTATGAAGCCACCATACTATTATGACAACACCACCATAACATTATGAAGGTGTGTGTCCAGATGCGTTTGTGTGTAGTCGAAATTCAAACCCAAGGAAGGGCTGGCAAAAGAATTACAATGAGTTTTTAAATTTTCCAATATTATGTTTTTTTAAGTTCGTGAAATGTACAGTGTGCATAGAGATCGAATTTTAAAGAAACTGTACTTTTAAAATTCAATTACTCAGGAAATATTTGACCGATTTCGCTCAAAACTTGTATTTTGCCATATAAAATTACATCCCTTAAAATGATGTAAAAAATTTATACCTTGCAATTCGAAATTTTTTCGACTATGATTTAATAAAATAATAAAAAGTAATAAATATTTACTGAAAGTTATATTTTACATGGAATAGGAAGAGGAATTAAAATAAATTACAATGATAAGCTAAATAATAAGATAGATTACAATGGTAAGATAGAAAAGAGTTAAACAGTGAACTAAAACAAATAAATAAAAATAAAAATACATAAATAAATAAATAAAATAAAGCAAGATATCTCACTAAATTACTTTTGTTCTAGTGATAGAATTGCAAAACACTTAAGTGCGAATCTTAATGGTCCAAAGTCAAAGATTCGATTTGTTTTAAAATTTCGCGAAATATAGCGAAATTAGCATATTGTAAAGAAAACATAAAGAGGTCTAAATTTGTACTCTAAACTAAATTATGGTTGCAATATTTTTCAAACCACAGCCATCTCCCATAATTTGATGGTCAAGAAACCAAGAGGAGATACGTTTTTATGTCTGATCCTATATTTTAAAAATTCATACCTTAACACTAATTAATAACATATTTAGTGCCAATCCTTTGAACCATTAAGATTGATCACACAATCTATATACCTAAGTTTAATTTTTTTTTCAAGTACAGTTGATTACACTGTGGTACAATTTTTTAGATTTAATTAGATTTTTTAACAGATCTTACAATACTTTCGTATCGTTGGCTTCAAATCTGCGATCAGTTTCTCCCTTCAAACTACAACTTCTAACAGCATTTTTAGTTTCTTTTTTGTCGATATGTAACAGTTTGAAATCCACAAATATAACAAAAGGTCGCATAAATGTTGCGACAAACGTCTGGGGGAGTTAGGTGCGCACCACCAGGATTAAAACTACTTTAGAACTCATACCCAGAAATATCATCACATGCCACTAGAGGCGCTTCCTCTTTATAAACTGTTTCTCTTCGCGTGTTTCTGAACAGACCACAACATAAAAATAACTTTAGCCATGCACGATAACAACTTATGCATTCCTGATGATGTGCCCTAACTCCCCTAGAAGTTTGTCATAACATTCATGCGATCCTCTGTTATGTGTAACATTTTTAAACTTATACATAAAATAGACTAAAAATTTAGTTTTTCAAAAAATCTGTAGCTTTAAAAGCAAAAATAATTTCGAACTTGCAACAAAAAACATGGTCCCTAGCGTTACTTTTTAAATTCTGCAATCGTTTATTTCGTTTCGCTTTCGTTTTTAGTTTCGGTTTATTAGCAAAATGTCCTTACATAAAATTATAATAATTATAAATGTATTATAAATTTTATGAAGAATATACTCTTTTTTAAATTAAAAAAAAATATCGACTTTTAAGAAATGATGGTGAATGAAAAGCCAAGGTTAGTGAGCGGTACCTCCGCAGTGGACAGATCGTTAAGACACGGTTCGCAGCAGATCACCGAAGTCAAGCATAACTGTTTGCGGTCAGGGTGCGGGTGGATGACCACTTGGATTCGTCCACGTAGGAACCGAGGGTGTGCGGTATTGGTCCTCATTATGCTTTTCTACAGTGAAGTGCTCGACTTTGCGTGGTATGTCTTCGGATCATCCTCAGGGATGCTTTCCAGACCGTCGCCAATAGCCCATTGTGCAGCTCTAGTGCGACGTAAATGAACTACAACAACAACCAAGCATTTAAAAAGGAAGAAAAATTCTTTGCATTATATATATATATATANNTGTTTATATATATATATATATATATATATATATAAAACTTACTTTTTTAAAGAAGATTTTCAACCGAACCCTGAGCAATCCCTGTTTTTTCACCTCCTTCCTCGAGTACGGTCCACATAGTTATGAACTCGGTGTTACTTAGCTTTGACCAGAAGAAAAAATATTTTTTCAACATAAAAAAAATAACCGTTTTTAACCAATATTGGTGATTGAAATGGGTTGCAGGTGGCGTAGTACAGAACTTTCGATCTTTGGCAGCACTTCGCATGTTTTTACCATTAGCGAGTGGAGAGTCATAGGAGAAGGAAGTACGTTAGTTCCTGTCTTGATTTTCAAATAGATTAAAATCTTTTAAGTTAGGAAACTATATGGAACTGAAAACTACATTGAACATAGCTCCAAAAGGAAGTGTCGTAGAAATTTTTAAAAAAAATATTTGTGACAATTAAATACGAAAAATATTAAGAAAGGGTAAAATATCATAATACATTCCTATACAACTGGGGAGAGGGAAGTGGGAAGGGTCATGCCGCGGAACCGGTCCATTCCCCAGATGGCGCATAAGAGCGTTTCGATCGCGAATAGTTTATACCTAAATAAGATTATATAACAAAATAACTGAAGTGAAAAAGTTATCTTTCATCGAATAGTTATGAAAATATTAAATGAACTTTGAGAAACTTACCAGTAATGAACCATATCGTTTGAAAAACATCGACGATGTAGTAACAGACTATCATTTTTGGCCAAAAGCTCAGGCACTTTTGAATAATACCACACACCCCAAAAACAATTAGGAAGATAGGAATATATCGTTGAGCCGGACAATCATGTATAAATACGATCCCTATAATAATGAATACAAGGTGATCATGATTGGGAAAATCAATGAAAAAAAAAAAGATATACAAAATATATAGTTTGTTGCTTTTTGGTTAGGCAGCTTGGCTTCTTTTTCAAGTTCATCAACAAATGACTCTACTAAGAAAAACTGTGGGGGAAAAAATGTTCTTCAAAACAGCTATTGTTTGCGGCAGCAAGATGGTATAGTGTGAGGGCAAAGTTAACAGACACACGTGAACATATTTCATTTGGATTGTTCAGATATGATGCAGAAGTACAGTTAGATAGCTCTTAGAGTCTGCTGTGCCATCTATTAGAAAGCTTTGTAACTAATTTTAACATTTGGTGAAAATAATTTCTGGTTTCCAAAGCAAAACGTCATCTTTTTCAGGCTTTCTTAATTTGATTTTTCAAATAATCGAACACTTTTGGAACTCCCTGTATATGAAACCACATTAAACGAAGCACCACTATAAGTAGGTCAAGTTTACCCCATTTTAATATCCACAGTTTTCTGGGAACACCCCACCTCTATATTTATCGGCCCGTATCAACAATTACATTTTTCATTTAAAATTCCATCATTACTATCATATTTTCGTCAACCCTTTTTTTACATACTTCAAGGACCCCTTGGGGTTCGCAAAACAGCGGTAAAGGAAAAAGGGTTTATAGTCTGATTTGATTGGCATATTGTTTTTAGATTAATGGTTTATGGTATATTGGTTTTTATATCGATTATGTATCTATATCGATTCTAATTTCATAATAATAGTAATAATTAAGAAAGAGTTTAGTAAATAATTAAGCTATTAATTTCCTTTTTACAAAGATTTTTTTCTGCAAATCAAAATTTATATTCAAGGATAAATATAAAAATGCAAGGCTACGTTATTATTTTTAAGAAAAATTACAATATTTAAAACAAGTCATAGTCAACAGTTTTTTAAATAACAATTAAACATTAAAAATAGTGCCGGTTAAACTTTAAAGGTCAAAACACTGGAATTTTCTTACCTATAGTTATCATTATTAATTGCAATATGAAAAGAAAACAGCTACCCAAAACGTCTAAAGAAACCATTCCTAAAGTGAAAAGAAGTGAATAAATAAATGAATAAAATAAAACGTAAACTGTCATTTTTATGAAAAGAATATTAATAAAGGAAAAATGAAACATATCTGATTAAACAGTGGCGAAAAGTTTTGCACCTTAAGATACTGACAATTTCTAAGCATTATTTAAATATCTAATTAATACCAACCGAAGCTGAATTAAATCAATAACTTATCTGTTACGTATCTTAATGCTGTCATAAAGATATTGTTACTTCCGTTTCGTTAGTAATGCCTTCTGTAAGCAATTATTGAAGCTGTCTGCTACGCTTTGTCGAATTTCTAAGCATTATTTCAATTACTAACTAATATAAACCAAAGCTGAATTAAATCAATAACTTATCTGTTACGTATCTTAATGCTGTCATAAAGATATTGTTACTTCCGTTTTGTTAGTAATGCCCTCTGTAAGCAATGATTGAAGCTGTCTGCTACGCTTTGTCGAATTTCTAAGCATTATTTCAATTACTAACTAATATAAACCAAAGCTGATTTAAATCAATAACTTAGTTGTTACATATAAGGCTATCTCAATGCTGTCAAAAAAGTACAGTTACTCCCGTTTACTTATGCCCTCTATAAACAATGATTGAAACTAGAGTGCCTTACTCTAGGCACTCTAATTGAAACCACCTGTTACGCTTTATCTTTTTTTGTTAGATCTGGGCAAACCGATTTAGGAAACTAGTGGGCTCCATTTTTTTAGTCACGATTAATCAAAATTACCACGGATCATTATTGAATAGACATGTTTACTAAAAAAAAAATAAAAAACAACATTAAATAAAGCGTTACGTACCATCTAGGAGAGAAACATTTAACCTTGTGAAAGGCACATTGAATATACCTGGCCCGGCAACGAGCACATCGGCGCCACCTTCGCCACGGATATTCACATTGGTTCTTTCGGCTGCTCCTAAAAATTCACAAATAAATAAGCTAATTCACATCAACGTAAACCTGTTTTGATGCTTGCTTAAAAGTGCGCGAATTAACAAAGGTCTACTTGTTAATTATCACATTTAAAAACATTCCCAAAACCATTAATGGTATAAAATTATTCAAAAAAAATAAACTTTTACTCTTTTTAACGAGAGGGTAAGGAAAAAATTTAGAAAGATTTTGAACCATGTACTAAATAAAGTTTCTGGTCTTTACCGAGCAAGAGTATCTTAAAGCCGGGATAGCCTGGTTGGAAGGCGTTTGACTCACTTTCGTGAGAGTAGATCAAATCCAGCAGGTCGAGGACTCCCCGTGTAGTAAATAGTGACTGGCGCACGTTAAATCTGCGGGGTCACAAAGCCCTCCATATTTCCATAACAAATTATACCTCTGGGAGATCTGGATTGTAGATTGGTCGTTCTCTGATCTAGATTAAAATTAAGATCTGTATGAATGGGTCCGCCCTGTAAACGGGTGCGGCAGAAGTCGAATTCTTTGCCATAGATGGCGCCACTGGAAAACAAGAACAATCGCATCCCCAGTGCCTTATGCCCTACGTCAACAAACTTTTTTTTAGCATGTTTACTGAACTGTAAGTGGGTTCTCATAGAAGCAAAATTCATCAAAGTGTCTAAAAATCTTAAACAAATAATACAAATATTTATTACTGATAAGCTAACTTTTTAAAAAAAGATTTTTTTAATATTTAGCATAGACTTTTCAATAGATTTTCTAGGCAACTTTTTAGGCAATTCATAAGATATTTCTTAAAAAAAATCTAAAATGTTGAAAGTCATACCGACTGAAAATAATTAATATCATGACATAAATAAAGTGTAAAGTTTACCATGTTTTGAGTGTTATTTTCGGTCTTTTATGTTTTGAGCTGAAGTTAACCTACTGAATGGTAAAAAGTATAAACTATATTCTAAACAGTGCAGGAACAGTATAGGAGGGATATAACAGTATAGGATAACATGTTTTGTAAGCTTCAACATAAAAATAAATTTAAAAAAAGAGAAGTCTTAATGCGAATTTTAACCAACTCTACTTGCGCTTTGCTTCATAAGGTTAACCATCCATAGAAATTGAATTTCAGTAATAAGTTTTCAAATTAAGTCACTTTCTAACGAAACGTTTTCAAATTAAGTTATTTTTTAACAAACATACTCGAAACATACTTAAGTTTTATAAAAATATTTAAGCTGTTAAGGAGCACTCTATAAGCAGACAAAAAATTTACGTTTAAACATTGATCAAGGAAACGTTCCCAACCGAAATTTAGAATTGAATTAAATGTTTACAGCATTTGTTAAAGACTATAGCTATTCATAGGGAAAAACGAATAATAATTGAATCGGAAAAATTGTTGCGAGACATGCATTTCCGTCAGGGAGTGGTCCTATCCCATATTAAATCTTTTACAAGTGCCGTTTTGCTGCATCGCTATTGGACAATCATGCTCTGACGCCCATTAACATTGACTCATAATCTTGAGTTCATTCGTTACGTAATGAATGAAATACTTTAATGAATTTTCATATAAAACTCTACTTGATTTCGTTCTCTATTTCATAAGTTATCCACTACTCGTTCCTTAACTGAACATGAGTGTAGTAAGATAAAACGTAAGAAGAGGAATAGAGTGAAGCGAAGTATAAATAAAAGAATAGAGTAAGTAAGATTGCGCTTAAGAGAAAGACAACGTATAAGTAAAGGAATAGAGTAAGTAAGATTGCGCATATGAAGGGAGAGACAACGCATAAGTAAAGGTTGTTGTTGTTCATTTACGTCGCACTAGAGCAGCAGAATGGGCTATTGGCGACGGTCTGGGAAACATCCCTCAGGATGATCCGAAGACGTGCCATCACAATTTTGATCCTCTGCGGAGGGGATAGCACCCCCGCTTCGGTAGCCCGACGACCTGTAAGCAAAGTCGAGCACTCTACGGTAGCACAGTTTAACGAGGACCAATACCGCACACCCTCGGTCCCTACGCAGACTGATCCAAGTGAACACCCACCCGCACACTGACCGCAGCCAGTGATGCTTAACTTCGGTGATCTGCTGGGAACCGTGTCTTGACGATCAGTCCACTGCGGAACATAAGTAAGTAAGATAACGCTTATGAAGAAAAAGACAAGTATAAGCAGAGGAATAGAGTAAGTAAGATTGCGCATATGATGAGAAAGACAATTTATAAGTAAAGGAATGGAGCAAGCAAGATGTAGTAAGAGTAATGTGATCATAGTAGTAGGAATAGAGTAGTGAGATCAGGATCTCCCTCTGCTAAAGCGTCCTCTTAACTTATTACTACGGATTCCTGCAGGTATAGTCTGTCTATGTAAAGAACTCCTCGCGTCATTCGTTTGGAGCAGTAGCGGTGATCATAGTTATGAGGTTTAATTATTTCAAGTAGGGTTGTTGGGTCCATATTTAAGATAGGTTTTGTCTCGAGTCAGTGAGAGAAGGGGAACCAGGGGAGAAAGAAACTCCCTCTTATAAATGCCCTATAATGTTTCAGCAGACGGTCTTAGACTTCGTAACGAGGGGAGTTCTTTTTATAGACAAACTATAATCTTCATTGATGAATACAGACGTAAAGGTTTAAATAAATTTTTAAAAAATAAATAAAAATACTGTTAGGTGATTCCAAGAGTTTAGCTGTAGGTGGCAGTTCTTTTATCTCCATAGGTGCATTATGAGATCCCCTGCTATCTTCTTCTTCTTTTCTAGAATCTTTCGCAGGAGGGTTAATTATCATTGCTGTTTTTATTTGAAAAATTGAATTTAATAAACCTAACGTAAAAATAAACATAACATAACATAAAAACAAACATAAAATAAGAATAAATACAAAAAGTACACTAAACATAAAGAGCGAAAAAAAATTAAATAAATAGTGTGTACATAGATATAAATAATATAACCAATGAAAAAAAAATAATGTGTAAAATGAATAAAAGTAATTTTAAAAATGAATAAATATAAATTAAAAACAAAATAGATTGAAAAAATATGTCNGCATTGGATTGCGAAGCAATCCGAAATGAACTGCGAAAGCAGTTCCGGGGGTTGGCGAGCGCCAGCGAGCAGGGGGCGAAGCCTCCTAGTATAAATTGAAAACAAAATAGATTGAAAAAATATGTCTCAACGCTCGGTAATGCACTTTATAAAATAGAATTATTAGACCACTATTTATATGTAAGACAATGTGTTCTCAAATTCGGAGCTTTAAATTTTTCCACGGACGAATAGTTACAATTTCTTATTAATGAAGAAATAATACTGCAACCTATTATTAATAATTATTGAAATAGATTATTATAAATGTGATTATTAAGAGCCACGCGTTATGGAATAATAATAAAAAATATTGCACTTACTCTACATTGATTTATCTATCGTGGGCGAAAATTGAAGTAATACGTTTATAATATGTATGTTTTAAGACTTACATTTCATATGTTCTATTTATTTGCATGAATATATATAAAATAATGTATGAAATATACGCATAAATAACTAAATTACACGAGCAAATATAATTAGAAAACTTTTATTACTGCTTGAATAAAGATGCCTTTTTTTTCTTGAATTCACAAAAAAGAAGAAAATGAAGTCATTTTAAAGCGAAATACAACTACGAATTTGTCAAAAATTGCATGCTTTTTCAAAATAATAAATAAATTGGTAGGCGTAATAAACAAAAACATAAACATTTTGGAAATACACTTGAAATATTTGATGACGTAATTTGTGTTGCACGTATTATTTTTCGCTTCATGAAAATGTTTTTAACAAAATGGCGAGACACTAAACAGAACATGCATCCAGAGTTTAACTACAAAGCACATTACAAGAGAAAAATAAATAACATTTGTTACCGAGCTAGGTTATGGTTAACGAGTATCCCAAATATGATCGAAAATTTGGAACGGAATGAGAGAGGTGAGTGAAGAACGGAAGGTAATAGAAATGTACGGCTTACTGAGTTCTGCTCAGGAAACCATATCATTTATTCCGAATAAATTTCACACTTAGTAACGCAGTTCATCAACAGATATGAAGCTGCTAATTGAGAAAAACCCTAAAACAGTGTTTTTAAAGTAATCACCATTTGCAACAACAGCATAGAGCAGACAATATTTAGAATGATATTTCGCGCAAATACTTCAGTTAGAATGGTTTGATAAGCAGCAAAAAAAAAATATATGTTTTTCGTCAATCATTCTATCTGTTGACGGAAGCTTTAACTAATTTTGGCACTTGATGATAATGAATACTTGATGTTCTAAACAAATCTATTTGATGTATCAGGATTTTAAAAATGGAATACAAAAACATACTTATATTTCAAAGTTAACTTGCATACAGCTTACATGAGCCTTTTTCTTCCTTGTTCCTGACCTCGGTTTTTGAAGTGGAGATGTAAAGATATAGAGCTTTATCTGGAGGTGATAATTTTTCCAAACTTTCGAGGGATAAACCTTAAATATGCTAATTAATTAGTGCAAATGATATTTTAAGTTGTATGAAACAGTCATTATTTTTTCATTTCACAGTTTATTATTTTTTTCATGAACAATTCAAAGTGAAATCGTATATTTGGTCACTCCAAAACAAACCAAGGCACCGAAGATGTAAGTGACAAATAGTGACCTTAATGAAAGAATTGAAAGCCAAGAGCATTTTCACTTAATATTCTAAACGAATTAAAAGTTACGAGAATTTTTATATGATGTTCAAAATGAGTTAAAACTTACACGCTTTTTTATTTAGCATTCGAAACGAATTAAAAGTTGCGTGCATTTTTAAGAATTAATAAAATGTTCAAGAATTAATAAGATTCGAAATGAATTAAAAGCTGCATGCCTTCTTACTTAATATGCGAAACGAATTAAAAGTCATGAGAGCTTTTAAGTAACATTCGAAATGAATTAAAAATTACACACCTTTTTACTTAGTATTCGAAACGAATTAAAAGTCACGTAAATTTTCAAACAATATTCGAAATGAAATCAAATTTACATGCATTTTTTCTTAGTATTCCAAACGAATTAAAAGTAGCGTGCATTTTTAAATAATATTCGAAATGAATTAAAACTTACCTGTATTTCTACTTAGTATTTGAAACAATTAAAAGTTACGAGCATTTTTACATAATATTTTAAACGAATTTAGGATGTATTTTATAAGTTGTTTGTATTTCCAATTTTAGTATAAGAACAATACATACTAAACTCTTATTTACAAGTATTCATTTATTTAAATTCTTGATCCCAGCATACAGAAAATTTTAAAAAAGTTTTCTTTTCTTTTTTTTACAGGACAATTTTGAGCAAATTTAAATTTTTTATTTTAAATAAAAATTTACAAACTCTTATTTGTACTCAAAACTTAGTAGGAAAAAAATAGAGCCAAAATTTGCTATGCTTTCAAGTGAAAAATTAGTATTTGAAAATAACTACTCTCAAAACATAAAGTTTTTATGCAATTAATTTTTCCAAACTATTTTAACTAATTATTAATTAGATCGAACTCTCCATTCATGCAGAACATTTTCATGACCAATGTAATAAAAAGATTGAAAGGCAAAACAAATTCATAAAATTTGACTCCAGTTGAGCAAGAAAAAATAAAAAATAGTAAAAGGCTGGAGATTGAGAAATATTGACCTCACTTTGTATCATTGTATCCTTTCATCCTCCTTAAATTGCAGTTTTCTTATAATTTATTTTTTAAATTTAATTCCAAAAATAAAATTTTCTTCTAAAGCCCCAAAGAACACAAAAAATGTCTCAGACAGTATGCTTTTTTTCAGCTTTTGAGTAATAGTGAAAGTTTATGAATTGATATCAAATAATAATAGCACTAAAAGTTTTTTTTTAATGTGTACCTGCACACAAGTCTTTATGATCTAATGTAAGTTTCATTCGTTTGGAAAAAGTTATAGGCTTGGCGACAAATGTAGTTTTTTTATGTACAAATATATAAATTTTTAATTGCTAATAAAATACTTTTTTTTTTAAATTTGAGTAAACATAATAAAGAATTTCCAGCTTCATAAAACTATGTATCTAAAAATCGCATTAACAAAATATATGAATATGGTGATGGATAATTGAAAAAAATTTAGCTATCTTTTACCTGCTCTTTTAAAAACTTTGATTCTGAGGAAACAGTCAATGAAAACAAGTTATTGTTTTTAAAACACATCGAACATGTTTAAAAGACAAAACGAAAACATAACTCTACTTCAATAAAATTTATGCTAATGATAGCCCGAAAGAATTGTATCTTATTTGTTTATTAAGAGCTTGAAACTTTAGTTTGCTTTTTCACACAAATAAACAGAATTATATATTGAGACACAAAATGGTACATAGAATTTTTTTTTAACTGTAATGCTGGAGTATGTAAAAAGTCATTGCTTGTCTTTTTCAAGACTTTCTGATCGCACGGACACAGCGCCCTGCTGCGGCATTAGTCTTAGTTATTAGTTAGATGATAATTTTATCCTTTTCTTTTATGATTTTCATTTAAGAAATTGTCTTTAACCGCTAGGCGCTTTGTTTTATTGTAATTGGGTACTTGCAACTCGAAAAGAAGTGAAGTGATATTACATAGCTATGAGATTTAATTGGAATATCTGTAAGCGACGTCACGCGTGTGTGTCGAACCTGATTGGCTTCTGAATTGACAAATGCCTGGATTTACAGACGATTACGTCAATTGCAGGCGTCCAATTCACAATTTAAAAATTCCATGATGTGATTACTGTATTGATTGAAATCGAACATATTTTAAATTAAATGAAATAAACGAATCAATATTTTCAAAACTACCGAACTCCACCTTTCAAGATTTGCTATTCCATTCGCTGAAATCAATAAATAAGCGTATAACCACGAAATTCAATTCTATAAAAATTTGGTATTGCAAAATTGTTAATTGTGTTCCTTTTTTCAATAAATGACTGTATTCCCAAAAAGTTTGAAATATTGAATCATACGGGGGAGACTATATGCCTGAATCCTATATATAATTAGGGAACCCTTGCGAAGTTTAAACTCTCGAATTTTGCAACTTTCACTCGAGTTTTTAATTAAAATAAAAAATGTTGGATCTAAAATCCAAATCTTTCGGTTCTACAAATTTATTTTAAAATCCACATTTGTATTCGTAAAAAATGTGATATTCAGAACACTTAAAAATCAGGAACATCACGACAAAATACACTCTATAACAAGAAAATCGACGCACCAAGAAGCAATTATCCGATTGCCAGATTACAGTGGTGCATGGCTCGATCATGCTGGAATGATCCCGACTGGGGACGTATAGTCTTTAGCGACGAATCTCGCTTCCAACTGTGTCCTGACGATCATCGAGGACGTGTTTGGAGACGCACAGGACAGAGGGGGGATCCTGCCTTCACTATTGCACGCCACACCGGCCCTCAACAAGGCATTATGGTCTGGGGTGCCATTTCCTTTGACAGCCGGACCCCTTTGGTCGTCATTAGAGGTACACTTACTGCACAGCGGTACGTCGACGACATCCTAAGACCTGTTTTGCTACCGTTCCTTTTGCAGCGCCCTGGGCTGGTTTTTCAGCAGGACAATGCCAGACCACATACGGCACGTGTTGCTATGAACTGTCTGCAAGCTTGTCAAACTCTTCCTTGGCCTGCCAGATCACCAGATCTCTCTCCCATCGAGCATGTCTGGGATATGATGGGAAGGCGATTGCATCTGGCACGGAATGTTGACCTCGTTCGACAATTGGATCGAATTCGGAAGGAAATACCGCAAGAGACCATCCGGGAGCTTTATCGGTCCATGCCACGCCGTGTGGCAGCTTGTATCCAGGCTAGAGACGGGTCAACACCTTATTGAACTTGTTACTGTAACTCCACAATAAATTATTCAATTGTTCTGAAATTTTAATCATTTACTATTCTCTACATTGTCTTCCTATCCACCAATTTTCGTTTCAATCAAACAACTCCTTCTTGGTGCGTCGATTTTTTTGTTGTAGAGTGTGTTTTTCAGCAGGACAACTACGAACCCTACAGAGACACTAAAAAATAAATTATAGGGTGTCTATAACTCAACAGGAACTAACTGCTTCTTTTTGTTATTACTAGAGGGCTCTGCTGAAAGTAAAGCAACAGGTCACACACTGATGAAGCAAACTGTAAGAAAGAGGCATACAGGTAGCGAATTCTTGCGTTAGGATGCGCAGAGGTGATGTGTGCATACTATTGCAGAAGTATGGGAATGAACGGCCAGTTAGAGGTGTAAAGAAGCTTTGAAAAAAGCTTTGTGATGACGTCCCCGAGCATCACCCTAAAGTATTTTTCGCTCATGCTTTGAGGTATTGAAATTGATGTTGTCCACTTCTCTTTATTTGTTAACCCTTTGTTGACCGGCACGTCAACCGCTATTATTTCAGATACACAATGAGCAAAGCTCTTAGACTAAACACAATGCAGTAAACTATTGCAATATTCTATATCGCCCTGGGTTTCATAACTTGAAGTAGATAATGCAAGAGCAATAACGAGTTAACTCGTCGTCAGTCAACAACATTTGGGCATCAAAGGACGAGTTAACTCGTTACCGGCCAACAATGTATTAAAATATTAGTTTGAAGTACATTCTTCAAATATCGAGTTAACTCGTCATCAGTCTACAACGTTTGGGCTGACAAGCTAACTCTCTACCGGTCAACAATGCGTTAAAATATTAGTTTCAAGTACATTCTTCAAAAGTATCATCGATGTTTCCCTAAAAAAGTGATGAATGCGGAGCATAAAAGGAAAAAATCGGGGCAATCGAATAACTTTTGATTCAATGATTAGATTTTCACATGTTACTAAGCCATCTTAATACTTAGTAAGTAGGACGTAAATATGCCAATTAACAGAATAAACATACTTTTTTCTACGAATTCGTGATTGCCCAAGCTCAAAATAGGCGGAAAGTCAGCCGCGATAGTTGTCAGAGAAAGCGACGGAATTATGAATTTCTAAATGTTAATTATGCTTTTTACATATTTTGCGACATCTCTCAAATTATTTAAGCGAATCAAATATTTTTGCACATAATTACAAAACTGGTTTGAACAAAGAGGATCCCAAAGAAAAATAATTTTCATAATTGTCTATTATTTTAAGAATTATTGAATTTTTATTGAATTGTAAGGAGCACAAATTTTAGCATTAATTTAAACTAAACTTTGATTGACAAAAACCAAAATTTGAACAAAACTGTTTTTTCTTCAAAAATGAGAACTTAAATATACTACTTCTTTTTTTTTAAATTTTATTACACAGAAACTATTCGACCGATTTCGATCAAATACTGGATTTCGTGTTTTGAAATTATAAAATATGTAATGATCAACCCACTTTCTTATCGAAGAATATCAGCTTGTTTGGGAAGTAACAGCTGCTTGCATTACTAACCATGCGTTTTCATGCTTTTGATCACGAAATTGTTAAATCTTAAACCCCTGACCCAAAACGGGCTATTGCGGAAATATTTTAACTAACTAACTAACTCCTTGGCATTACAGTCCATGTTGGACCATGGCCTCAATAACAATTTTCCTCCTAAGTCGCCTGTCTCTAGCTCTTTGCTTCTAGTTTCGGACTTTTAGAGTCTTAAGATCTTTTTCCACCTCGTCTAACCATCTCTTAGTCGGCCTTCCTCTTTTCCTTTGGCCCTGCCCCTTGAATATCTTCTTAGTGTCTCTATTTTCCTCCATTCTCTCAAGGTGTCTTAGTCATTGAATTCTCTTTGCTTTTACATAATTTATTATATCTTTTCCTTTAAATAGTCTTGTAATTTCAAAATTGTATCGCCTTCTCCACAGATCACCCTCTTTGACAGGTCCAAAAATAGTTCTAAGAATTTTTCTTTCCAAGTTTGTCAGCATTTTTTCTTGTTTCTGGGTTGGAGTCCATGTCTCTGATCCATCCATAGATAATGGTTGGTCTGATTATAGTTTTATAAACCTGAAGCTTTGTTTTCCTCGTTATTACTTTTGATGTTAGCAATCTCTTAGCTGCGAAATAACTGCGATTTCCAGCATTTAGTCTTTGCTTATTCTCTGGCATAATAACACTGTTTTCAGTGACAACTGAACCCAAGTACTTAAATTCTCTAACTATTTTAAATTTTGTCATTTCATTAATTTGTAGTTCTGCGTCCATATCCATTATCATGTAATTTGGCCTTATCACTATTTATTTCTAAACCAAAAAGGCTAGCTCCTTTGGTTAAGTCCTAAAAAAGATCAACAAGTGCATTTTTACTTCTTACTATCAATATTACATCATCGGCAAAAGCAAGGACTTGTTTCGTTCCATTAAAAATAGTACCTCCTCTATTTGATACTGTGTTACGCATAACTTTTTCAACGCATACATTAAACAACAACGTCGATAGAATGTCACCCTGACTCAATCCAGTCACAATATCAAATTCCCTGGACAATTTGTTTTGTACCTTTACTTTCGCTTTAGTAGATTAAGTTGTCATTTTAATCAACCTGATTAATTTATGAGGGTTGTTAAACTCGTGCAAGGTCTGTAGCATCAATTCTCTATTTATTGAATCATACGCTTGCTTGAAATCAGCATAGAGCTGATAGACGTTAACATTCATTTCCTTGAATTTGCGGAAATATTTTACTTAGTTTATAATGATGTTAAAATTTATATACTTTACAACTCTAACAGAAAATGTTCAATTATCATTATTTAATTTCGACTATCAGAATGAAAAATAAGCATTAAAATTCACTTATGCAAAGAATTAGTTTCGAAAAGACTAATTTTTATATTTTTGCTTAAATAGTTCTTGAGATATAACAAAATACGCAAAAAATAAAATTATCATTAAGAAACTGCAGCTTACAACTGCCATTCTAAGAAAACTGCCGAACTCATATTTTCTAATCATACCATAATAAACATAATTTTGTGTGAAATAATTTTTTCATTCGCTAAAATAGTTTTAAAAATATGTCATAATACAAAAAAGAAAAAACTGACATAAAAAGGCTTCAACACTCCAGAAAATTAGGGTAAACCATTTATGGTTTACCCTAATATTTGAATTACCCTTCGAACAATGATATATCATTTTAGTACATGAAAATCCGATCATTTGATCAAATGTTATTCAGAATGTTAAACGCTGTACATTTCCTGGAAGTTTTTTTTAATTATCTACGAGGTTTGATAAATGAAGTAACGACCAACACACCTAGAAAACATTATTTAATGAAAGTACAAATAAAATTACATAACATTCCTTCCTAATAAAGTCTTGTACCTTTTGTTAGATGTCGGGAAGTCGGTTGGCAAGGTATTATTTGTTGATGCCTGCGGCGGAACGTCTACCTGCTTGGATCACAGACGGCATCGGGAAATCGTATTCCTCGAAGGTGTTCCCTTCAGCTTAGAAGAATATGGAAGGTATTATTACAACGCGTCTCGAAACGCCATCACTAACGATCATTTGCAGCTCATGCAACAAGACAATGAGCATCGTCATGCGTGTACCACAGTTCCATAATCTGCGTACTCCGAATATCCTAGTTCAAATGATGCTGTAGAAATTGACAATAGTAATCGATTATGCAACATTAGTTTTAGGCAAGGTATGCCGCAAGAAGTAACTCACAACTTCTTGAGGGCATAGTTTGTGTAGGAATGACACCCTTGTAGCCGCCTGCCACAATCAGCATAGCCTTTACACCCGACTGGATTCCTAACAAAACTTTCTGATCATGAACCTGGTTCATATACTTTATATTGACACTTTTATACAGGCTGAACAAGTCAGTGCAGTACCAGTGTCATTTCTGCACGTCAGTGAGTTGATGAACCCATTTGAAAGCAATTTTTCAAATGTTAAGACATTCCTTCAGAATGTGCCATACCATTTGATGACTGATCCCAACTTCAATTGATAGTTCATGAACAGTTCTCGATGGTCAATGAAAAGAATACTATTCACGATGTCAACATGAAGTTGAGAAAGGAATGTTCTGCCAATCGGTGTTAATTCGCAGTCTGAGACCTGCCAGCCCAAGGCTCATCTTATAGAATAAGCCAGCCAGCTCAGTCCATTCAGAATGTGCCATACCATTGGATGACCGAGCCCAACTTCAATTGATAGTTCATGTTGTTTTTGCTGTAGTTCATTTACGTCGCACTAGAGTTGAACAATGGGCTATTAGCGACGGTCTGGGAGGTTGAACCGAAAACATGCCATCAAAATTTTGATCCTCTGCAGAGGGGATGGCACCCCCGCTTCGGTAGCCCGGCGACCTGCACGCGAAGTTGACACTTTACAGTAGAACAGTTTAACGAGGACCAATACCGCACACCCTCGGTCCCTACAGACTGAACAAAGTGGTCACCCACCCGCACACTGACCGCAGCCAGTGATGCTTGACTTCGGTGATCTGTTGGGAACCGTGTCTTAACGATCAGTCCACTGCGGGACCGATAGTTCATGAACAGTTCCTTGACGGTCAATGAAAAGAATTCACGATGTCAACATGTAGCTCAGAAAGGAATGTTTTGTCAGTCCAAAGCTCTTTGACCCATCTTATGGAACAATACTTTCTCAGCTTCACATAATCCTTTATAGCACTGCAATGCATCTTTGCGACAGGCAACTACGATTTTAATAATAAACGACCTTTGATAACTTTTTGTATAGATGATTTAGAGCAGTATAAACGTCACTGCCCGCAACTATCCCTTCAACTGAATGGATGATTTTACATACTGAGCATATCGATAATAGCGCCACTCTAATGTCCGGATATCATATTTCTAGGCTACATTGACACCGTTGTATCGACAACTCTCGTATTTTAAAGGATCGTTTGTTTTTTTATCGATTAAAATAGCAATTAATGAAAAAATGTGATGGCATGTCTTCGGATCATCTTTATGGATGTTTTCCAGTTGTATGGTCCTTTATGGATGTTGCCAATAGCCCATTGCGCAGCTCTAGCGCGATGCAAACAAAGTATCCACCTAACAATTAATATTTTGTATAAAATTCAAAACTTAATATAACTTTCTGTTTTATTCAAAAATAGACTTAGAGTGGAAAAACACTAAGTGGTACCAAATTTGAAAGCGAATTTTAACTTCTAATCGAAAATAGCAACTTTCTTTAAAAGTTTACAGAATGACAAATCAAAAACACACCCTATTTAATAATTTATTAATTCTGAAACACTAAAAAGAAGGAATAAAAAATAAATAAATAGGGGAAATGGAAAGTTGGTTGAATGTAAACAAAAGCTTCTTATAACCAAAAGAAATGTACAAAAAAAAACTTCCGGTGTATCCCACTACTTATGTTACGTTTACGATGTGTGAACACGCTTGATATTCTAGGAAGTTTTAATATTGTGATTTGTGCTTAAATTTATGCACAATTTTACCATTCATAAGAGTTTTCTGTAATAAAATTCTAAAAGATCTTAAATAAGTTTAAGAAAATTAATATTACAACTTAAATAAATCGTAAGGTTTGCCTGTTTTGAGTATATCCCTTTTTAGCTATAACCCTTATGGCTAAAAAGGGATGTCAAAAATAAATTTTTTTTGGCTCGTAATCGTTGGCTTTCAAAAATAATTTTTTTTTTATCAGTTTATTTAGATTCTATATTAGAGTTCATAGCATTAGCACTAGAAAGTAGTTATCAAGGCATTTTTCTCAAAATCTATCATAAAGCACTAAGTGTTTTTTTCTTTCTTCAATTGCACGGTAGAATAGTTGTAAAAGAATGCTGCTAACTATGCTTTCCAAATAATACAAAATAATTTTTTTAGGAAATTTGTATTTTGTATTATAATGATATGCACTAAAAATAATTTACTTCACTGAACGTAAAGTACATTCAGTATAGCCCACATATTTTCACTTATGTATAGTGTGCAAAATAAAAAATGGAACACCCTGAATAACTTTTGATCTAATGATCTGAATAACTTTTGATCTTCATGTCTCCAATGTTTGAGGGGGTGATCTCAAATATGCCAATTAGTGCAGACGTTATTTTAAGTAATGAAATCAGACATAAAAATATACTTTCTCTGAATAGGCATACATTTTTTTATTTGACAGATTCGGATTTCTGACCCCCAAAATATGAGGGGTAGCCTCAATTTGGAAAATATGGTCCCAATAGTTTGGTCAGGAGAGCGGTTCAAAGCTTGGACCCCTTTATGTTAACTTTTGAGTATTTTGTTATATCTCCAGAACTTTTAAAGCGAATTTAAAATTTTTTGCACACAATAATAAAATTTGTTTATTCAAAGATAATTCCATGCAAAAAAATAGATTTTTAGTAAATACTTATTATTTTTTATTATTTAATTTAATAATGGTCGAAAAAATTTTGAATTTTAAGGTATACAAATGTTTGTATAATTTTAAAGAATATAATTTTACAAGGCAAAATACAAAATTTGAGCTGAATCGGGCGAATAATTTATGAGCAATCGAATTTTAAGTATCTGTCTTTTTTGAAATTCAATTTTTCAGGAACCGGCCGATTTCGCTCATATTTCCTATTATGCCATTTAAAATTGTAAACTTTAAAATGATGTGAAAAGTTGTATACCTTACAATTCAAAATTTTTTCGACCACTATTAAATAAAATAGTAAGAATTTACTAAAAGTTATTTTTTTATGGAATTATCTCTGAATAAACGAATTTTATAATTATGTGAATAATTTTTTCAATTATCTTAAAAGGTTCTCGAGATATAACGAAATACGCAAAAAGTAAAATTAACATTAAAAAGTTAAGAACATTAACATTAAAAGTTAACATTAAGTAAAATTAACCCCTATATTCTGGGGATCAGAAATCTGAATCCATTGAATAAAAGGCACGTTTTTGTACCTGATTTCGTAACTTAAAATATCGTCTGAACTTATTAGCATATTTGAGGTCACCCTCTCCAGACATTGAGTCCTAGAACGTGAAGATCCGATCATTAGATCAAAAGTTATTCATGGTGGTCCGTTTTTCATTTTGCGCACTGTACATTACTGAATATATAGTTGATTTAAAAATTTTTTTACTTGTTTTGTTTTACAAAAAGTATACTTGTGAAAGCAATTGTATAGGCAAAAATAAATAAAAAAATTAGACTAAAAACACAAATTCAAAAATTCATAAATATTTATTTAAAAATTTGTGATTTTATATTTTGGATATATATACAAAAAATTTAGAGAGAAACTAGCAGTTCAAACACCAATTTCGATATAAATATGGTTTTTTTTTTGTTTGCATAATTTTCACACTCAAACAGTGCATAAAAAAATAAAAAATAGTGCAATAAAATATATCTATAATTCATACAATAATCTAAAACATATGAAACAAATATTATGTACAACAATAGTGTGTGTAAAAAATAATTATAGCGACATTAAAAGAAGCTTCTGGGCATGGGTACAGAATTAGAAATGCTGATTTATAAATCAAAACTGGACACTCTGATATGTTGGGCTTCATTTCGAGCTGAAAAAAATTTAATTAGTTTGAAGTTGTAATAAATTATTTTTGAAATAACTTATATATTAAAAATTAGGAATAAATATCTACAAGTAATTTGTCAATTTTTGCAATAGCTGGTATTTATTGAAACTAGATAAGCAGAATTTTATTGTACTCGCCAAAGAATTAACATTTTTAAAAAAGAAAAAAAATTTAAATTAAGACAATTTGCTTGGAAACAATATCTTTTATATGAAACATTTTATGTAATATTCCTTCTATTTTTAATAGAATTTTTTTTTAGCTATCTCAGTTCATTAAAAAATTACAGACAATATTTTTTTCCTTTTCACCAATATGAGTAGCAATTCAATTTTAAACAAAGTGGAATATATATTACTGTATATTTAAATAAAATAAAATGAGAAGCTGTTTAATGGTAAACTTTTAGTTTGCATATTGTATACTATTTTATAATTATAACATCAGTAAATAAAAATGTATCAAGTTACAAACTAATTTTAACATAGCTTCATTCATTTTTACCAGTGAACAAGAGCTCACTTCAGCTCTTCTACTTTTAGAAGTTTAGACATCAATCTCTCCACCATGTGCCACAATTTGTCTGGTTAAAGACTTCAAGGCATTCCCAAATGTTGGCACTGGTTGTGGTTCCATTACCTCTTTTTATCTGTATTGATTTGCACTTCTTCAACCATTTCTTTAAGTGACAACACCACAAATTTCAACATTTTCATCAACTGATGCTGTTTGAGACATTTTCCTCAAGCTGTTAAGAACACAAATCCCACATTTTCTTCATCATTAGCATGAGGACAAACTGTTTTTTTTTTCCTTCCCCAAAATTAAATAATTTTTTGATTGATAAAAACAGGAATCTGCCACTTTTAAAATCAATCTAAATGGGATTAACATTACAAAGAATAGCATTTCTGACCGGACCATTTTAACAAAACCATACATATGAGAAAACAAAAGATGCAGGAACAATGCATCAAAGTTGCACGTTTCAACTTTGAACATTAATAATCATATTGTGAACCAACCTTATGAAAAAATTCTTATTCTTGATGTAACGTAACAGTGTGTGACAACTGAGCTAAAAGCATCAATTCCTCGAGAGGTAATGCTAAAATGATNTTGAGTTTAGGAATCAGAACTTAGTTGCACATGTCTTAGACCTGAACATTTAAATTTTGAATTAGCAGTTAATGGCTGGTAGACTACAATAACATAGAAGCTGTTTTTTCCTCAAACCTAATGAGTCGGAGACTGATATTGATAGGTCCTTTAACTTAATATTCACTTTCTTAAAAAAAAATTTCTGCTAGAAATAAATTATGTTTTTTATTCAATCACATTAGAAATAATATATAAAAAGTTCATTCAGCTATAAGAAGTTAATTCAGCAATAAAACTAATATAAATATGTGACAACATTTAATAAAACATACTAACTTCCAAAGAACTTTATTTAAAAATATTTGGAGCGGCATACATTTGTATTGTATACGGTACAACTTTGAAATATGTGAATTGCTAAATTTTGAATCGAGACATTAGGCATTTTAATGAAATGCATTGATGTATTTTTAACATTAAAAAATATTCAAAAAAATGATGGAAAAAGAAGGAGCAGTTGTTTATATTTAAGTCGGCATTTCTTAAATTTTTTTTTTCATGACTTCCTATGTGGCGAGTTGTTATTTTCAGGTCTACTATATCTATATAATATAAGAAATATTTTTATTTATACATTTATATACATTTCCAGCGATGCCTTTCTGTCAGGGTGCGTAGGCATATTTTTCAACAAAAAATAAGCACATTTTAAGCACTCAACAAATACTTTTAATCACTTTCCAAAAAAATCATAATTAGGATCTGTTCAGTAAAAAAAAAATTTCCATTGTTTAAAGTTCTTAATTTATAAACATAAAATCAATAAAATTCAAAAATATTTTCAAAAACTTTACATTATTACGATAAAACAACTAGTTTCAGATAAATATTGCAGAGAAAATTCGGAAGATCTGCATTTCTTTTGTAATTTAAAACGACAATTGATATGGCAAAGAAAAAAATCTCTTTTTAAAAGATAGAAAATTAAGCACTTTCTACAAACCCAGAATTAAAAAAGCACCTTTAAGGGCTTTTAAAAAACGTAAATAAAAAACAAGCACCTTTAAGCACTTTTTAAAAACGCTACTCACCCTGTTTGCATTCTGGTATCCTCTTTTTAATTATTAAATGTGAAATATATACAATATATAGAAAAATAGAATTCATAAAAGGCAAAATATATGTAATAAATACCATCGAAATAGGTAGTATCTGTATTACTGTCTGGATAGGGAATGAAAGGAGCTTCCATGTTCAAGATGTTTTCCCATACAATGTTTTCAAATAGAGGCCATGTTCTCAACTCTAAAATTATTTTAAGATTTAAAAAAAAAAATTTATAAATATTACAAAGCAGAAATATACTTTTTTGTCCTTGATAGAAAATCACATAAACAAACAAAAAATATCATTGGGTATCAATAAAAGTATGTAAATTTGCAATAATAAAATGACGTATTTAGTACAGATTTAATATTTGTAGGATGTATTTAGATCCTATTTTAAAATAGGATCTAAAGAATCTGGTAGAATTTACACACATGCATAGCTAATTTCACCATCCAAGTGCAAGTAATGAAAAGAAAAGCATAATGATAAATAATTAAAGTATTTAAAGCAAATAAGTCTTAAGAAATATGGGTACAAGATTAAAGAGCAATTTATTACAGCACAAATAAAGGTACATAAAGAGACAAAATAGAAATATAATACTTTGATTTATTGATTTTGTTAATAAAATTGCTAATGTAGCATCATGATCTTCAAAATTTGAATCTTTTTTTTTTTAACTTTTTATTAGTACAAAATTGCAAGACATTGAATTTAACTGCAAACACTGTAAAAATGAGCATTGTTTCACAAGTTTAACTGCAGAAGTTAATTTTTCTAGACTGCAAAAATCAAAACGAAAGACTAACAGTTGATGCTGACCACAAGCTTTTGATCCACTTGTTTACAAATACAAAATGAAGCAGACAACTTTTTTTAAAAATAAAAAAAGGAAAAAAAAAGAAAGAAAAAAACTGTTCAGTTTCAAATCTTACTAAAGTGTTGTGTATTTTAACTAAATTATTGGACACCAAAGTATTAATGCTAATACAAAAATAGCTCTTATCTTTTTAGAAATTTTAAATTAATAAAAAGCCATTGAACTTTATATTTTACATATTAAAACATTATGATACATTTTAACAAATTAAAATAATATTTAAGTTGAACTTTTTTCAGCAGAATAAACTTTAATGGCATATGGCTTCAATCTGTCGATGGCAGAACTTATTTAAAAAAAAATTCTAAAATAAGGCTTATCTGTCCTTTCTTTTTTTCAAAAGTGAGCTAGCATACTTATTCAGAAAAAAGATTGATTGATTTTCTAACTTAAGTTGAAAATTAGATTACATAAATTAACATATCAAGTCTAAGCGTTTACTTTTAACTATCAAGAATATATCCTAAAAGTGAGGAAAAAAATAGTAAATTGATGAAAAGTCCCTAGTAGATTATTATTTTTAATCAAGATTACTGTTCTTAATAAATACAAAATATACCTTTAACTCCAGGACGAGAGCTTGGATCTGGTGTAAGTAACAGATCAATGACATTTTTAGCAGTTTCTGAGAGAGCTTCATCTCCTTCTGGCCAAGGAATATCTAAAAAAAAAATTTAAAAAAATTTGATTCAGGAAAATTAAGAATACACGAATTAAAGAAACAAACTTCTAGAAAGAAACTCTTAGGGTGCTCCTCAAATAGAAACTGCAGATTCTCTTCTGAAACAAAAAATTAATGAAACAAAAACACAGTGGTCGGAAAACTACACTTGCAGTTCACTACAACTACTTTGTTACAAATGTAGTTAACTTCAACTATATTTTGTAGTGACTACAAATTACTTTGTAATTGTAGTAACTACTTCACTACTTTTAGGAGACAAACTTTGCAGGAGAACTTAATTCCCACCTATGTACAAAATGGTATTGAATAAGAAATTGGCTTACATTAAATATAAGGGAATAATTAGGTAATATTTATTTTAAAAAAAAAAACAGTTATATCTTGAAAAGTAAAATTGATGGGAAATTTGCACTATTAAAAAAAATGGTAAAAATTTCAGCTTTAGGTTGCTACCGCAGATAAATATATTTTGCAGAAAACTCAAATGTGGAATAGTTATGCAATAAGTGTCAATACTAATATAGTTATCAAGTATTATATTGATTTAATTGGTGATAACTAAAACTGCACCAATACTGAACAGTTCTAACATAGATATGGTGTCTCAGGGCTCTTTGAAAGGGGCATAATTTATACACATATTCTTAAGGTCACGAAGTTTTTTAAATAATGATTTTATTGATAATGCAAATTTTATCCAGAAAAATTAATAAGAGGGGAATGTATATAAAATAATAGTTGATGTTCAAAATATACAAATAATAAATAGACTAAATGTGAACAAATATTGCCTGATACTATTAAATTATAATTATTCATGAGTTGTACAGAAAATAATTTGTTGCTTAATACACACATTTCAATTATACTTACTCAGTTTTATGTTTATTTCAAACTTACTACACAAATAGTTTGTGTATATAAATAATAAAGAGAGAATTGTTCCACCAAGAATAATTGTTTGCTTTTCAAGATCTAAACATATTCCTCAATTAAATTTAACCGGAAAAGTGGGTTTTTTTTTTTTACAAATTCATGAGGATATTGAACTTTAATTTTAAAAAAAATTTTTAAAAGCTATGATTTAATTTATTCCATGATTAGTTTGTAATAAACTTTTAAAATTTTTACCAGTTTTGTTAGAGATATAAAGTATTTTAGATTTAATATTTTTCTTAAATTATATTTAGCACTATTTAACATAGCATTTATTAGTAAATGTGGGAAAAAATCAGATTTAAAACATAAATAATCTTCTTCGTTTTTAAAAAAAAAAAAATCATGATTTTTGTCACTTTTGGAAACCAGGCACAGTTATCAGTTCTCAATGTGTGGTACCTAGATTATTTCACCAGGTAACATTCCTTTACACTTGACATACCTAAATTAAGATCTATAGTAAACTTAAAACTATTCATAAAAACAATATAACTGCGTTTGAAACTCACAATGTCCATCCGCCTTTGTTTCATATTGTTATTTTGTTTCACATTGTCCGTCATTTAAACTACATTTATTGGTTCAGGAAAAATAAATTTTACTTTAATGCAAAATTTTAATAACCATTAATTAAATAGGAATAAAAACCAAATAGAATACATTGAAAACTAAACAAATTATATCCCAAGCCGTAATTTAATGGTTCTCTTGTGTATTTTCAAATCTTCTATTACTGCTACAATTTTGCCAAAAAGTTTTCGGTCATGGGACAAGCCCTACCTTCTTTAAAAGTTTATGGCAATATTTCTGAGACACCTTGCACACTGTAAAATTTCAAGGAGATTGTGTATATTTACTTCTAAAATAAGTAACTATACATTTACCTCTTCTTAATATATTGTTAAAGACAGCTTCAGCAGAGACATCATTAAAAGGTGGAATACCAGTTAAGAATTCAAACAAACAAACTCCTAAAGCCCACCAATCAACAGGGAAACCTTTAAAATATAAAAAACATAAGTTTAAAAGTTCATAAAAAAACAATCTTATTAAACTGTTTTATCTGTCAGAAAAACTGCTTTATTATTAAAAACAAGAATAATATCAGGGGTGATTGTGAGCCCAAGTCAAAATTCTGGAAAATTTCTTGTTTAAAAAAAAAAAAAAGTTTAAATTGAAAAATTTGAAAAAAATTTAAGCAAGTTTTTTTTTCCCCTTTTTCTCAATATTTCTTGGTTTACTTAAAATATATTTAAAATTTTACACACACCTATACCATTTACATATACCAATGATGACCTGGAGAAGTAATTAAAATTTACAAATATGTCTTTCTTTCTTGAGTTTATGATTATAACAACTATTTACTGATAAAAAATGAATATTAATCATGAATATAAGCTTATAAAGTATCTGGCTTTCCCTCACAAACAAATAACTTGTGTTTTTAAGTTCCACCTTTGAAAATTTGATTTTCGGAAACTGCTGCGATGAGCGATTTTTTGAAACGTCTGGACCTTCGATCTCCGGAAACTTCTGGATCACTGCTAGCAAAAAATCCGGATTTTTTCCAGAGCACAATCAGCCCTGTAATATTAAAAGTTTAAATATCCATTGGAAAATTTTTTTCCTGTAAAATATTATATTTTGTAAATAAACTATATTGAATTTACAAATTAAGGTTGGAAGGTTTTCCAGATTCGACTTCATTAATTTATTTTTTTAATTTTAACCATGAAGAAAGAATAGTTCCCTTAAAAACCATTTGTGAAATATCGACCAGAATAAAACTCAGATAATAAAAGTTTTTCAATATTATATAATGAATTTACAATAATAAAAAATATTCGAAATTCTTACTATGTTCTTTATGAAGTAATAACTCTGGTGCTAAGTAATCAGGAGTGCCTAAGATCCTTTCATTTGATGCAGGCTCAGGCCCCCTTCTTACACTCTTAGGTGTTCGAAATGGGGTTCGAACACTTTGCAGAGGGGTCTAAAATAAAGACACTAACATAAGCTTGTAAGCAATATTCTATCTTAATCAAATAGATTAAATCAATTTTAAAAAATTTAGCTTTAAAACATAATATTTTAAACAAGTGTAGTTATCATCAAACTTATTAATAAATTTTAGAAAGGGCATAAAATTAAACTTATCAGCTTTTATATAATAAGTTAAAATGACAGAAAAAAAATTTGCTAATTACACTTCCATGCCAATGAAAACTGGGGGTGGGAAAATCTGATTAATTCCATTTAATGTGTTTTTCTTATAAATTTCCAGGCAAGGAATTCAAATCTCCAACTCTAATTTTATCCAATTCAGCCTGAAACATGGATCAAGGCAATTCACAACATCAAAATAAGCTGTAGTGATGCACAACCTTTTAGAGTAAAGGGCCACTTTCACAGCAAGTAGAATAACGAAGGACCGTATGCATATTTAGTCATGTGAGAATCAAATATGATAATTTTTGTATAAATATGAGTGTTCTAAGCACTGAATATTTCTATCCGTAAACTTAATAACATATTTGCAGAAAATTAAATACTTTTAATTATTTGAATTTATTTAAAACTAAAAATAACTGACACTTTTTTTAGAAAACTTTTTCCATTTTTCACAATAATTAATTTATCAAATATATATACTGGGGGGGATGTAAATTTTAACCAAAAAGAAATTTACAGAATAAAAGTGCAAAAAATATAGGCATTTTATAGTAATATAAATTTGAACTAAATATTTTAATTAAAGAAAATTTATTATGTTTAAACAAAAACCACATTGAAAGAAATATTTTTATTGCGTTTAGAAGTTCCCGTGGGACGCAGGTTTTGCATCCCTACTATAGAGAATACGTGTTGCCAAACAAAAATAGAACTTATAGCAACATAAAAATATATTCTCTAATTTTATCTAATCAGCCTAAAACATGGATCAATCTGATTTACAACTACACAAAAAGCTATTATAAACATTTATTGCAACGCAAAAATAGAGTCATAGATACTGACTTCAAAAAAAAATTTTTTAATTCTTCCCCTTATATTTATGTACTGCAGTTTCCCTCAAAATATAAAAATTACACATAACTAAAAAAAAATTAATCATCAATTGTCTATAATTTTTCCTAAGGAGCCCATTTATAAATTGATTGTAAACAATGTTTTTTAAAGTAAACAGACTGGCGTTGTAATCAATGCTTTCCTTGTTCTCCCCATTTTAGCATTTGAAGGAGCTGGCACAAAATCTTTATCTGATATTGAGAACTAGTCAGTTTCATCATACATCTTTTTTCCCATAACAATTTAGCAAACTTCCGATTTCGTTAATGTGAGAGCTACGGGATATTGAAACAATAAAGAAAGGTAAGAAAAAAACATGTTCCTTCTGAATAAATAGTGAATATTTCTTTATGAATTGTGTATTCAGATTAAGATGATTTTTGAAAAAATAAATTAAAACACCTATAACATTAAACAATGTAATGATCACATAAAATGGTAACTTTAACACCAAAATAAATTAAGAAAGCCTTGACCAAGTGGTTTTGAAAACAAAAAGCGGTTGATAACATCAACCGTAATCACTAGAGCCCGGATTTTGAAGACCTAAAAAATCTCAACTAATGCCCTTAAAAAGGGCAAAAAATGCCCTTAAAAATGCAAAACTTGCGCAAAAAATGCCTTAAATAAAGTGAAAATATTGAATTAAAAAATGTTTTGCTCTTTAAAATTATTATGAGTCATTTAAAAAATATAAAGCAATGCAATACTTCTTCGACGTTTATTAAAGTTTGAAAAATATGTTTTATATCCTAAAATAACAAAAAAAGGAAAATATATTGACACCAAAATATTTTTCTTTTGTAGAGAAACTTTGAGGGATATAACAACTCCCATCTCATAATATTACTAAATATCAGAATTACATTGGATTATTAATTTTTTTTTTTTGATAATTTGAAATGTAAACGAGCGTCTCTGTAAGTAAACGAGCGCCTGAAAGTAAATTTTCATTCCTGCAGAAGCTTCTTTCAACGTCTACTGATGTTATAGGGGTGTACTTGAAAAAGACGGTCTCACTTGCTGACAATTCTTCCACAATTTGAAAAGATTTTGCTTCACCTGTTAATATCCTATAGATTTTCTTCATTGTTTGGAAGCCAGTGTAATAATGAAAATTGATAAAAAAATAATAAAAATTGGAAAAAATTAACCGAAAACTTTAAAAAATGCAAAATACGCCCCAAAATTTAAAGAAAAATGCCCTATAAATCTAAAAAAATGCTCTAAAGGACAAAAAATGTCCAAAAATGCAAAAAAATGCAAATGTCATCAAAATCCGGGCCTTAGTAATCACATTAAACGGAGATTACTGTATTTACCAATTAAAATCCCAAAAATGTGGAGCTAGAATTTTGGGTACTCAATGCTTCCGTTCATTATTTTTTTTTTGCTAATAAGGGTTTAAAGCATTAGATCAGTAATCCAGATATTTATTAGATATCAGATAATGTAATGTAATAAATGTTTTTGAATAATTTTACATAGGATTTTCTTTAATCAACTAGCTTTTCTGTAAATGGCCTTTTCAGTCCCACAGCGGACTGATTGTAAAAAAACAGCTCCCAATAGAACACTGAAGTATCACTGGCCACGGTCAGTAAGCAGTTGGGTGACCACCTTGATGGATCGAGGGTGCAAGGTATAGGTCCTTGTTAAACTGTTGTACCATAAAGTGCTCGTCTTCTTCGCCAGGCTACCAAATCAGGGGAGCCATCCCCTTTGTAGAGGATGAAAATTGCAATGGCATGTCTTTGGATCAACCTGAGGGATGTTTCCCAGACCGTCGCCAATAGCCCATTGTGCAGCTCTAGCATTAAAGTACCCATCTACCATAATTTTACTTTTTTCTTCTTTTTTTTTTGGAAAATAATTTCAATGAACAAAACTTAAAATAATTAATATCATACAATACTTACAAATATCCGGTTGGAAGGACGCCTCTTCTCTGTTGGAGTGGAGAACATTGAAGCAGATTTTAATTGCATTCTCTCAGACCCACAGCTCGTGTTTAAACTCAACCGTAACACATCGGCTGGACTAGCTTTACTACTCTGACTATTAAAGCAGAAGTTAACAGATTTTTTTGGTAGATCCAATCCAGCAAAAGGTGTTTGCAAAATACTTTGGGGAAGTGAGTGAGTCTCTCTTAGTTCAGGGTGGCAGTTTTTAGGGGAGAAACTATGATTCAGAAATACACTATCTCCAGAAACATTTCTATCAGAGTCAATGGATGAATTTGGGTTCAAAGAAATGCTTGAATCTTCAAACATATTAGATTCTGCATTGAATCTTAGCTCTGAAAGAACTGTGGTTAATCCAGTGGACCTCAATTTTTTGAGATGACGTAAACTGTGGTCACTACTGCCGCTAGAAGACCGTTTTCTTTTGATAATTTTTTCTAATCCAGAATCTAAGCTTTGTTTTCCTAATCTTTTAATTTTGGAATTTATGAAAGCAGGAGATGTTAATGAACTTTGTGACCGAGTTTTCCTTAAATTTCGGACTGATCGATTATTACGAAATTTTCTTTTCCCTCTGGGAACTAACGGAGTGTAACTGGAACATGAGCTTTGGCTAGAGTGGTGATCAAATGATTCATCTATTTTGCTCTCAGACAAATCTAAAATAAAACATCAAAGGTTACAAAATAAAAATTTAAAAATATTAATTCATATGAAGAAAAAATTTCAGTGAAACTTGAATAACATGCAGCATTATTTTATTTCATAACCATCCATTTAAGAGTTTATGTCTATCAATGTTCAACTCCATAGTCTTGTAGTGTTGAACTATACCAAAAAAAAAAACAAGGGAGCTTCAAGATTAAGCATTGGGACAAACTGTTTCTTGTTAGTGGCAAAAGAGCAGAGTAGTAGAAAACATAACTATGATTGAAGACTAGTATAAAATACAAATCAAAATTTAGTCATCTCAAAAAATTTCAAATAATTAATTAAAAGCTCATTCCTGATATACTGGCTGATACTATCAACTATATATATTTGCCCTCCGGTTTCTTATAGGAAAATTACTTAATAGTAATTAATAATTGAGAATTACCCAATATAGGGGATGGCATACTAATTGCCAACACAAACTTGACTTTGTGGATGAGTTTTTGATGGAACTAGTCTGTATTTGTGTTACTCCGACAATTAGACAGATAGCAAATAGATTCTAACCTATGTTCGTGTACCAATGGGAAAATTTCATAACAGCATTGTGGCAAGTCAAGTCGCATCCATCGGTCATCGCTAGGATTCAAACCTGGTTCACCTCATTAGGAGGAGAGTGGACCATCCCCTGAGCCATCACTGCTCATTAAGCAATATTGAAATTTAGAGGATATTCTGCAAAGTTATGGACAACATTCCCCAGGTTTTATAAATTTTCGTGCTAAAATTTTCAGTCTCATATTTTCACAATATTTTCCTAAATTTATTAGTAAACAAAATATTAAATGGTATAAAATCAACCCGAATAAATTTAATTTAACTTAAATTACTTACATATATCAGTTACAAAATGAAATTATTAATAAATTTTATTAAGATTGATTCAGTTTCTGTCACTGTTTCAAAAACTGCAGGCAACAAAAATAAACCTATGGTCCAAATTTTAAGCAAAACTCTTTGCAACTTTTAATTAAGCATGAGAAACTTTCAACACTAGAACAGTTAGAGAAAATTTTGACAAAACTAGCAAACATTCTAAATATTATTTCAAATTTTTCGAATAAAGTTTCAAAAATCTAAACTTAAATTGCTTTTGTCTCATACTGAATTCTGCATTAAACTATCAAAATACTCAGAGTTGTAACTTCGTAACTGCAACATGATAGAAAAATATTCAGCATACTTCATGAAATAATAATGCAAACTATTACCAATTGCTCAATATGCTCAAGACACAGGACATTTTATCAGTCAATCGATGTAAAAAAATAAAAAGCAAAAATATTGGATTGATTAGAGAAAATTCCTTTATCAGGATTTCATAGGAATTCATTTCATAGGAAGAAAAAAAGGAAAAATTAGATTTGGGATTACTGTATAAGTTAAAACCTTTACCTCATCACAAAAAAAAGTAACAATGGAAAAAAAAAATTTTTTTAATACTTAGCACAAAATAATTAAATATCAATTTTTGTTATTATCTTTACCATTTATTGCTAGAGATGCATGAGTAGACACAAGAAAAATCAATAAGAGATCATGATATTAATCAAGATAGGGGGATTTAGTACAAGATCAAAATTTAGAAACATATAAATTTCTTTTCAGTCCGACCAATGATAGAAAAAAAATAACAAAAACTGTGAACGATTTTTATGAAGAAAAAAACATTATTATTCACCAAAGTTTTCCCCACTTCCAGAAGATATTGATCTGTCGGGAGTGTCAAATTTCAATGCAAGTGGAGAGGCAACAGAACTGAAACAACTCCTATTCCTACTGTTCTCAATCGATAAATTATGCACAGCATTGATCGAATCTGAAGCAAATGTGCCATGGCGAGTAATATTTTCATCCGTGAAAGGACTGCCAGAATTAGAAATGCTTGAATTACATGCCTGAAACGAAAATAATCTCTTTTTAATCAATATAAAACAAAAGATATGCACAGTTGGATAAAACAGGGTTCCCGCTCTTTTAACAAAGCAAAAATTAAGGAGTTTTAAGGACCTTTTTCAAAAAAATTAAGGATCTTAAACGTAGTGAGATTGTTTATCATTGAATATACAGATACCATCAGTGACAGTGCCAATTGTTTACCTTCCTTTAAAAAAAATCAATAAATTAAAAAAAAAAAAAAAACAATTTCATTATAAAGTAAGTACTGATATAATTGTATTCATTAACAGGGTTCACCAAAATAAGACCAGACAATTTGTGCAAACCCGGATTGGTTTTTTTTTCTTTCTTTTTTTTTTCTTTTTTTTTTCAATATTTACAAATTATTAAGGGTTAACAACATCTATGAAACTAATCTGTATTCCATTTTTAATTATTTAATTGAAATTGAATTGTAAAATTAAGTGCAGAAATTAAGATTTGCAATTGTTTTCATGCATTAAAAAAAAGAGTAAATAAAGAAATTTGGGAAAATTATTGAAAAAATTATTAAAACAAGTTTTCATAATTCGCTGCTAGACATGCATCACATATTCAGTTGTGGGCCAATCATGATAATTATTCAGTTATGTCAAAAAATTCTTTCTTTTCCATCAATAAATTGTTTTATTTAAAAGGGTATATATTAAAAGAATTAATACTAAAAAGTTGAATTAAAGTTATGCATGAGAGTAGTTTTCTTATCTATGTCATGTTAAATTAAGTCCTATTTCAAATAAAAACAGGTCATATTAATATCTAAGCACCTTGAATCATTCCACTTTTTTTTCTCACTAAGCTTAACTTAATATTTTTTTAAAAATTCATTGCAATAAATATTTTTAAAAAAACTTTTATAGAATAAAAATACAATTATGTTTGAGAAGATTTATAATTTTCGAACCAATATTTTTTAATATTAGTTCTGGGTAAAACATGTAAATAAAAGGGTCTAAAAAGAATTTTCAAAAGCATCAACACATTCCAATGGTTCGAAAACTGATAATTAACAAATGCTGAAAAATTATTTATTTTTTTATCATTTATAGACATTTACTTGTAATATTTCTTTATCATCATCTATTATGCTTAATATTATTTTCTACTTGATTTAATACTTCATTTTTATCGCAAATTTGCAATTTAAAACTGAAGGTGGTATCCTTTTATTAGAAAATAATCACCTTATCAGGTAACGTTTTGCAAAAGAATAATGAAACATTTTACGAAGAACATATTGAAAACGGTATTTAACTTAACCATTCTGAAATTATTACTAAAAAAAAGCATGATCTCTTCCATGTGCCATATCTCCCTTGTCCACACTGTATTCTTTTCCTTTAGAATGCTTCACTCTCCTTATAGAGTATCATTCTAGGCAAAAGGAAGAATATATTAATGAAAGAACCAACATATTAATGAAAGGTCATGCTCTCTTCAACTTGCCTGTAGCCCACTCACACACATCCCTTTTTGTCTCTAAAATGCTCTACCCTCGATGCATGGTCTCATTTTAGGTGATAAAAGAACGACTTTTTTTTTAAAAAATATTTTTGTAAGACTGAAAAAATTGTTCCTATCAAGAATAGTGATGCTGAAATATTAAGGACTTTTAAAAACCTTGTGCCAAAATTAAGTACTTAAAAGGACTCTTATTTTCCAAAATAAAAATTAAGCAGTTTTTAAGAAATTTTAAGGACTATGGGAACCCTGTAAAAGATTTTAGTTTCAAAACAATTCAATTTTATTGCCATAACACTTTTATTGCAGAAATGTCAATTGCTTCTTATATTTTCTAATTACTGAACAACAGAAAGTTTAAAAAGAGAGAAAAATTAAATTTCAAGGTTGAAACATTTTAATTCAATCTGAAATATTAAGATAGGTTGATCAATATAACATTTGTCTTGTTTATAAAACAAGCTGTCTTTACTTCCTTGTCAAGTAGGTAGTCATGTATGGGTGGATTTTGAGCTGCCACGGTAAACGGTGAATAAACAGTGTTTAAATATATTGCAATAATAAATGTGACCAAGTTCGAACATTATAAATTTATACTAGGAAACTATACCAGCCAACACTGAAAACTGAATTTCATGAAAGTCAATGAGAAGAAAATATTAAGTGGGCCTTTCAATGCTCAGACAATGAAAATGCCCTCAAAAATAAACATGTAATTCACAAAATTAATTAAACATAGTTTGACTAAGAATTTGATTGACTTAAATTTTATTTTTTAAGTCAAATGTCATTCTTGAACAATATCATTTTTGTCCGACTTTGGATAATAAAAATTCTAAATAGATTCCTCGAAACTATTGCTTTTAATCAAATATTTCAATCAAAATAAAAGTTTACATAAGACCCAAATGGATAAGAAAAAATCAAGTAGATTTTAGAAAATAATATAAATTTCATGATATTTGTTGCATAATGTACTAAATATTTTACACATAAGGAATTTTAGGGATTTTTATTGTCATCAAAATTGAAAAACTACAATATTTTCCAGTTGTGATGGACATTAAACATACTTGAAATGTTATGTATTATGTTATCTCATAAATTCGAATATTAATAGACATTTAATTCATAAAAGATAGTTATAAGATGTTTTTAATTAATTTAAAGAGTTCTGTATAAAAACAAATTTCAGAACAAAAAAGTTTTGAACTGATTTTGATAAATGAGGTTTGCTTCATTATGTATTATTAATATTTATTTAAATATTCAAGCAAGCAAGCAATAATCTGCACAAAAATTCTATTTCAATAGGGATTTTTTAGAAAACTTTTTCAATTTTAGGAAAATGTCTATAATGTACATAAACCAGGAGAATTTTAAATAAAACAGTAGACCAGAACAAAACTGACAAAATCCTGTAGTGTACTGGAAAATCCAGCAGAGTTGGCAGCTATGTGTTTAATGGAAATAAGAAACATACAAAACCAAATGTTGAGGTTAAAGACAGCAGCTGCCCGGGAGTTCTATTTGGAAGACCTTCTTTGGAGTCTTGAGTATAACAGGATGGTGAACCCAGAATATCAGAAATCTCAATAGCTATAATATAGCAAATAGATTTTTTTTTAGAATTGGTCCATCATGGAAAAAAATTTAAAACCTACGAAGCATTTAACAGGGGTAATTGGAAAAACCCTGAAAATTTTATGTGAAAAAACAATATCAATTTACATACCTTAGATGCTTTATATTTAACATAATTTTTTGAATTAACATTTATAATTAAATTAGCTACTAATGCAGAATATCACACCTTTAGAATAATTAATTCAAGAAAAAACTGACTTCTTCCAAAAAGGGCTTTATTGGATTTTAAAAACTTGTGAATATGAATTGTGATATTGGATTTAAAAAACGCGAAGATACAAATATTTTAAATTGCGTAAATACGAAACGCGATATTAGTTTTTAAAAACGTGTAAATATAAATCACGATATTGAACTTTTAAATCACGATATTGAACTTTTAAATCACATGAATAGGAATTGCAATGCACGTCTTTTAAATCGTGTGAATAAGTATCGCGATATTAGGAGATACCAGCGCAGTTCCAAATATTCAAAATATCAAAAATTAGCCAAACCAAAAGAATCAAATAGGCGGAAAAATGTATGTAAACGTCTCGTTAAAGGGATTTAGTAAAAGATTCAAAATTTTGTCAAATTATAAGCTCTTGATTTGCGGACCAATGGTCTTGAAATACGTGTAATTCTTTGATATTCGTGCAAAAATCGCAAGTCCCGCCTCTAGTTTTCAGACCCAGAAGAAAGATACGAAAAACCCAGAATACAATCACCCCTGATTTAAAGAGATAAACATTAATAGCTTTAACATGCAAGATACATTTTTACTAGAATTGATTCATCTCATAAGAGAACGACAGATAACAAAAATAAAACTTACGCCTACTAATTGTAATCTTTGATAGACCAAAGTCAGTCAGTTTAATGTGTCCAGATGCAGAGATAAGCATATTATCAGGCTTCAAATCTCTAAAATTATGATATCTCTTATCATGAACCCAACATTGACATTGTACTTGAAATAAACAAACACTACATTCAAAATACAAACATTTGCATTAAAATTGCATAAAAAAATTCTTGATGAAATAAACTACTCCAATAAAAATTTAATAAGGATAAATATGCTAGATAATAAAAATTAGCATGTATATCATCTTGTAGTAAGATAATTTAGTTACATCAGCTTTATCGAAACATCAAATCTATTTTCTATAAAATATCAAATTTTGCATAAGAAATTAAAACTTTTAGGGATACATAAAAAATTTTAATAAACATCGTAAAATTTATACATATATCATTATGAGTTATAAATTTAAAAATCTTGTCCATCTTCTNTTAATATTAATAATATATTGGATTTTTTGTTAGTTAAAAATAGTTAAGTAAAAATTGTTACAATTGACCCCACTCTCCCCTACTTCTAAATCGTTACTTTTTTTGTTTAGTACTTGTACTTTTACTTGTACTTTTTACTCGTTACTTTTCAAAATACGAACTTTTTACTTTTTACTCGTTACTTTTTTTAAAAATACTTGTACTTTTACTCGTTACTTTTTAAAAGTAACGTTGCCATATATGATATAGAGTTGTATATGTATAGCTTTATATGTACAGCAATCATGAAAGGAAAATGGAAGCCTCTATCTGATTAACCAGAAGAAAAAATAAAAGTCTAAATCTTTCGTCATTTCTGATTATTGTCACAGCATTTTCATTGGACAAAAAAAAAAAATCATATGACATAATTCTCAACAAAGAAGATGCATACACACTAAGCTGTCATTAAAATAAAACTAATTAAAATTTTCACAACAATCATTATCGATTATCATCTTCAATATATTGTTTTTTACCAGATGTAATACAGTCAAACTTGGATAAATCGAACGTCTTTAATTCGAATTCGTGTATAATTTGAAGCTTTTCTACTTTCCTAGACACATGTATATTCAGTTAATGCTAAAAAATCTTGGTTATTTCGAAATCCAATTCCCTTAATTCGAAGTTTTTACCCTTTCAAAAATGACAAAATCTAGTTTAAATGCAGTTATTTTTGAAAAGTATTCTGGTTATTTTCAGCTATTATGGAAATTTTTTTAGGGATGACAAGGGGGAGGGAGAAAGGATGATGGGAAGGGTATTTCGAATCATGTGATAGGATGCATACATGTCATTGGTCGGAGCGGAGGAGAAAAAAATTGTCACCGGCTAGCGAGTCTTCATGATCTTGAAAAAAGTTGTGTCTACGTGAGTCGTCCTTCAAAGGTCATCGGGCAGTTGATTGACAGGTGTTCCTCCAATAGTGGTGCGTTTAATTTTTCATGAGATCATGATGAGTTTGCATCTAACTCCAGGAAACTGGTGTATAATCACGGCATTAAACACTAGGCCTGTAGTCGATATTACTTGAGTTTTCTACATTGTGATTTTAGTTTTGTAGTGATAGTTCAGTACCAGCATGTCATTTAGTAAGCCCCGTGTCTCGTATAAAACCTTATATTTCGATGAAAAAATTGCTGTAATTCGAGAAGTAGAAAAGGGTGTAAAAAAATGCATCATTGCAAAAGAGTTTGGAATAGCGCCTAACACTCTTTCGACTTTTTTGAAAAAGAAAGAAAGAATTTTGAAATCTAATGGAACTTGCAAGAGAGCCTGATCATCCTGACGTGGACGAGTGTGTTACAAAGAGGCTTAAACAAGCACGGGATAAGAACATCCCTCTCAGTGGAACTCTTGTTCGTGCAAAAGCTGAGGAATTTGCTATCAGTTTAGATAACAGCAGCTTCAAAGCAAGCTCCGGATGGTTAGACGGATTTAAGAAAAGAAATGCAATTTCTTTCAAGTCTGTGTGTGGTGAAAGCTCAAGTGTGAACCAAGGTGCAGCAAATGAGTGGGGAAAAAAAGTTGCCGAAATTATTGAGTATACACAGGACAGAGACATTTTTAATGTCGATGAGACAGGACTTTTTTTCAAATGTACCCCTGCAAAGACTCTTACTTTTAAAGGTGAAAAATGTAGTGGTGGAAAACATAGTAAAGATAGAATCACCTTACTTGTAGGATCAAACATGGATGGCACTGAGAAATTACCATTACTGATGATTGGAAAATCACGAAGTCCAAGGTGTTTCAAAAATGTCAAATCAAAGCCTATAGAATACCATTCTAACACAAAAGCATGGATGACTGCTCATATTTTTGAAGAATGGCTACTTCATCTAAATCGTACATACCAAAGAAAAAACAGGAAAATCATCCTGTTTGTTGATAACTGCACTGCTCATAAATCGATACCCACTATGGACAATATCACAGTTGTTTTTTTCCCGCCAAACATGACATCAGTGGTGCAACCAATGGATCAAGGCATCATTAAAAATCTGAAGCATTTTTACAGATGTCTAGTCGTTCAACACCTCCTTACCGAATCTTCCCAAAAGCTTCCCATTACTCTCCTCGATGCTTCAAGAATGTGTTTAAATGCATGGTCCAAAGTCAGCCAAAAAACAATAGCAAATTGTTTTCGGAATGCAGAATTCATCAGGAACACTATCCCTAGCGATCCTTTCAATGAAGAAAATTTACCTCCCCCAGTTGCATGGGAAGACAACATTCCGTTCGATGATTACGTCAGTATGGATGAAAATATAGACATTTGTGGAGAGTTATCAGATACAGATATTCCATCTGAAGTTCTAAACAATAAGAATATTACAACAGAAGACAAAGAAGATATTGAAGATTTGTTAGAAAAAATCAAGCAAGCTCTTTAAAGCAATCGGATATAGCTAAATATTTTAAAAAATTTTAACGTTTTAATTTAAAATTAATAAACATTCTTTGTTTCGCAATTTCTGTTACGAGTAATTATTTTAAGACATAAAAATAACAGTGTTTGGATAATTCGAAGTTTCGCAGAGGCCCCTTGCCCTTCGAATTATCCAAGTTCGACTGTATAATCATCTGTCATTATTATATTTGGTTATTGGTCAAAATTAAAAACTTTAGAGAAAAAGTAATAGTTTCTCTTCAAACTGCTATGATATTTTTATCTGCTGATATTTTTTAAAATTTATTATTTAGTCAACTTTACAACTCTGTATAAGATAATGCAACTCTTTCAAAAATTAATTTTAAGTTATAATTTTACACAGATTGATATATTAGAAAAATATAACAAAACAAATTTGATTTCGTTTATTAGTCAAAGGTTATGATTCTATATAAGTTACTATAACTTATTCTAAAATTTAATTTTACCTATTAATTTTTAATAATTATTTTACACACATTGATACTTTAGAAGAAAATTCAATTTTTTAAAAAGTTCAGGGTAGTTCCTAGTATTAAAAGTATTTTTAATTAAAGAAAAACTCTTAGCTAACGGAGTTAAATAAGTTTTCTAAGTTAAATAAGTTCTCGCATTTATACCTATGGACAATATTGTGTTGGTGCAGATATTCCAGAGCATGTGCAGCTTCTGCAGCATAAAAAACAGCCATTCCTTCATCAAAAAACCCATAAATACTCAGAAGAGATTTGATATCACCACCTATCATATAGTCCATCACCTATGAAAAATAACAATACTAACGTCAATGTATGACAAATGACAACTGCGTCAAATACAATAATTAACAAAGAATTTAATGATGTAGATAAGTATTTGGTATTTTGTCACAATTTTTCTAGCTACCTGTAAAGATTTTTTATCCATTTTTAGAACAATTTGGTAGAGAGAAATTTTAATTATTTGCACAGTTGCACAGAAAAAAATTAACAATATAGTTGCTTTTAGTAGCCTAAAGAACGAAAATAGTTGCCAAAAAATATGAAAATAGTTGCCTAAATAAGAACAAAAATATGACTAAAATTTTATTGAACCATGATCCATTTAGTCAAGTTGGTGGCAAATATATATTTTTTTATAAACATTAGTGTTCTAGCACTAAATTTTTATACAAAAAAAAATTTTTTATTTGCAGAAAATTAAATACTTTTAATTACTAGAAATAATTCAAAAAATATTTTATCATTAAAAAAACATTTTTCAAAAAATATTCAGTTCAACCATCAATGGATTTAGCAAAAATATATATATAGTGAAAAGTGATTATTCAAATTCTAAATTCACGCATCGTAATATCGTATTCAAAATTGTTTTTTTTTTTTTTTTTTTTTTNTTTTTTTTTTTTTTTTTTAATCATGCAGATTACATAGCAATAACCGTTGAAAAGGGGATTGAGAAGCAAAATAGATTTACAATGGAATCTGTGCAAATTGAGCGTATTGAAAAGTGATGACTCAAATTCGCAATTCAAAATTTTTTATTTAAGGAAGAAAAAAAAGCATTGCTTTCAGAAACTACCATGGGCTGCAGATTGTCAACCCAATTTATGCTATAAAAAAAAATAACATCGCTAGGAGCACAGAAAAGTCTCCCAAATCTCCTTTCCCTGAAAATAGTTGCTTTTTAGGCCTTTTCAGGCAAAAAAAAAATTGCCATAGTTGCCTCAGGTCGAAAATAGTTGCAAATAGTCACATTTTAGTGGTCTGTGGCAACCCTGCATTTGAAGCAATTATAAGACAATTTTATACAGGGTTATTCATAATTCCCTCCGGGCAGGAACTGGACCATCGCATTGATGTATTCAGTGTGACCAAGGGTTCACACATAGAACACCTGTAATGTATGTAAGTAAAACTTGAATAGTTTTGGAACAATTTCATATGTTTCTTTTTTTCATATTCGTCTTCTTTTTTTTTACTATAACACTTTGAAACCCCGGAGGGAATTATGAATAACCCTGTACTTTTAGATCAGTGTTGTTGTTTGCCCATTGCAAAATTAAGCACAAATGTTGTAGAAATGTTGCATAAATGTTGGATGTAAATTAATATCTTTAAGAACAAAATCAAACCATCCCCAAGAATGTTGGAAGAAGTCAAAACTTTTTAGTATTTGATCGAAGTTCGTTGATCTATCTACTACATTCAAAAGTTATAAATTTTAAATTATTATGATAGTCTATCAAAGTACAACCCTAATAAAAAACATTTTAAAAAGGTTTAAAAATTTACACAATTGGTTTAGTGGCTTATAAAATTAAACAAAATTCAATTCTTAATTTAAAATTTAATTAAAAATTTTATAATAAAAATGTAAACGTAATTTTATATCAAAAGTTTATAAGGCTGACAAAACTTATATTACTACTAGGGGGCAAAGCCCCCTGTTCGCTACCGCTCACCAACCCCAATGATTGCTTCGCAATAATTGTTTTTTCTTGGCAGAAAACAGTTTTTCTACTAAAGTTAAAAATATTCACTTAACATCTATGTACTAAAAGGAATTCTGTTTACTTACGCTCTTGCGCCTCTACTTCCCACGTCCAAATATTACTGTCTATTAGTATTATAAACATTTAGATCTCTTGGTGAACNCACCTTTCTAAATAACTTTATCTTAAAATGTAAGGCAGATTTACATTATAATACTAATAAGAAAACAGCAATTCTCTTAGTTTTAAACTCTTGAATTAAAAGCGTAATAATAGCAGTACAGGAAAATAACTTTAAGTTAGGGATTCAAAAATATTTAAAGAAAAGCATGACTTTTATTAATTTTATGCTGACTACAACCAAAACAATAAGGAGACGAATGAGGAAAAACTGGATCACACCACGTGATTTTCTGGCCAATAAAAATGCACCGACAACAATGGAAAACTGCGACACCATCATTAGAATTTTATATATAGTAAGATTAAATTTAATCATATCTCAGAAAGATATTTACTTTTTTTATGCAATTTCATTTTAAGAAGGAAAAAAAATCATATTCACAGGGTTGCCACAGCAAAAGAGGAACAAAAATAGTTGCTTTTAGTAGCCTCAAGAAGGAAAATAATTGACTAAAACTACGAAAATAGTTGTCCGAACAGGGTCAAAATTTATCAAAAATAGTAGCCAAATAACTAAAATTATAGCTTACTTGTCATGTACTATGATTAGGACTGGGTGATGTCAGAAATTTTAAACGGTGATACATCGCGATATAGCGATGTATCGCAATTTAGCATATGTTCAAAAATTACCTACGGCAAATCTTTAAATCAATCAAAAAGAAATAAAAAGAAATAAATCTATTACAAAAGAAAATACTAATTCTAAACATATTCCCATATGATATGAATATCATTGCTTAATAGTTTCAATTAAAATAATAAAGAAGTCAAAGTAAAAGCAAACCCAAGTTTTATTTCATTATACTTAAATAAAAATGACTTAAGATTTACTAGTTTAAAAATAATAATATTGTAACAAAATATTTTACATAAATAAATTAAAAATTAAAAGAAACAAACCGAAGAAATGTTCATTTTCGAAAAAAAAATTAATTTTTTTAAAAATTATTTGTTGAAAAAAAATTATGCTTTTGAAATATCATTAGACCCTCTTTTATTTAAAATAATAAAAAGTAGTATTGACTAATGGTCAAATTCTGTACTTAATAAATGTAAAAATATTTTTTCTCTATTATTTTCTTTTTTGAAAATAAAATTGACTAAAGATTTATTTGTTTAAAAATTATACTGACTGTCTAAAAAATTATAAAACAAACAAGTATTGAAAGAATTTGAATAAAAAAATTCTTTAAGTACTAATGTTAAATTATTAAAAAGTGTCAAATCATTACTGAACTCTTTATTTAATTTTTAAAAAAATTATTTGTTTTAACTGCACTACGCATATGGTAGGCGGCAATAAATACGTGTTAGTGAGGGGACTGAAAAGTAACGTTCATTTTTACGAAAAAACTTCGCTAAGAGTAAAAAAGTCTCCCAATAGTCGCCTATTCCTGAAAATAGTTGCTTTTTTAGCCTTTTCAGGCAAAAAAAGTCGCCATAGTAGCCTAAGGCCGAAAATAGTAGCAAATAGTCGCATTTTAGTAGTCTGTGGCAACCCTGTATTCAACTCAATGAAGCAAATTAAAATACTGTTGAACTTAGAACACAACACAACAGGAAAATCTGTTAACAAAGAACTGTTTAATTTAATCACATTATAATGACATTAGAATAAAAAGTTTACCTTATACAAGTAGTTACCTTACATTTTCTAACACAAAATTGTATTTTACACATTAAAACAATGAGATACTGATTATTTTATCAAATTAATGCATAGAAAATCATTACATTTTCTTGAATCTAACAAACATTTTTAACAACAGTAACTCATGAAATTTGATCCGCATTTAAATTAAAATTGTCACTTATGAATGTTAACCAGTTTTAAATTTTTTAAAATTTTTTTATTTAAGGCTACAGGATGAAATTCTGACAAATAAACTTGAATTTTCAAACCTGATATATTTTTTAATTCTTTCCTTCTTTTTTTTAAAAAAAAGAAGATTACAGTTTAGGTTGTTAACTACTACTAATTAACTAAAAGTAAATGCTTAAGTCAGAAACATTAAAAAAAAAAATTTAGAGAAAAACCAGACTTCATCCTTAATTATATCTAACAGAAAAATTGTATGGACAATTACTTTAATGCACATTAAAAAGAAAAACTAAAAGAATAATGGAAAAAGAAATTTGAAATTTTATTTCTTACCAAATATATGCTGTTTTGTGATTGCATTGAATAAAACAGTTGAACCACAAAAGGACTCCTGCTTACAGCGAGTGCATCTCTCTCTGTCAATACTTGAAAGAAAGAAGAAGAAAAAACAGAAAATCAAAGAATTTGATATTTCTGAAAATATTAGTATTTGGGGTAGTTAAAAAATGTTTTTTTAAAAAATACATTGTAAGAGATTAATCAACTAAAGTTTGACTGCTTAAAGTAGCGGTTTAGTTGAGTGTGTGTGGCCTGTGAGCTACTATCAGCACTCTAATCATATATTAGATATTTTACTGGTCCCCCAACTCATCTCATCAAATAATAGTTTGATAAAAAATGTAAAAACTGTTGTAGAATGAAAATTAATTCATGTGGTAATTAGTAGTACAAAACTGCAATTGATGCTTAGATAAAATTAAAAAATTAGTGTGATAAGAGTTTTATTAAGACAGAAACAAAGAAGCACTGCGTAAACTAATCATGCAAAATTAAAGAGAACACAATTGTCAAATCAAAATTTGGATATATTACACTTAAGCATGTCATTTCAAATGACAACAAGAATACATTTCAAAATAGAATAATTTATTCATGAGCAAATAAAAGCAGAGAATGAAACTTAATGACAAAATGTAACTACATTATATCCTCTGGATAACCTTTTAAACTTTCCCTAAACTGACTTTCATAAGTCTTGCACAATTTTGGGGATTTCAGATTTCTATAAATTTGTTCAAAATAATTATATGAAATAAATATGAAATCAAGATTTTTAAATCGGAAAAAGGAATTGTTTTCTTAATATGTTGTACTCATTCACTCATTTCTCTGAGAAATTTTAAATATAAAGTTTAATTACTACTGAAGTTTATTATGTTTATTTACGTTCATTTTGTTTGTAAAGACAGAATTTCATGTTTGATATTATCCAATTCTTAAATAACAAGAATTTTAAAATTTTGAGTTTTTAATGACAATGAAATATTAAATTAATTTTACACTGTAAAAAATCACATTTTCTTAATATTTAGAATTGAATAAAAATAATAACTGAATAATGAAATAATTAAATAAACAATGTTTAATGTATACTGATTCTCTTGTTTTATAATAGCAGAATGTAATTTTTAATGCAAAATATACCTTCATTCATAACATATGTTTTTAAAAACTTTTATATGAAATTAATCTTATGAAAAACAAAAGAACTATTCTAAAACAATCTTATGTTGCAATTGAATTTAATTGGTATTTTAAAAAAACAAGCATAATCACATTGTCGCATTTTCTGAAGAACTTCAGACAAAATCTCTCTACTTGTGATGACAGAAAACTCCTAAGAGTTTAAACAACTATGAACATGAAAAATCTATTAAAAAGAGCTTATGAAAGAGTTCTTTTTTCTCAGCATGTCAAGAGAGAAAAAAAACTTAACCATTACCTTGTTTCATCATGTTTTTATTAACCATAACCTTTTTCTTCATCACCTTAACTGCAAATATCTTGTCTGGATTTTCATTTTTATGACACAGAAAAACCTTCCTAAAAATATGAAAAAAGCATAAATCATATTATTATCAAATGCTTACAACAATTTATGCTAAGTTAATTTAGGTCTACTATATTTTATTTTACTTTTATAAATATATAATTGGCACTTTTACTCATTTATAATGTGCCATCCTCAATCCAATAACTTGGAAGGATAGCTGTTGATGATGTAGTATTTATGTACATAGACCAGGACAAAATTAGGTTTTGCTATGATTTCGAATTAAACTTTTGGTGTTATATCTCAACTCTTTGTTTATGGGGTTCCATGTTGTACCATTACATGTGGTCCACATGTTGTACGAGCCATAAGCAAAAGTTAAATAATTTTTGTGTTCTCTAGTTATAGCTGATAGCATAGGATCCAGCCAATAGCAACATGGCCAAAAGCTTTTGTTGTTTGCTACATTGCTATAACAAAACGCAACACATCTTCATTCAAAAGGTATATGACAGCAGTGTTTTCATTACAGGAAAAAAAATGGGAGAGAATTTCTCACCCTTTTTCAAAAACAGGGTGAGATTTCAAAAAGTTAAGTGAGATTTCTAAAAATTAAAAAAACACAAATAGACTTGGAAAAAAAATATTTCTATTTTTTCTATTCTGAGTTTAGAAGTCAGAAGATGTTAAAAATTTATTAATATTTTTAAATAATTATAATAAATTTTTAACATCTTCTGACTTCTAAACCATTGAACATTGAATATTTTTGCTGCATTATCATATGGAAAATGTTCTGTATCTACTTTTTCATTGGCTATTCTCATTAGGTTTGCTCAAATGCTTACCAATCGATCTGTTACGATATTTTGTTTTAATTCGGTTTGGGGGCTAAATAACCTTGCAACAGATGCTGAACTATTCGGAATCAGTAATTAAATTTGTAGCATTGTGCACACACTTTCCTATCCTCTACATCTGCCAGCATAGGTTCTTCACTTATTTCTGTTATGGAATAGTGAAGTTCGTTGAAGTTATTTCCATGTTCATACTCTTTGTCAGGTCTTCCAGATTAGTTTTCACAGACTTAAACTTTTACAAATTGCTCTAAATTGTCGATGAGGGAGTTTGGTAATTCATTAACAGCGAAAACTAGAGATAACTTTAAACAACTTATAAAGAACTCACTTTTTTTCTCAACACTTGTCGTAGCTGTTTTCATGTCTTTTTCAAAATGGCGGAAGACTAAATTTTTTCCAAAATTCAAGAAATTCGTGCATTTTAAAATTGATAAATTCAGTGCGCAAACTTCTCGCGTTAATCATTTTTTAATGCGAGAAAATAAAAAAATATGCGAGATTCTTGCGTTCTCGCGCTGTAGTGAAAACACTGGACAGTGTTTGCTCCTGATGAGTTACAACACATATTATTATTTTTTTATTTATGCATGTTATTGTATTCTTCACATCACATTGTATAATATATACATACATAGCTGTTCGTCACATTGCTAAAACAAAACATATCTTCATACAAAAGGTATGTGGTCGAGTAGAATTTGTGATTAGAAATCTTGAATTTAATGGTATGGTATAGTTATTGGAAAAATATTGTTACAATAATTACACATTAGAATATGCATAATTATTTTTTCACATATATTTTGAGTTGCTCTAAAGGTATAAATATGTTTGTAATCACAAGGGAGATCCTTAAAAAAAATATTGAATTTTTTTTTCTTCTGTGTATAGCCGGGATATATGTAATGCCACTATGGATGGTGTTTTCTACACTAGGGAATGCTGCAGGCTCGATACCGCCTATACTTCCGAGTAACTGTTTACGCTGCATTTTAAAGCCAATTGGCTCACAACATGCTCATTGTGCTTTGAGATTCTTGCAAACATAGTATTTGATTACTTATTACTTGTGTTTACAATGCTAAAGGTGCTAACACTAATGTAAGATGGCACACAGCTTGCAACAAGAACAAACAGTAATAAACAAATGGAAAGAGGCCAAATCAGGACTGCCAAAAAAGCAAGTTTGCAGAATAAGCTGTAGTAAGTAGTTGCAAATTCTCTAACCGGAACAAGAGCAGGTATTGAGCTCGAGATTGTTATTGTTTACATTTATATCGAAAACCCCATCCATAAGGTATTACATATTACCTAGCTTTTAAATTTCCTTTATTTCACAAATTTTATTATTCCTAATCCCTTTTTAAATAAATAAATTATTTAATTAGTTCTATTTCAATTTTATAAAGAGAAAATGCAAGTATATCTATTCTCAATAAATGTAACGACTAACTTTTGATTTCAATGTAAGTATATAACTGATTATTATTCAATATTACAACAACTGAACATAAAGATCTATTTTTAACCTTTCTTTCTTCGACCACATTAAATATCAGTATATACATACTACATTATTAGGTTTACTTTAATTTCCTACAGGCTATTTGGCCTTTAATCTTTAGCCAAATTATTTAAATATGAACATGAGGTAGGCTGAATTGGTTTTTCTTTTAGCACTTCCCTTTTCAATAATGCAGCTTTAACAGATCTCTCCTGGCTGCAAAGCATTGATTAAATACTTCTTTTAATTTGGCATTTGATTAGGAAAGTTGTGAAAGATTTATCTCTCATGGCCTGCCCTTGAACATGCAGTGCAAAATTTATTATTTTACTTGATATATCACTTGAATAACTTTGCATTTTGCACCTCAAGGTCTGAAAAAAATTCATATAAATATATATATTATGATTTTTATCTTGTTCAATTAGACCATTCACTATCTAGTTCAATTAGACCATCTAATCTCCAACCGCACCATCTTTATATTATAGTTCTGGTGAATTTATTTATTTATTTTTAATCAATACTAATAAAAAATTTCCTTTTGTATCTTTACAAAGCAAAAAAGTATACTATTTTTCAATCCATAACATGGTGGCTTCAAAAATTTTTGTACATGCTCCTTCCTGGCAATTTCGAACCTCTCATTTAAAAAAAAAACTTAAGTTGAAAAAAAAAAAAAAAACACTGTTGATACTTGGAGTATATATGTAATTGAATAAAAAATGATATGTAATTGAATAAAAAAAAATCTAAACTTTCATTAACGAGAATAAACAACAAACAATTTCTAGAACTAATAAAAAATTAACTTCTCAATCACACATATCATTTATCCACCATCATATTATAGACGCAAAGCACTCACAGGGTATCTGCTACATTTTAGATTTTCAAATTCATGACTTAACGAAGTTTCTATTTTCTCTGACAAAAACAGAATAATAAATTTAAAAAGCATTATAATAACATTAATTAAAATGATAGGTATAACCAAAACTGTTATACTCTGCATCTTCAACATGATTTAAATTTAAAAAATTGATTTAAAATTTAAAAAACAGAGTAAAGAAAGAGTTGAAGCAATAAAACAGCTGAAAAAATAATAGCCGAGCAAATAATTTTTTCTGCAGAATTATATTCTAAAGATACTTTTCTTGTTCATCAAAAAGGAAAGAAATACTCCTGTTTTTTCTGTTCTCATTTCGGAATTAAAAAAATTTGCCAATGACAGGCTTGCTTCAGCTACAATTTTAAATTGATAAAATAAAATAAATAAATAATAATAATTCTGAAATCACAGAAGTATAAAAGACACTTCGCTCTAGAAATTTTGTTTCTTCTTTCATTTTTTTGAAAGAACACCATAATTTTTAAAGAACATGAAAAAAACTTTTCACATTTTAATAAAATATGACTCTGAGTGGGGATTTTGTTACACATTCAGATATTCGAAACACCATAAAATTGGGGGGGATTCCAGATATTAAAAAAAATTGGCGACCTAAATCCATGACTTTCCATGATTTTTTTTAAAAAATAGTTAAAATCATGACATTTCATGACAAATTTTGTGCAATACTAAAATTCATGACTTTCCATGATTTTTCATGACTTTCCAGGTGTGTGGATACCCTGCACTTATCGCAATCTTTTTTTCTCCTTCTGCCTTAAGAGAACAGCATACCATGAAAGAAACTTTACATAGTGAATTCTCTTTTACCTCCATTACTAATTCAAAATTAAAAGTATAAACAAAGTGAGTTCTAACAAACCTAGAGAGTATGCCATAAAGTTCCAATTGCTGAAAAAAATATTCAAAATATCAAAATGCAGACAAATTATTGAGAGAGAACTTCCCCATTGTGCAATACATATGTTATCTACTCATAATTTATTTTCATTTTGATATTTTAAAAATTCTTTTTCAGTATTTGAAACTTCATGGCTTACTCTAGGTTTGCCCAAATTCACTTTTTCTAAACTTCTAATTTAAAATTATTTATGGAGGTTAAAGAGAATTTGAGACAAAATAAGTTTCTCCCACCATTTAGTTTCCCCTTAAGGAGTCCTGGAAATATGTCTGATCGTAAAATGTTTCGTTTACTGTTATGATCATAAAAACATTACCACGAAAGAAACTTTTACAAAAAGAAACTCTTTGTAGCAAATTCTCTTTCATCTTCACTACTAATTCAAAATTAAAAGTATAAATAAAGTGAGTTCAAACAATTGATCATAAAAACATTTTATAAAAGAAAAAAAATAACAAATAAAAAGTTTAATAAAAAACCAAGTAAAAATATTTAAAATAATAATATTTAACATAAAGTTACACTTACCCAAAAGCACCACGACTTATTGGCTTAATAATGGTAAAATCTTTAATACTAGGAAGCTGCAAAAAATATTTATAAAGGTATTAGGTAAAATATGCATAAAAACAGTAGGTAATGTTTAAGAACAAAAAAGAGTTATACCATAGTAAGTTTATTTGTTTATTAACAAAAATTAGCGGTTAAATTGTACTGAAAAAAATTGGTGCAAATAGACAGGCATTTTTAATAAAGCTTTAGTTTTTCAAATGTAGGAAATCTTTGAACATAAAAACAAGATTTTGAAATAGGCAGATAATATAAAATTAAAATACTCATCCCTTAAAATTATTACAAGATGAGTAATAAAATTTGCATATATTTTTTGTTAGATAAATCAATGTTTTATAACAGGGGTGGCCAAGCTCCTTGATTGTCAATCCATTTTTCAAAATTTGAAATTTTTTGCAAGACGAAAGGAAATACGTATTTAAAAGGTATGCAAAAACGGTATTAATCTTTTTTTTACATAAATTATATTTATTGAAAACATGTAAGTAAAAGTACAAAATATGTGCATTGAATTTAAATATTAAAAATTAAACACATTTATTTTATTTCTCTTGATAATTCTTTAAAATTTGGTGAATAATTCGTGACAGCATTTCTCAGTAATTCTTTGAGATGCTGATTAGCTAATACTGATCGGTGCTTGGTTTTTACGAATTTTAAAGTGCTTTATTAATTTCTTAGGCTTTTCAGTATTAATCCCATTAAAGTACGACTACAAATATTGAAATGGTGTAAAAAGTACGTTTACAAAAAAAAGTGGTGGAGAATATATGCTTAAACCAAGTGGATATTTCCTTCTGTTTGATACTACTCTAGCTTCTAAAAGATATTGTTATATGACTTCAGATTCAAATGTAAAAAATNAAATTAAACACATTTATTTTACTTCTCTTGATAATTCTTTAAAATTTGGTGAATAATTGGTGACAGCATTTCTCAGTAATTCTTTGAGATGCTGATTAGCTAATACTGATCGGTGCTTGGATATTACGAATTTTAAAGTGGAATAAAATGAGTCACATAAATACATTGTTCTGAATGTTGAAATAATTCGACAAGAAGCCTTTTTTAATTCAGGATACTTTGATTCTGATACAAATTTCCAAAATTCAGTAATCAACGTCGACTTATATTTTAATTGTAGAGCTTGATCTTCTTGCATCTCTATTAATTCTAATTCTCTAGAAGCTTTTTGTGTCATAATTATATTGGAAATGGAAAACTCATCTTTAATTGAACAACATTGCACTTAGTCCTTTATATTTGTTCTCACTAATTTAAAAGACATTTTGTAACACATATGGAACGATAATAATTTTTTTAAATATAATAGCACAAATATGAAACGGGAACTCGGGTACATTTATCGCGAGCCACAAATAATCCTTCAAAGAACCACATTAGGCTCAAGAGCGGCTGGTTTGCCACCCCTGTATTATAACATAATAAATGTTTTATAACAAGCTGTTACTGTTAGTACATAACTGTTTTTTAAACAAGTAATAAAGTTGTTTTCATTTTCACATCCTAAAAATATTATATAATAATGAAACTACAACTTAAAAAAAAAATTTTTTAAAAAGAGTGAAAATATGTTATTCTATTTATTCTGATTAGTGAAATAGAAAAAACTTTCAGTTGGAAGATGATTTTCAAATTCTATCATTTATATGACATCATTATTGTTGATCAATAAATTCACTCATTCTTAAATTACAAATTTTGAGGGCTGATCAATATTTTAAACAGTAAACTAAAGATACAATGTATCAGAGAAAATAATTAAAAATTATCACACTAAAATTTATCAATGCATTAATTTATTTCAACTAATGCAACAAATTATAAAGAGACACAATTACATGATAAAGGTTTTCACTTTTAGAATCAAAAAAGTATCGAAAATCCTTTAAACCATTTTTAGTATGTTTTTTAACGGCGACATATCCTGCTTTCAATCAGATAATATATTATTTCATTAAAAAATTGAATGTTTCAGTTTAAAATATGTTTAAGCAATAAATAACAAAAAAAATTAAGCATCATAAAGATTTATTAAGAGTACCATTAAAAATAATCATAGCTTGGAAATCCAAAACATTTAAAAATCTAACACCAGCAAAATCACTGTAATTTTACCTTCACAATTTTATCACCCGCCGAAGAACCAGAACTTTTGCTTGAAAACGACATATTAACAATTATTTATTCATTACTTTCAATTTTCAAAATTGAATATAATAGAAATCCTGACAACAGAGGAATAGCCGCCACTATATTTAAATTATTTGTTTATTTTAATTTATAAAATTGGAGTTGTAGTTAGTATGCACTGAAAACTACAGATGCAGTTACATTTGATAGCTGTAGATTACTGGGCATGTCATTCTCACTGCATTTGATCTTTCTAGGAACCGTTAACACTGCATACAAAAGATTTGAGTATGCTTTCCCCAGTAGCGTGTGGAGATTCTCGATAGCCTCTCTGAATTATGCAAGTTTTTCGCACACGTGCTTAGCTATACATGTAAAAAATTTAAAGATTTTTTTTTTAAATTTTAATTAAATTTATTTAATAATTTTCCACTTTTTGTTTTTATATCAAAACAGACGTAGTTTATAGCACTGCCAGCTCTTTATTCTGTAAAAATCTGTTGTGTGGTAGATTACGATATCGTAATCTACCACTGGTGAATCCTGGTGAAATAATTATATCATGCAGGCCATGCAATTTTCTTTCATTTTTAAACATTAAATTTTGAAAAAAAAGTAATTTCTGAACCAAACTACACAAGGATTTGGTTTATTTAAGTACAGGTCCCATGCATAGAGTTATAAATAAGAAGGAGTGGGCATTCCTCCCTTTCCCTGTTAGCGCGAGTGAAGTAACTGTCAAGTAGCGGCGGCCATGTTGGTATAACCAGAAACCTGGCGAAGTCGCTCAGGTTTCAAAAGGAATAGTTAGGTTGCTTTCGATCTTTTCTCTTATGATTAGAAAATTTCGAAAACTAGATTGAAATAGTTTTGTTGTTAATACATAACACCTTTTTTCATTCAATTTTTCAACATTAGTTTCTTTTCTTCTTCCCAAAAAATAACGTTTTTAAGATAGCTCTATTTTAAAACTGAATTAAAAAAAGAACTTTACAGCAGTTTTCGGGAACTTAGGTTCCTTTATATTTTCTCTAGGCATTAAAAGTAATATATTATTGTTATTTAAGGGGGCAGCTTTACAATTAAAAATTTATTCAAAGAATATCACATTAAAACCACACTATTTTGAATACAAACAAAATAATATGAAACGCACTTTTCCTTAAAAGTTAGAATATTAAAAGGGAAAAATATTGGTTTGTACTAAAAGAATAGCAATAATCAACATTAAGCCATTTGAGTAAACACTTGGGTAATAAAACTAGTCCATAACCTACTGTTCATTACTAAGCAGAGAAGTCTAATTTCTTTTTCAAAGCACTTCATCATATGAAGTGCACAAAACTGTAATTTACAAATAACAACGTAAAATAACTGTGTATTTATTTTTAAAGGTAAATAACCAGAGTACTTAATATATAGGAATATTTATTTTTCAATTGAGGTTTAACCCTTTCGGGTCGACTGTCACAAATACGTGACAGCATAAAACCGCATCAATCAGGTTAAAAATATAAAACTGGTAATCAAAGTATTTCTTTAGCAGTTTATTTGTGGGCGGAGTAATAATTGTTTGATTTATTTAATTCACCAATCCTTTGTTCAAAATAAAACTATTTAGTTATACTTTGAATTAACATTGATTATATATATGTTTAAACTAACAATAATTAAATTAAAAGCAAAGTGAGTCTGTCAAATTAGCAACGACTACATTTAAGTTACCGTTTTTTCTTTAATTACAACTTGATTCTGATTTTGTACGAATTCTTTTCTGAATCACCCGTCCCCAAAGGGTTAAACTCCACTCATGAAAGGCTCTATCTCATTCACAAAATACATGAAGTGTATGAGCAAATAAATGCTCTATAATAAATGCCCAGGCATTATTATCTATAATGAAT